TTCGACAAAATTCGTTATGATGTTTTTTGTAGATAATAAAATTCATTATATTTTTCATAGATAACATTTTTATGTAAGATAAAAGTTTACAAAGATCGTTTGGGAATTCATAACTATATACTGCCATATCTTCGTTAATATAGATTTTACAGAAAAAATTTATGGGTAAAAAATGATTTTAATTGTCTACGAAAAAGTTTTTATAAATTTTGTCAAAAAATTGACAGAAATCGAGATATTAAAAAAAATGTTTCCTAACCAAGCTATTTAAGAACGATACTGCCATATCTTTTTTAATATAGATTTTACAGAAAAATTGTATGGGTAAAAAATGTAGGGATTTTGATTGTCTACAAAAAAGTTATTATAAATTTCGTCGAAAAATTGACAGAAATCGAGATATTAAAAAAAATGTTTCCCAACTAAGCTATTTTAAGAACGATACTGCCATATCTTCGTTAAAATAGATTTTACAAAAAAATGTCATGGGTGAAAAATGTGGGGATTTCGATTGTCTACAAAAAAGTTAATATGATTTTTTTCGAGAAATTGACAGAAATTGAGATAATTAACAAAAAGTTGTGCCGCTTTTAAAAAACGTCAAATATCTCCTTTTTTGTCAAAATTTCGACAAAATTCGTTATGATGTTTTTTGTAGATAATAAAATTCCCTATATTTTTCATGTATGCATTTTTTTGTAAATTTAAAGCTAACGAATTTATGACACTTGATATTTAAGTTGCTTAAACACAAAAGATATCTATTAATGGTTCAAACTTTGGATATTTCAAAACAACAAAAGCTTATATTACCCCCCAATATATCCATAAATATCGTGACTAATTTTTTTTTGTGATTATTCTAGGTAATGGCAATATTATATTGCACCCCTTGTATATACACAGTAACATCTGTGCTTGCATTTTAAAACCGAGAACTCAAAATTAAGCATGAAAATTAGGCGTTACCCAATCAGTGGGGGCCTCCCCTTACAGACATCTTGCGGTTGTAAAATGTAAATGCCATTATTATTAGTTTGTGTGACAACAACTTAAGTCTCCATAGATTTATTGAAAATGTAAAGTTTTATATTTACCCCTTGTATATTTAATATTTGTGTCTGCTGTCTTTATACATTTTTTGTCGTTTGTCTCGCCCAACAATAACCGACGCAAAAAAGTTCATCTCGATGATTTTTTTATCACTTTTTCAATTACATTTTTATATGCTCGAGATTGTTTGTTTTCACTTAACTTTCTTAAACGATTTTTGTCATTCCAAGTCTACAGTACAGTAAAACCCTGTACAATAATTATGTGACACAGCATATGAGTTTCTTCGTTTGGAATTAAAAAAACATCAAAGGCCTAAATAGGACCACACCCCTCTATTATAAATCAAGTAGTACATTACAGCCTAATGCATTTTAAATTACTAGACGACAAAAATAGTATACTATTCAAATATTCGACGAAATTTCATAGCTACTTAAATTTTTTAGTTTCACTGATACTTTTATCAAACCGAACACCCGGTATATGTATTTGCGCACTTGTTTATTTATTTTCCCAGTAACATGTGGTCATATTAAAAATTAATCCTTTGGATACCGAAGCTCACACGTAGAAGAAAGATAAACAAACAGTTTGAATTTATTTTTTTATTCCCACTGGGTTGTTGGGAGAGAATGGTAAATTCCCAGGGTATTTTTCTCTATAAATTTTCGATCTCTTTAATAGTAAACGTAGTAACCTTGTTGAATTTATTATCACGAAATTGTAAAATAAAAATATAGTTCGTGTTAGACAAAAAGTTTAAAAAGTTTACATATATGTGTCATATCTTCGTTTATATAGATTTTATAAAAAAATGTTATAGGAAAAAAATGTGGGGATTTTCATTGTCTACAAAAAAGTTAAAATTAATTTTGTCGAAAAATTGACAGAAATCGAGATATTTAACAAAAAGAAGTGCCGCGCCAGTCGTCATTCAAAAAACGTCAAATATCTCGTTTCCTCTGAAAATTTCGACAAAATTGGTTAAAATGTTTTTGTAGGTAATAAAATTCCATATATTTTTCATATAACATTTTTTTGTAAAATAAAAGTTTACAAAAATCCAGAATTTAAAACTATATACTGCCATATCTTCGTTAATATAGATTTTACAAAAAAATGTTATGGGTAAAAAATGTGGGGATTTTGATTGTCTACAAAAAAGTTATAATGAATTTTGTCACAAAAATGACAGAAATCGAGATATTTAAAAAAAAGTGGTTCCGCGCCATTCGACTTTTAAAACATGTCAAATATCTCGTTTTCTGTCAAAATTTCGACAAAATTTGTTAAGATGTTTTTGTAGATAATAAAATTTCCTATTTTTTTCATATATAAAATTTTTTGTAAAATAAAATTTTACAAAAATTATTTGGGAATTCATAACTATATACTGCCATATCTTCGTTAATATAGATTTTACAAAAAAATGTTATAGGGTAAAAATGTAGGGATTTTGATGGTCTACAAAAAAGTTATTATGAATTTTGTAGAAAAATTGACAGAAATTGAGGTATTTAAAAAAAAATGTTTCGTAAGCAAGCTATTTTAAGAACGTTGCATTTTTTGCGTAACTTGAGACTTTATTAATGCTTTTAAAGGGGTCCCTGACCGGAAAAACTAATATCCCAACATGACAAAGCTTAAAAACCTAATAAATCATACGGAATACCCAACAAAAAGATTTCCCCGACGCAAAATAAGGGGAAAGCACAACAACAACCGAAATAATAAAGAAAAATACGAAGTTTTTCAACAATGCCACTTAAACAAACGGCGGTGTTATGGATACAACGAAATCCTCTCAGACGAGCACCGTTGCCAAATTGACGGAGCCACGTTGCCAAATGGGTCGGAAATTTAAATTGAGCGTTTTCAAAGTTTTCTTGGGTGAATTATTTATCGAAAAGATCGGGTCGATTGTTCTAAAAGAGATATATACATAATTTAAGTCGTTTAACTGGGGTTGAGTTGGAGAAAATATTAAAATACTTTTAGACGAGAGGCTATTTTTAGTTTTCAATAATAAATCATTTTGTAATGCGGTTTAATGTGTCACTTACATTTTCTATGTATTTATGTAATAAAAGAGAATTTATAGCATCAAATTTAGACATGTTTATTTTAAAGGAGATTGATTTGTTTTTATTGGACGTATTTTGTTTAATTGTTCTATAAAATTATCTCTACATGTGATGCATTTTAAATAGAACATGTATACATGAACAATAACGTAAACAAAAACTTTTAAGTGCTTTCTACTTGTATAAATATCTTTGTGTGTGTCTGAAAATGATTTATCCCGTATTTCATCACCCTGTATAAAGTAAACGCCATGTGTTTAGCGCTGGAAAATATTTCAAAATCCTGTATAAACTTATATTATAAAAGACATATTAAAGTGTTAGGCTCAGGTAAATTTGGGGGCCGTACTTTAAGGATATAATATAATAAGAGGTATAATTATTTTTTCTATGGTTCTATTGATTATTTTTCCGAGATTTTACATCCTTTATACCGTGTGTTTCACATTCTTGGTCAATTAGTTTCTGGAATCCTAAAACATTGTTAAAAATGAAAAAAATTCATTTTTTGTAATAACTTTTTTATTTCAAAAGATTTTAATGTACAGGGGGCGCTGGTGATAATTTAATTTAAAATTTAACAATTTTTAAAGGGTAAATAATCGTAGAAGCAACTTTGTTTTATAAATTTGAGTAAAACACGTTGAAGTATTGATATTTGACCATTATTTGATATATTAACTTTTTTATGCAAATTATGTTTCTGTGGCCAGGATCAGTTTTGAATTAGCAGTAGCATTATTCATAAATGTTTAGTTTAGTACATTTTAACATTTTTATACAAATATTTTTGTATTTTTTATTAATAATTAAGTATATAGCATAACACATAAATGACGTTTAATATACAGGGTGTTTCACGTACGTAGTCTTTAATTTTAAACAATTACAGATTAAGTGGTAACCATGGATACTGTCACATTAATCCACATGTAGAATTTCACAGGTTTGTTGATACAAAATAGTATTGAAAATATTAGAAATTGTTGAATGTCTATGAAATTTTAACATTAGGAAACAGTTATTATAATACCAATCGAAGGATTCTTTAATTTTCTATTTGATTATGGTTAAAACAAAAAAATAAATTAAAGCGAAAAACAACTGAATAAAAAATATACATATATCTAAATATATATATCGTTTGCGTTTCTCCAAAAACACCCTGTAGAGCATTATATTAAATATAAAAAAATGCAAAATAATTAATAAGATAAAAGCGAAAAACAACTGAATAAAAAGGCAACATAAAAAATAAAGTTTATATTCTAATTTATTTATTGGGTAAATATTACTTTCCTCAGTTTGGAATTAAAATTGAAGCTTGCTTATCGAGTAAAAAATAAATTGAAGCTTGGTTGTGGAGCAAAAAATAAAATTAAAGTTGGTTAATAATAATAATAACTTGCTGACACTGTCTGTAATTATTATTTAGTTTATTCATTTTAACAAATTAATGTTTTGAGAACACTTATAAATTGAAACGCAATCTGTCAACTTATAAACTGAACTGTCATATTAAATTTCATGCTTTTAATGGTGGGTTACCATAGAGAAAAGTCTATGATGCCTATGATCAAAATTAGTAAACTTTTTTGAATAAATATTGGTTCGATTTTTTTAAGAAATTGTTTAACATCTCTTAAATTATGACTTAAAACTCGTATAAAACACAAAAACTCTCACGGTCTAACATCAAGAGTTAATATGTCTCATACACGTATAATTATCTCCATACCAAGCGAAGAATAAAATTCGTAAAGTAATATCCAATAATTACCATGTACTTAGCGTGGTGTACTTCCTGTCTTTAAATTTAAACATTGTTATCAAAGTCTAACTGTTTTTTTTTTGTTGCAGATGGCATGCCGAAACGGTCGAGCACCGAAATCGAAAATGGAGTTGAAAATCAGTGCTTTGCAAAGACTATTGTTAGTGATATTAGTGAGTTTGGCGGGTAGTGATGCCTTTGCGAATGAGTTTGATAAAACTGAGGAGTTCTTGGACGGTATCGGGTTGGAGAAAAGTATCGCGGCGGTGTTTAATAAGGTTGCCTATGGTAGTACGACCAAAAGAAGTATACCCGATACAGCCTACCCTGTAACGACGTTGGCAACGCCATTATTGACCACGTATAGGTACTCAGACGGTAACGACGAGTGGTTAAGGGTTGACCTAAAAAACGAGAACAATAGGGAGCAAGCGAGAGCTAATGTGGACTTTGAGCAACCTGATTTTATAGAGGGGGAGAATAGAGATGGGTACGGGGTTGATTTAGAGAAGGATCATGTACTGCCTACGTCGGCTCCTGCAGCCGATATTCTGAAGAACAACAACAACAAAAACTACAACAACCCGAATAGGTACAACAACGACAGGTTGAAGCCAGATTTCACCAACCAAGAATCGTCCACAGAGAATATATACAAAACAACGACGACGTACAACTTACTGCGGAATGTAAGACCAACAAAGTCGATGTATAGTAAAGATATACCATCGTATGTTCCACCAAGTCGGGCTTTTTTCACGCCTCCGCTTCCTCCAGAGTATCAAAATCCATTCGCTGATAAACCAACGCTACGGGGGACAAACAGCGATAGTTTTGCCAACCGTAGGCCGATACCGCCGCCGTCTTTGATGCCGAACAAAGATAGAATACCGTTCAGACCCGATCTACCCAAGGTGAACATGGAAAAGCTACCCGACGTGCGCAACAGCAACACACCCACGTATCAGGACAAAAACGACAAGAAAAAGTCGTTGAACACGCCGTCGCAGAACGCCAAGCTAGGGGAGTTCTACGGGCTCAACAGAAGCGTCAACGAGTCAAACTTTGAGTACGAGAAGTCGTACGTACCAAGCATAACGCGCATACTGTCAGGTTCGAACGGTAGACACGACGATATCCCGGACATTCTCTTCAGAACGGTTACGGCGACCCCCAATTTCCACGTGCAACCGAAAGTTACGAAAACGCGCGCGCCAAGTGTGGAACCGTCGTTGAAAATGCAGGAACCGGAAGTCAAAGAAGAAAAACCCCTCACTGAAACCGTAACGCCGAAAGATAGCAACAAAGACGTAGTGCAAGACAGATCTGAAAGCGTCACAGTGAAAAAAGACGTACCCATGATAACGGAACGTAAACACATCGTGGAAGACGTAACAACCCAAATGTCGGACACCATGAACCTTGCCAACGTTAAAGAACGCGATAGTAACAACAACAACGTCACAAAAGTAAACTCAGACGCCATCTGGCAGATATGCTGGAACGTCCACGTTTACTTAGTCGTGATATGCTACATACTTCTGGCGGTATTCTCGATATACAAACTCATACGTTACGAGAACGACCCGCACATGTTCAGTAAGAGTTATTTTTTGACGATACACCTCATGCTCACGGTGATATGCGTGTTACGCATCTTCTACCTCATCTACGACCCCTACAACGAAGGCAGATCCTTCAACATCTTCCTCTATGATTTTCTTCACAGCTTCCCGTTGAGTCTACTGGCGACGACGTTCGCTGTTTTGATACTCTTTCTACTCAAACGAACCCTCACTCATTTGGAGGTTAAAACGCGCCCGGTTTTCTTGGTGGTGTTCGCCCTCCTCCACATAGTTCTGTGCTTCTGTCTGAGCATATTCGAATCCCTCGGCCATTTGGAGAAAGCCTCGTTGACTATTTGCAAACCAGTGTTCGTGTTGCTGGCATGGGCACTGGGCGTGAGCTACCTCTACTTGTACAGAATCATAAAGAATGTGCTGGCGAAGAAGTCACAGAACTTGTCCGAGATGTGTTCGCAAAATATATCCTACGCCTCGCATATAACGATAGCAGTGGCTTTGCTTTTTGTGCTACTGGGATTTGTGCAGTTGTATGCGTTGTTCTTTATCAAGGTCGATAGATTTGACGGGGAAATTAAACACCACTGGATTCTGTGGAGTTTTGAGCTGTCGGTGAGGTTCATAGAGATCTCCATCATCACCTTGCTGGCCATCGTGGTGTCTTTGAGGATGTCTCAGCGCGAAAAACAATCCGCTGGTGGGTTCCCTTTGTTTCCTTGTACCACTAGCGATTCTAGTACGGATAACATATACCCCAACAACTGCAATACGAATCCCAACGCGCTAAACTACAGCAGGCAGGAGATGATACTCGATAACATACCTACAGAGACTGTAGATAGACCGAATTTGTTGAAACACGCCTTCCAAAACGATTCGTTCGATAAAAAATCCACGTTGGAGCGGTATCAAAGCGACTCGGAACGCGGCAGCAATTTTGATCGGTTTGAAAGACCCAAATGGGGTTCAGAACGCTTTGACTCCCGTCAAAACATCGATCAAAACAACTTTATACAACCAACCTCGGGAAATTTCGAACGTGGATCTCTGAGAAACGATTCTAGAAGCTCCACGCGCAAAATGTACGACACCGCCAAGTTCTATAACAAACCCAAGTACGACATGGAGTATAATAACGACCAAGACGTCATCACCAACCAAGAACGCAACATCTACAGCGAACCAATCGACAACCACCACCAATACGAAAGAACGATGCACGATTTCGAGCGAGGGGAGTTCGATAGGCGTTCTAGAAACTCCTCGAACACCTCAGGTCGCAGAAGTACGGGGCGTAGCCGTAAGAACCACGCTAGACCGCACTTGGGGGTTCAAACGCTGCCCAACCACGAGAGAAACCAAAACCACCAGGTTCAAATGCCACCCGAGTCGATGCTCGTCGACGAGCAGGGATTCGTGAGGTTCCGGCACATGAACGACGACGACGTCGTCATAACCACCTCCTCGAAGAAGAGCAAGAAAAGCAACGAACAAAATCACTACTCGGAAGCGTAACTATTGATTAAAATGGGCAAAAAAATTATGAAGGGCACTAAAAAAAAACCGGAGGTTTTCTTGTAAGCGCGAAAATGTTTTTCGATGGTATTCCTTATGTTAAGGACGTAATTTTACTGCAATGAACGAGAAAAACATTCGTTATAATGTTTTTGCCCATTTAATTACTTTGGAATCGTAAGGTACTAACTACAAGACTTAAGACCCAACAAATTAAATTGCAATAATACAAGGGCTATAGCAACTTATTATAAAAGTCAATATACAGGGTGTTTACCTTTGCAAAATGGGTCTTATCCTACTTAAAAAATTATTAATGATACTCTTAACAATGCCATGACTTTTTTATGAATCTTGTTTAGGTCGACTAGGTATATATTAAAATAATTTAGGTATTTGTATATTTGGATATAAAATATATAAATAAGGTGATAAATACTTTTCAATGTTTTGTCTAGTACTATACATAGCTAGTATTGTAATATATTATATTGTAAATAATTATTTATAGGTATGTATTTTTTTACTTTTTTTTTTGTTCGTTTATACTATATACAGGGTGTTGTATAAGGCAGCTTTAGCTTAATAAAAGAACCCTGTATCATATTATGTAATCTTTTTGATCGACTGAGTAAATTATTTATTATTATAATTATTAAAACGAATGATGGGCTAAAATTTGGGAACCGTCCATTTTATTTTGGCCTTCAAAATTTTTTTTGTAAATATAAATGCCAATTTACTACTATAATATACTTGCCATTTCATGTATTGGGTTCTACAGGGCGTTTTTATCCCCCTTTACATTTATTTTGTACATTATTTTACAGTATTATCATATTTATTCCCCATTGTGTTGTAAAAAAAATGACACTATTAATATTTGCACAAAACACTTTCTACCATATTATGTTTGTTCCTATTTCGTACTTATATATATTATAAAAATGCCAGTATTTTAAACGACAGCTAAATAGATTTCTAGAAAATTAACAAATTTTGTTTCATAATCTAAAATATTAAAAAATAAATGTGGCTTTCTGAAAATATTTTATTATTTTCTAATAACGTGTATAAAAAATCTTAAGATTGTATTATATAACTGTATATTACATAATTAAAATGAAATAATTATACCGAAATGTTTTATTTTATGACCAAAATACTCAAAAATTGGTAAGTAAACCCGGCAACGTCGCGAAATCGATTTGGCAACGTCGCAAAAATGGACTTGGCAACATTGCAAACCATCAATCTGGCAACGTCGCAAAAATATACTTGGCAACATTGCAAAAATCGATTTGGCAACGCCGCAAAAATTGACTTGGCAACATTGCAAACCATCAATCTGGCAACGTCGCAAAAATATACTTGGCAACATTGCAAAAATCAATTTGGCAACGCCGCAAAAATTGACTTGGCAACATTTCAAAACGTAATTTGAAAAAATAGACTTTGCAACTTCACAAAATTGATTTGGAAACGTCGCAAACATAGACTTGGCAAAATTGCAAAAATTGATTTTGCAAAGTTGCAAAAATTGACTTAACATGGCAAAACATCAATCTGTCAACTTCGCAAAAATAGACTTGACAACGTCGCAAAATCGAGTTGGCAACGTCGCAAAAATTGACTTGTCATCGTCGCAAAAATCGATTTTGCAACGTTGCAAAAATTGACTTGTCAACATGACAAAACATCAATTTGACAGCTTCGCAAAATCGACTTGGCAACGTCGCAAAATCGATTTGGCAACGTCGCAAAAACTGACTTGGCAAAATAGTAAAAAAACTTGTAAATAAAATAATTATGCCATAATTTTATTTAAAAAAATACAAATCACGTTTAATAATGATCTTCTAAAGTATTTTTTGAAGCTAATCTCAAAGCTTCGCGTTCAGCTGCGATCCTGGCGTGATCAGCTGCAATTTTTTCGAATAGAGTGTAATGCCTATTTTTTGCATTGTGAACTGCCACTGAGTCTCTGGGTACCTAAAAAATAAAATGATAAAAAAATTCTAGATATATTATTAAAAAGTCATACCACTAAAATTTGGGGACTTTGATGTTGTAAGGCTATGGCATTGTACTGCTCATAGTGCCTTTGTTTAGCCTGGAAAACCGATTTGCTATCACTAGGCAAATCAGGTTGATTCTTGTTCAAAATAGGATGAAATCCGTTTTTATCAGCGGTATATTCAACAGTTCTGATTTGGTGCCTTGGATCCACATACGAATAAGAACCTAGAACAATGAAAAACTTGTTTTTGAACATACTATATTTTGGTAAGTTTATAGTGATTTTTTACCTTGCACGTTGCCAGCACCGTCAGAAACTTCGCTGTGCGTTCTGTCAATATGTCCTGGGAATCTTCCAGCGGCGTACCCAAAGGCGTATGGTTTAGGGGGAGGGGGGATGGTCGACAATTCTTCTGTTAACAAAATATGCGAAACGTCGCAAGCAATTTGTGAAATTGCAAAAAATAAGATTAGGACCTGAAAATTACGAAAAATGACTTGGCAACATTGCCAAAATCGACTTGGCAACGTCGCAAAAATTGACCTGTCAAAATTGCAAAAATCGTAACGTTATAACTGTCTAAAGAACGTCAATTTAAGCTGAATAACTGTTTTAGGAAAGTCAAGTTAAGATGGCATTTTGAGTGCAGATTTGAAAGTTTGAACCATGTGTAATCACGACCTTTAATAGTTGAAAAGTGAGGTCAAAAATAGTGTTAAATATTACAAAATATTAAATCAAATTAATAAAAACAATTAGTTACGAAATGTTGTGTATTAAATATTAAAAATTATAAGTATAATAGTCAAAATAAAGATTATGATCTAATGTAATAAAAAACCACACCTAGTTTTTTGTTGTATGAAATTTTAGCACGTATTTGTAATTTTAAGACAAACGTAGTACCTATAGAGAAAGTTTATATCTCTATATTATATAATATAATATTAGTAAAACTTACCTTTTCCATATTTGCTGATAAAAATCTCGATGAAACCTGGTAAATCTTTTTAAATTTATTAATTAATTAATTTACTATCAGATAGAATATCACAACACTTGGTATGTTCAATATGGTTTTGATACTAAAATGTGAAAGTGAATTTTAACTTAAAATTCTTCTCATGTATTATTTTAATATCCTTGTTATAAAAATAAGCAGCAAAATATTACACAATTTGCGATGTAATAAAAATGATGAATGATTGTTTGGGAGACTGGATTTAAAGATGTTTTGCTGAAATAAATTAATATTAATGATCAAACAAAAATAAAAACATTAATTTTGCTATAATATAGTTTATTTTCTATATACAGTCCTCAATTGATATAAAAAAGAAAAATTAAGCAAATAAGCAATAAATTGTTGATAATGTATGTACAATAATAATAATTATTATAATTAACCGAAAAATAATAAATTTTAAAAAAGAACCATGCTAATTTAATAATATAATAAAAAAACACCCGGTATTTTATTATATCAATATTAAAAAAAGTAAAATTCAAGACTCATTAAATCACAGTTAATACCGGGTGTCCAAAAATCACATGGTGTTCGTCATCTTCGACAATCGCAAAATCGACTTGGCATCGTCGCAATGAGTGAATGCTGCAACTTTGCAAAATCGACTTGGCAACGTCGAAAATCCAGTTTTCATCGATAAAAAATTAAACACTTCGTAATGAAACTATTTAAAACATAGCACTATATGGCGTTTTTTATTAGATATAATATTTCGCTTAAAACGACGATTTAAGCGTGGCAACGTCGCAAACTCCGAAAATCGAGTTGGTACTCGAACTTCGCGATTTTTCGTCGACTTTACGATAAAATCATCGAAAAATGCGCGGCAGTTCGAAAAACTCGAGTAGTCGACGTGGCAACGTCGCAAACGTTGAAAATCGAGTTGGTACTCAAACTTCGCGATTTTTCGTCGATTTTAACATAAAATCTTCGAAAAACGGCCGGCAGTTCGACTAACTCGAGTAGTCGACGTGGCAACGTCGCAAACGCTGAAACTCGAGTTGGTACTCAAACTTGGAGATTTTTCGTCGACTTAAACATAAAATCGTCGAAAAATGGCCGACAGTTCGAATAACTCGAGTAGTCGACGTGGCAACGTCGCAAACGCTAAAAATCGAGTTGGTACTCAAACTTCGCCATTTTTCGTCGACTTTATGATGACATCGTCGAAAAATGGCCGGCAGTTCGAATAACTCGAGTAGTCGACGTGGCAACGTCGCAAACGTTGAAAATCGAGTTGGTACTCAAACTTCGAGGTTTTTTTGCCACTTTACGAGAGCTGCACTTGCAACTCGGAAATGTGCATCTCCTCGCCGATCTCGTGCTCCACAGCCTCGTATTTCGTCTCGATTATTTCTTCATGATCTTCGGTTCCGGTAGAGACTGACGTCACGGCCGCCGCGGTTTCGTCGTTCGAAGCGGAACCTTCCAGATTATCCTCGGAAACGCTCGGCTGCGCCGGCGCAGCCGGCTTCGTTCGCCCGTATTTTTCGTGTATGTTCCTGTGACGCTTCAAAGCGAACCTAAAAAACGCAAAAATCGAGTTGGCAACGTCGCAAAAATCGATTTGGCAACGTCGCAAAATCGATTTGGCAACGTCGCAAAATCGACTCGGCAACTTCGCAAAATCGACTTGGCAACTTCGCAAAATCGAATCGGCAACGCCGCACAAGTCGACTTGGCAACGTCGCAACCTACCTGTCTGAGAATCCGACGGAGCAGATGTCGCACTTGAAGGGTTTTTCCCCGCTGTGAACTTTCGCGTGATTTTTCAGATGCGTGGCTTGGTTGAAGCAGCTTCCGCAGATGTCGCACCTGTAGGGTTTTTCCCCCGTATGTATGCGTCTGTGGTTCCACAGAGTCGAATGTCTCGCGAAAGATTTGTCGCACACTTCGCAAACGTACGGTCTTTCGCCGCTGTGGATTCTCTCGTGATTTTTTAAATGGGGCGACTGCGAAAATTGCATCCCGCACACGTTGCATCTGTAGGGCTTCTCACCTAAAAAATAAAAATAATACAATAATTAAATTTACAATTTTTTTACACTTACCCGTATGAATTCTCGAATGGTTCTTCAAATAGGCGGCCTTAGCAAACGCCAGTCCGCAAATGTTGCACTTGAAATTTTTCTCCCCTGTATGTAACCTTTTGTGAGACCACAAGGATGAATACCTACTAAAAGAACCTAAAAAAAATCCACGAAATTAACAAAATAACACACCCAACAAAAAAAAAATACCCACCATTACAAATATTACAGTGAAAAGGTTTCTCCACGTTGTTCTGCTGATTCTTGGCGCCACCTATGAAAATAATACCGCTACCGTTGCACTTGGTGCACTTGGTAACGCTGGCAACACCGCGACGTTTAACAGGGTGGTTATTTTTCACGCCAATCGGAATGGTATTCTGCGACCCTGCAGAAAATTCTTCATATTTCATTTGTCTTAGTTTTTAGAGATTTTTTTTGTTTTAGAGAGTTGTGGAGAATTGAATTTGCTATGATTTTGTTCCAATAATTTTTTTTTACAATGTATACTTTTGGAGTTATGAGGGTTTGAAAACCATGGTGATTTTTAAAAGAGTGACGATTAACAATTACTTCAGTTGACTGTAAATATGTCAATTTTTGACATATTTTAACACCCTAAACATAAATTTAAAGACAATCTAATAAACTTCAATATAATTTAAAAACCATCCGTATAACTCAAAAACCTACAAACATACAGGGCATTTTTTCTTCCCAACACATTTCAACCCTCAACATTCTTAAAACCCCCGTAAACCCCATAATACCAACACTACAAAAACAAACTTGACACCAAATTGTAGCCAACTCAACCCTCTAAAACTCCCTAATTGGGACTTTTTCGGTACCACCAACATAAAAAAAGTTATAACGCGAAACACAATCTCACCTAAGTTTGTGGTTTGCGTCCCGGTACTTTCTTCAAACTTGATGGTGTCAGGGGCTGTTTGCACCACAAAAATCTGCGGTTGAATGGATTCAGCGCTAAGGCAGTTCTCACACTTGACCTTCATAACCGCGCGTTTTTTGTTTGTATCCTGCGGTAGCGGAGCATTGCAAGTCTCGCAATTTTTTATTTTTAACGTGTTCTGCTGTTGCTGTTGCGGCGCTTGTTGTTGCTGCTGTTGCTGTTGTTGATTTTGCTGCTGGTTGTGCTGCTGAATTTTATGATTCTTCAGGTCGTTTTGCGTGTTGAACGTTAAACCGCATTCTTCGCACGAAAAACGGATTCTATCAGCGGATACTATTTGAATTTGAGTTGGTTGCTGTTGAGGTTGCTGTTGAACCTTAAATTAACGTAATTAAGTTAAAAAACGAAAATCCCTAAATTTCGGATTTTTTGCCAAAATGGCAACGTCGCATTTATGAAAAAATTGCGAAATTAACGTTGCAATGAATTGGAGTGTATAATTTGAATTATTTAAAGCACTTTTACAAGAATACATTTTTTTGATTTGGGGCTCAGTTTCCGATGTACAGGGGTTTAAAGAAAAACTGTTCAAAGTAAAACCCTCTGTAAATAAAAAACTACGCATTAAATCAAAAAAATTTATTCTACTGAAAATGCTTGGAACAATCAAAACCATCAATCACGACACATTATAACCTCAAAAACGCTCAAATTGTACAAATGCGGCGTTGCCAAATTTATAAAACTCCCAGATTTGGGGATTTTCGTTTTTTGACATACCTGCACTGTGATTTGCTGCTGTTGGACTTGCCCTTGCGTCTCGGGATGGGAGACTTTCTTGTGATGGTTTAATAACGTTAGATGGGCGAAAATCAGCCCACAAATCTCGCATTTAAAGCTAATGTTACTGATGGCGTTTTGCGTTAGCAAATTCTGATTAACGAGAGTGTAATTGTAGCTGAAAGGTTGGGTTATGTAGCATTTATCGTCCGTCAATTGCGACATATTGACGGTTGACGTGTGATTTTGACTCGTGTTGGGTGCGATTTTATGCAACATATTGACATTTGCGTAGCAAAAAGACGGGAAAGCGTCTTTTTGCTCGGTTTTTTGCTCTTTCTGCTCATTTTGCTGACTTTGCTGGTACTGAATTTGATTCTGCTGAGTAGTTATAGCGTTTGGGTCAAACATTTTGGAACCTGTAATAAAAATTATTGATGCAACCCCCTATTTAGTTACAAAAAATACTGATCAACCCTTGTATAGTCAGATGGAACATAACCTTACTTATAGAGAGTTGTCATAGTGACGTAAAATGTCAAAATGACGTTTTAAACGTCACAAGGGTTTGATAAACAAATTAAATCTAAATGTGCGTCTGTTTTATCTATAATTAGGGTCAATTAATTAGGAATGCCGATTAAATTGATATAAATTGATGTGTAAATGTGGAAAAGCCGGCTTTATATAAATAAAATTAACTGATTTCAATGTAAATTCGACCAATGAAGGCTTTATAACCAACTCCAGGGTGCGGTATTGTTGATACAAATAAATTTAGACGTTTCATTTCGCGAACATAGTTTGAAAATTGTTGTTCTCCCTTCAAAGACATCCTTTTTCCAGAAAAACAAAGATGCAACAATATGAAATGAAATAAGAATACATATAACAAAGAAAATAGCTCACCTCTTCAAAGACGCTGCGCTAAAAATCACTCAAATAACCGTTTTAAACCAATTTAAGCGCTAAAAAACCATTGTCGATCGTTCATTGATTACTTCTACACGATTTTATAAAGAAATTATACGGTAAATATGCGTATTTTTTGATAAAAACGCAAAAATTAGAAATGTCTATCTCACTTCAATATGGCGACGACAATACAAGCCATCTTTTTTCATTTAACGCCGCGTTGCCACATCTGCGTCCCCAGCACACTGGATTATATTAAAACAAGACATTTTCCATTACACAGATTACAAAATACACCAAAACATCATAGCATTTAATTGTTACGTATAATTTTTTAAAAAACATCAATATTACCATCATTTCATTAATAAAAAAACGAAAAATATACGTATTAATAAACCAACATGGCAACGTTGCGTTCATTTCATGCACCACTGCAAAACGCATGCGCAAACGACTTACATCGAATTTACATCGAATTCCCGTGATTCATCTGCGACGTATTCGCTTTATTTTTAGATTACTTTCGTAATATTTAAATCATTACGTATTACGATGACTTAATTTACTGCGTCACTCTGTATCGTATGATTTATTGTGTAATTTTTATTTATACACACAAAACAATGATTTTTACAGTTAGAGAGGTTGTTTAATGCATAATTATGACTTTTATGCATACAAAACAATATTAACGATAAATAAACACGGTTTAACGCATAAAAAGTCAAAAACAAGACAAAATAAACACAATATTCGATATTGGTGGCAATCTGGTGACTTTCACTTTTCCCCCAGATAGTGACGGCTTGTGAGTTGGTATAGGGACAATGTCGGACCTTGGTAGTGGTGATGAAGGCTCAAATTCGCAGAGTAAGTACGAAAAATAATAATAATAACCACATAACAACATTCCTTGATGTTTTTTCTACCTGTGTAGTGAAATTCACGCGATTTTGTTGAGGAACAAAGTCGCTGTGAGGGTTTTAAATTTGACAGATGATCTAATATGGCGTTTTGACAGTTCTTGTTGAGAGAAAAATCGGGATATTTAGTTAAATTAGCTTTTAATTCGTTGTTGAATGTTTTTAAAGGGTTCTGGATATGTTGAGGGATGTTTATTAGGTGTTTTTATTAAGGATTAAGTTGGGATTGTCGATAAATTTTGGCTTTTAAGATTGCAATTTAACATACATTGCCCTAGTCATGTAGTGACCTTGGGTAATATAAGTTTACTTGATAATTTTGCGATATATTAAGGGATTCTCGCCCTTAAGGTGTTTTCTCGCAAAAACGTCAAAAAAAACTCGTATCAAATAAACAAGATAAACAGACTGTATAGTCTTTCAATAAACACGTAAAAAATCGTTAAAAAACGCCACGCAAAGTCTTTGTTACCCGAAACGTCAAAATGTTAACGTATCATAACCCCGCCAAAATAAAATTATGAATGAATATCTTAAGGTGACTCATTTGTTTCTTGGAAATGCGATAATAAGACTCTGTAGTAAATCCACAGTAATGAATCATTTTATCAGTTTCGTTTTTGTGTTGGTGCGTGCACGTTTTTCGTTTGTTTTTCGTCATGGATAGCGCTGTTTTGGAACGGATTCAGTATTGGGTCGATCCTAGTATGACAAGTTTAGACAGGGTGTTGTGATTTTGGTGCTTTTTTTTGAAGTGTTACGAAATATTGATTTTACTTAAAAACCGTCAGTGCTATCAAATTTTATTAAGAGATATTTTTTGTGCAAAAATGTCAGTTCTATGTGCACGCTAAATTTGTAACTTTAACCGTTTTGTGATATTCCTAAAATTCACCTAAAACTTCAACACCCTGTATATCGAAAACTAAACCCCCAATCGAAACTTTGTATTCTAAAAAGTGCTTAAAATCCCTAAATTTATCACATTCCGTAAAAACATGTTTTTTTAGGCCAACAAGGCCAGGTGGAGCAGGAGCTGGCCACAAAGATGCTCCAGATCCAGAGCAAAAGGTTCTACCTGGACGTGAAGCAAAATCGACGGGGGAGGTTCATAAAAGTCGCGGAGGTAACCTAAAAAAAAAAATTAAAAATTTTTTTTTTCAAAAATTTTTTTTTAGATCGGAGCTGATGGCAGACGTTCCCAGATTTTCTTGGCCTTGTCCACCGCGGCAGAGTTTCGCGACCATCTCTCAGCCTTCAGCGATTTCTACTCTTCGCTGGGTAAGTTTTTATGCAAAGAAAATACATCATAACACATGACACTTTTTAAACCCTGGTAACTCCCATAATATCAACATTACAAAAACAAACTCGACACCAAATTGTGCCCCACTCAACCCTCTAAAACTCACTAATTGGGAGTTTTTCAGTAGCACCAACATTAAAAAACTTACAACCCTAAATATCTTCAGTTGGCATTAAAAAAAATAGCAATTGAAATGATATTTTGCGAGCCTGCGGAAAATTGGTTATATTTCATTTGTTTTTGTTTTTAGAGAAAAATTTTGTTTTGGAGAGTTGTAAGGAATTAAATTTGCCATGATTTTGTTTTTATATATTTTTTTCTACGATTGTTAGTTTTGGAGTTGTGCCGTTTTAAAAGTTAGGGTGATTTTTTAAATGACAATTAAAAAATGTTTTTGGTTGGCTGTATTTATGTCAATTTTTGACATAATTTGACGTCCCACGAATGATTTTAAAGGCAATTTAATAATCTTCAATATAATATTAAAACAATCGCCATAACTCTACAACCTACAAATATACAGGGCGTTTTTTCATCATAACACATTTTAGCCCTCGACATTCTTTAAACCCTGGTAACTCCCATAGTACCAACATTACAAAAACAAACTTAACGTTAAATTGTCGCCAACGTAACCCTCTAAAACTCACTTATTGGGAGTTTTTCAGTAGCACCAACATTAAAAAACTTACAACCCTAAATATCTTCAGTTGGCATTCGAAAAAATAGCAACAAAATGGTATTTTGCGAGCCTGCAGAAAATTGGTTATATTTCATTTGTTTTTGTTTTTAGAGAAAAATTTTGTTTTGGAGAGTTGTAACGAATTAAATTTGCTATGATTTTGTTTTTATATATTTTTTTCTACGGTTGTTAGTTTTGGAGTTGTGACGTTTTGAAAGTTATGGTGATTTTTTAAACAATGACAATTAAAAAATGTCTTTGGTTGGATGTATTTATATCAATTTTTGAAATATTTTGACGTTTCATAGATGATTTTAAAGGCAATTTAATAATCTTCAATATAATATTAAAACAATCCCCATAAGTCTACAATCTACAAATATACAGGGCGTTTTTTCATCTTAACACATTTTAGCCCTCGACATTCTTTAAACCCTGGTAACTCCCATAATACCAACATTACAAAATCAAACTTGGCGTTAAATTGTAGCCAACGTAACCCTCTATAACTCATTGATTGGGAGTTTTTCAGTAGCACGAACAATAAGAAAGTTATATAACTAAATGTGTTTTTTTTGCGCCATATTTTACGACGTCCATTTTAGGACCGCCAAATCCCGACAACGTGCCCGAAGACGGCAAACTAAAGAGCGAAATGATGATTAAGGAGAATCGCCGTTACTATCTCGATTTAAAGGAGAACTCGCGCGGGAGATTTTTGCGCGTTTCGCAGACGATAACACGAGGCGGGCCTCGTTCGCAGGTGAGTAAATTGTGAAGGAGGAAAGAAGAGATTTTGCAACGTTTGTTAAAATTGCCAGGTTGCCATACCGGCGCAAGGTATGATCGAGTTCAGAGACGCCCTAACGGATTTGCTGGACGAATTCAGCGCGGACGAGCACGCATACAAGCCGGATTTACCGGAAGGAAGGCACATGCACGTAGACAACAAGAATTTTTACTTCGACATTGGTAAGTTTTTTATTTTTTGATCACTCCCTGTATATTATTTCTACCTAGGAACGACACCTTTTTTTTGGTTACTTTTCTTAAATTGACAACCAAAAATTTGAAATTTTGACACTTGTTAACAACATGTTTAAATATGATGATATCTTTCTTGATTTAGAAGATTTTTGAGTCGAACAAAAAGTATTTTGTGAAGAAATGTTCACTTTACATTATAGTGAAAGAAAATCATAAATTGGTGATCGAATTTTCACCAAAGATGACCCCAAAGTTGCAACTTTTTTTTCTTATTACATTTTAACATTTTCTTGATATTTTTACGTTTTTTATTGTTTTTTGGATTCTTTCTTTGTTTTTTTACATTTATACTTTTTGAATATTACAATTTATTCAAAATATGTTTAAACGTGATAATATCTTTCTTGATTTAGAAGATTTTTGAGTCAAACAAAAAGTATTTTGTGAAGAAATGTTCACTTTGCAATATAGTGATAGAAAGTCACAAATTGGTGATCGAATTTTCACCAAAGATGACCCCTAAGTTGCAACTTTTTTCTTATTTCATTTTAACATTTCGTTGATATTTTTACGCTTTTTATTGTTTTTCGGATTCCTTTTTGTCTTTTACATTTATACTTTTTGATTATATTAAAATTCATTGAAAATATTTCCTTGATATTTTTACGTTTTTTATTGTTTTTTGGCCTTTCTTTGTTTTTTTACATTTATACTTTTTGATTATTACAATTTATTGAAAATATGTTTAAATGTGATGATATCTTTCTTGATTTAGAAGATATTGAGTCGAACAAAAAGTATTTTGTGAAGAAATGTTCACTTTACATTATAGTGAAAGAAAATCATAAATTGGTGATCGAATTTTCACCAAAGATGACCCCAAAGTTGCAACTTTTTCTCTTATTACATTTTAACATTTCCTTGATATTTTTACGTTTTTTATTGTTTTTTTGTCTTAATATGTTTTTTACATTTATATTTTTTGATTATATTACAATTTATTGAAAATATGTTTAAATATGATTATATCTTTCTTGATTTAGAAGATTTTTGAGTCGAACAAAAAGTATTTTGTGAAGAAATGTTTGCTTAATAATTGGGTGAACGTAAATCATAAATTGGTGATCGTATTTTGACTTCAGATGAACCCAAAGTTGTAACTCGTAATATATTTTTTTTTAATTTGATGATATCTTCGTTAATATAGAAGATTGTTTGGTTAAACAAAAAACATTTTGTGAAGAAATGTTCACTTTACAATCTAGTGAAAAAAAATTATAAATTGGTGATCCCGTTTTCACCACAGATGATTTTTTGACGTTTTTTTCTTCTTTTTATTGTTTTTTTATTCTTTTCGGCAAAAAAGTGAAAATCTAATGTTTTGCCTCTACAACGCAGGTCAAAACAATCGCGGCGTGTACATGCGCATTTCGGAGGTGAAAACGAACTTCCGAACCGCGATCACAGTACCTGAGAAGAGCTGGCCGCGGTTTCGCGACATCATGGCCGACTACTGCGACAAAATCAAGCAGCCGCAGCAGCAGCAGCCGCCGCCGCCTTCGATGGGCGGCGGGGGCGGCGGCGGCCCGCAGCCGACCAATCAGCAACCGGGGCAGGACCAGATGCAGCATCCGTTGGTAAGTTGCGAAGCAAAAACTCGCTTTTTCAAGTCGCCGGTTTGATTTCAAAAACGCACTTCCAATTCGGACGAAATTTAGTAATTTTCATTTTTTTTTCTCTTGTGCTGGCAGTGATACATTCAGGTAGGGCAAAATTTTAGACCAAAGAGTTTTTGCTGAATTTTTTCTCCAACTCACCTAATTTTTCGCTTTCAGGTTGGTAATACGATGCAAGACACCGGTACGACGTTAAAATAGGCTAGCCGCCAAACATTTTAGAATATTTAGATTTATTGAAAATAACAAATTATTAAATTGGAATAGGTTGACCGGCGTTGCCAAACTTCGCTCTATCCTCGTCGACAAAAAAAACTCGAGGTTGACTAACCAAAAAAAAAACAAACAAAAAACGAAACGGGAAGCGAAGTCTGGCAACGTCGGTGAAAGATTTGTGTACGCGCAGTTGGTTTTTGTTTCCCTCGAAATGCATGAAGGCGGTGTTGCCAGAAAACTTGGAACGCTACCCTAAGTAAATGTTAGAATTCTCTATTATATGTTACTAATTGATGATTGAAAAAAAATAATTATTTATTACTACTATTATTATTATTATTATTATTGACGCTTTTTTGTTTGTTGTCTATTATTGTTAGTTTGTTTTTTTTTGCTTTTTTTGTACATTGATTTGGCAACGGAGCACCACCACACCGAAAAATGCCACGTTTCAAATTTAAACTGTGATTTTATTCGAAACGCAAAAACTATCGCTTAAATACGACGAAATCTTTGTCAATTTAGAAGATTTTTAAGTCGAACAAAAAATGATTTGTGAAGAAATGTTTACTTAATAATTTGGTGAAAAAAAATCACAAATTGGTGATCCCATTTTGGCCACAGGTGACACCAGTTTTTCTTAATACGTTTTATCAAAAATCTGTCTAAATATTGATATCTTTTTAAGTTTAGAATTTTTTTGGGTTAAATAAAAAATATTTTGTGAAGAAATGTTCATTTTAAAATCTAGTGAAAGAAAATTATAAATTGGGGATCTCATTTTAAACACAAATGACTCTAAGTTACAACTTATTACATTAAATACGATGATATCTTTCTTGATTTAGAAGATTTTTGAGTCAAACAAAAAGTGATTTGTGAAGAAATGTTTACTTAATAATTTGGTGAAAGTAAATCACAAATTGGTGATCCCTTTTTGGCCACAGGTGACACCGAAGTTTTTCGTAATAAATTTTATCAAAAAAATGTTTATATATTGATATCTTTCTAAATTTAGAATATTTTTGGGTTAAACAAAAAACATTTTGTGAAGAAATGTTCACTTTACAATCTAGTGAAAGAAAATCACTAATTCGTGATCACATTTTGGCCACAGATGGCATTGAGTTCTTGAAATTTGTTGTTGATTAGTATTATACCGTCAGTATTTTATTGTATTGTTATAATATTATTATTATTATTATTATTACCGGTGGTGCTCCTATTTACGACGATTTATTAGTTTGATGAAATTTGATGAAAATTATTGTAGATAGGTTTTACAAAAAGTTTTAAATTTAAAAACCACGGGTTAAACTCAGCATTCTTAAAAACTGTACTATGTGATTAGAACAAAAATTATTTTTTTATGTTATTAAGGTGATGTTTTCAAAATTTTACGAAAAAAAAAAATATATTTGTTTTTTTTATTATATATTATTGTGAATAGATTTATTTATTATTTTCCGTGTAAACCTAAAAAAAAATGAAACTGTTTTCATATTTATAGAAACTAGTCAATACATTTTACAATATATTTTTTCGGGACCGGCTCTCTCACGGGAAGATGAAAAACAAAAATAAACATAGGCTTGTCGGTTAGGGTCTGTAATAGGTATAATAGGCTCGGGCTTTTAATAAAAATAAAATAATTACCACAGCATTTATAACCTCAACGTATTTTTGAGGTTAAAAATGATGGGGTAACAAACTGATTTTCCTCTCCCTAATAATTGAATTGCGGATTATTCCACTTGCGTTGGGTACCTCGTGTGCGTTATTTGCAGGTTATGGGCCCGAAAAACCGCGGCTCGCTCCTTCCCAATACATAAATAAAAAAATATATGAAAAAAAAATTCGGTACAAATACAAATATAGTACAACTATGCGAGGCCAATTTCGCTTTTTGCCGAAAAATCGAGTTGGCCGAATTTTCGACGATGTCATGTGATTCGCATAAATATAACCTCACTTACATACGGGTGTATGTCTGAAAGTTGGGTTGCGTCGATTTTTCTCCAAGAAAAGCGAAATGAAAGGTTTTTCGCGCTTTTCAACCTATGAAGTTTGAAAGGCCTGTCCCACAAGCTAAAAAGTATAAATAAAATATAGCTTATATATATTATAAAACATGTTTTTCGGCGGAATTTTTCGAGTTTGCGTTGTTTTTCGAAATTTTTTGCACTTTCCCCCCCAAAATCTCACCTTAAAGTTTTGTTGTTGTTGTTGTCATGCGCGGACTCTTAAAATTACGCCGTACTTTTACGTCTTACGTTCTTAATATTTCTCGAATTGTACAATTTGTTCTTTTAAAAAAGTGTTTATAAGAACTAGATAGTAGGCTAAGAGGACGGGGGTTCCCCTGCCACATTTGCCGACGTACTTTGAAAATTGCACGATATTTTTGATAATTACCAATGTGATGATGATAAACACATATGGACCGCCCTGTATGCAGTGTACAGGGGGTTCAAATGACGTTGACTGTGATTTTACGATTAAAAAAAAGTAGAATGGTGCTGAAAAGAAGGGATTAACAAACAAAAAAAAAATGTGTCGTACTTGTGAAGATGTAGATTTATATTTTTGTATGCAAATTTTGCCTAAAATATCGAATATCTTAGGCAGGATCGTACTTGGTCGTTTTTGCGTTTCTTCGGCAAATTAAGCATGAGGGGCCCCCTTAAATATAGAGTAAGGTATTGTTTTACAAAAAAAAATTTTTTGGTAATAAATTAGGTGTTAAAGTAGGTCCGGAACGGTCGTACTCGTACTGGGCAAAATTGTTTCTGCCATCCTCAGATACCCAACTTTACGAATGACGATTACACTTAAAAATATCTGCCATTTAACATTCTCAATTCGTACAATTGGGTATTTTCCTCTATGATTTTTAATCTCAGGGCGTTTTTTATGAATTGCTTTATAAAAATGCTTATAGCTCCTTGTGATAGATTCATTAATTTAATAAAACGTTCGGAATAAGTACGACCGTTTCTTCTGGTGTTTAAAAATAGGAAGGTACTGTATAGTTTGGTAAAAAAAGTCACTATTCCACCACAAAAATAAAAAAACGTAATTACGCAGTTGATCTTACTGCCAGATACACTTATGATTTCTATATATCGAAATGTTACTTTTCAAAAACATTCTCAGTTGAAAAAAAATAAACCTTTATAAAAAAACAACCTTGTGTTTTATTTTGATTACTCCCCGCATTTTCCATAGGTGATATCTTCGCTAATATAGAAGATTTTTGGGTTGAACAAAAAAAGTTATGAAGAAATGTTTACTTTACAATCTGGTGAAAGAAAATCGTAAGTTGGTGATACAATTTAAAACATTCAATTTAGAAAGCTTGGTACGTCAAAAGTAGGCGCATTGTACCGTTGCTAACTTCATCTGTGTGGCGGGAAGTTTGAATGTTGATTTTTTAGCATTCAATTGACCATATGCAAGGAATGCGGTCGATGTTGCCAGTGGTAAAAAAATAAAATTCCCTATTGGGAACATTCAATTATATTACGTTGGCTACACTGAAATTTTAAATTTCCCGCACAAACTGACATACATTCTAGTAGTTCCCAGAGATAAAGAAGGTAGTTCCAATGTTGTATAATAAATTAAGGTGCGAATTTCAAATGTGGGAATTATTATTATTATTTATTATTAAAATAAAAAGATGGAAATTAATTTAGTTTGTGCGGGAAATTCAAATTTTCAATGTAGCCAACGTAATATAATTGAATGTTCCCAATAGGGAATTTTATTTTTTTACAATTGGCAACATCGACCGCATTCCTTGCATATGGTCAATAGGTTTTTAGAGGGTTTTGGGGTAAAATAAAAATTGCATTAATACAAAAATGTATTTTATTCAAATTAAACAATATACGATAAATCTCTTATAAATTAAAAGGGCATAATAAACTTAAAAAATGTAAAACACAATTATTTAAATACAATAGGGTAAATCAAATATACATACAATCATTGAGTCTTAAAAAGAATTCTAGAAATATACAAAAATATAAGTAAATCAGTCAGTTTTGTTGCTTTTAAAGAACTTTCACTAAAAATTTATCAAACTCGATTTTTTGGTTTAAAATGTTGAAAAAGACGAACTCTGCGTTACAAATCGTCAGATTTTTGTTCTTTTTAAGTTTTAGCAGGTCCGCAATTAAATGAATGTCATTTGAATGCGTAATTATTACGTAATTTTTACTGGGGATTGGACCCATCTCCGAACATATTTGATTTTGGCTTCTACGAACTCTCTCGATAAAACCTCCTAAAAACAAAACAATATACAACATTAAAAATTAAAAATAACCAAAAAAATACCTGACGCTTCTATCAACTCCTGTACGATTTTTTTACTGGGCGAGACGGAAGGCGTAATCCAAAAAATATAACCTTCAAACAGCTTGTTTTTGTTCTCCTTCAACAAACTGCCATAAAAATCGATCTCGAACATTTTATTGAACCTTTCCGCGTCAAATTTATACGAATTTTCGTCCAAGAAACGTTTTTCTCGGTGCGAATCGATCAACCAACTTTCAGGCACGATTCGAACGCCCCTCGTTAAGGCAAACATCAGTTTTATGCTGCGACTTAATTGAGGCATCACCAAATGGGTGCAATCTTGAAGATTTTTCGTCAAAGTTGCCCCCAATTCTCTAAAATGAGCATTTAAATGAAATCAGTTTGATACAGTCGTGGACAATAGTTTTATAGCTATTGTCCACGAGTGTATTAAAACAAAGGCCTCTGCATGTTGATTTAGGCCTAATTTCACTAACCTGACCATTCTCTCCATACTTTTGGTGTTGGTAGCCATGGAAAATAATATTCTGTACCCACCATTGGCCGAATTATTGACAATTTCGTCGATATTGTCATTTTCATCGGTATTTTCGGTTTTTTGTTTTTTTGCCTTCGGCAACAAAACAGGAGACGCACTTCTTTTGACTCTTTCATAGGACTCTTGTGAGATGTTAATGGGCATTTTCCACGCATCTAAAAAATTTTTTTTAACGAAAAAATAGATTTTTTCCATCTAAATCTTACGCATTAAATTTGGCACGTGTTTGGGATCGAAGCTAAAATTCGGCGGGGTCGAATATTGTTGATATAACACGTGCTCCATTTGGGAGAGGGCGGTAAAATTCCCCAGCATAACGTCAGTCAACCATTGCACGTTAACAACCGAAATACCGCACTTTTTCGCGTAACTGTATTTGGGTCCTTCCGTTTTGGCGGCCACCAGCAAAGTGTTGTGTTTGGAAAAGTACGAAGTCATCTGCGAAGTAAAATGCGAAAAAATATAAAATCATCACGGCCTAAATGTTGTTGGTTAGGCCTCGGTTAAAACAAAACTGTTAATAAGTCTGAAACTACTTAAAATATTTTACCCAAATTTAATGCAAATGTTTGTTATTGTTTGGTAAACATTTCACCCAAATTTGATCAAAATCGCACATATCCCGAAAAAGTTATACTTACTTTAGCCCCAGTATAACTAATAATGTTCTTGATTTTATTTAATAACTCTGAAACTAGTTGAAATATTTTAACCAAATTTGGTGCAAATGTTTGTTGATGTTTAGTTAACATTTTAACCAAATTTGATCAAAATCGCACAAATCCCGAAAAAGTTATACTCACTTTAGCCCCAGTATAACTAATTATGTGCTTGATTTTATTTAATAACTCCCAAACTAGTTGAAATATTTTAACCAAATTTGGTGCAAATGTTTGTTGATGTTTAGTTAACATTTTAACCAAATTTGATCAAAATCGCACAAATCCCGAAAAAGTTATACTCACTTTAGCCCCAGTATAACTAATCATGTGCTTGATTTTATTTAATAACTCTGAAACTAGTTGAAATATTTTAACCAAATTTGGTGCAAATGTTTGTTGATGTTTAGTTAACATTTTAACCAAATTTGATCAAAATCGCACAAATCCCGAAAAAGTTATACTCACTTTAGCCCCAGTATAACTAATTATGTGCTTGATTTTATTTAATAACTCCCAAACTAGTTGAAATATTTTAACCAAATTTGGTGCAAATGTTTGTTGATGTTTAGTTAACATTTTAACCAAATTTGATCAAAATCGCACAAATCCCGAAAAAGTTATACTCACTTTAGCCCCAGTATAACTAATCATGTGCTTGATTTTATTTAATAACTCCCAAACTAGTTGAAATATTTTAACCAAATTTGGTGCAAATGTTTGTTGATGTTTAGTTAACATTTTAACCAAATTTGATCAAAATCGCACAAATCCCGAAAAAGTTATACTCACTTTAGCCCCAGTATAACTAATCATGTGCTTGATTTTATTTAATAACTCTGAAACTAGTTAAAATATTTTAACTAAATTCGGTGCAAACGTTTATTAATGTTTGGTAAACATTTCACCCAAATTTGATCAAAATCGCACATATCCCGAAAAAGTTATACTCACTTTAGCCCCAGTATAACTAATCATATGCTTGATTTTATTTCTATCGGCGCCTGTGAATCCACTGATTGAAATTAAATGCTTTGAGGCTGGGGTGGTGTCCAAATAAATCGTGGGTAGATGCAGGGCCGTCCAGGGCGGTAAAACCTGCCTCCTTTTCATGACGTCAGAAAGCCAGTAAATTGTGACGCATCGTTTGCAATCGCGTAAAGCCTGCATTACCACACCGTGCCTCTGGGTTTCACAGAGAACGTGCGTCACCCTGTTGCAATACTGTCTTTCCACTTCGCCTAAAATTTTTGTGTCAAAATTTTGCAAAAACGTAAAAATAGTAAAATTAGTGCGGCCTAATTTTTTTTTTGTTGGGCCTCGGTTAGTTTAGGCTGTAGTAAAAATTTTTTTTTGTCTACCTCCGTGTTTTTCGATTTTTTGCTGCCATCCAGGTAAAGAATCGTCCAGGTATCGCTCAATTTCAACCACAACGAAAATGCAACCTAACAAGAACAAATTCGCTGGAACTACAAAAAAAACAAATCAATTTTTTTTAAACAATTTTTTTTAAAAAATTTACGTTTTAGGTTGGGGTTGTGCCCGTAGAAAGGCCCGGGACGGTGCTGAACCGGCACTGGCGGCCTAGATCCGTACTGCAATTTATTGGGCTCGCTTATCGGGTTTACAGGGGGGGCTACGGGCCCCGGGGCCCTTATAATTTCCCCGTTGGGGCCGCTTATGACCCTGGGGCGTTGCTGGAGCCCCATCAACTCCTGCGGCCTCGGATTCGAATTCAAAGCTGCGTTATGCTGAGCGGTCATCAACCTGAAGATTTTAGAACACGACTTATAAATAACAAAATTGCATATATCTCCGCAACGAAGCGAAATTCGTAAAATTAACAGGAAAGAAAATTTGTCGAGGATGAAATTCTCTACAAAAAATACCAAATATTTTTTTTTGTATAGCGAAGCGTCAAAGAGATACGGGCTTAAGAAGTAATGCATTTTTTTTGGCATATGTATATACCGTCTTCGGGTGTTATCACGCCCCCTGTTGGTGTAATATCAAAGTGTCGTATATAAAAATGAAGCTCTTGAAATTCTCTACAAAAAAGATAAAATGCACTTTTTCCATATAATGAAGCGTTAAAGAGATATACGACTTGCTACATAAGTATGCACATATATAGTCTTTGGCGTTTATCACGCCACCTGTTGGTGGGATGTCAAAGCGTCATAAACAAAAATTGTAGCCGGTAAAATTCTCTACAAAAATACATATTCATATTTACCTTAAAGTTCCGGCAGCGCTTTGTTCGGGCAGGTTTTCCGGGGGGGTTATGTTGGTACCGCCGCTTTGCAATCTAATGCTCAGCATGTTGGCTAGGGCGGTTTTAGTTTTGGCGTTGACCACCAGGGGATGTTGCACGCCCGCCTCGGCGAGGTTCTGAACCGGGGTGGGGGTCGTGGAGTCCGCTACGGGGGTTTGCCCCGGCAGAGGGCGCACCAATTGCTGCGCGGGTTGAGTCTGGGGTGCTAGGTGGGCTTTCTGGGCCTGCTCGCGCTGTATCTGAAGCTGCTGCAGCCGGTACTGTCGTATTTGAAGCTGCTGCTGCGAGTTCTGATCGACCTGTACGGTTTGCGCCGGTTGAAACTGCTGCAGAACCGTTTGTTGCAACGGACTCAACCCGGGAGTTATCTGTTGCGGTTGTTGAGTTATTTGTTGCGGTTGCTGAGGCGTCAGAGTGCCGGGGGTTATGTTTTGTTGCTGCAGATTGGGCGGCAAAGCGATCCCCTGTTGTTTGGCTTGTTGCTGCAACCACTGAACCTGCTGTTGATGATTTAAACCGGCCGGAACTTGACCGCGAATCAAAATATGACTCCCCCCTCTTTGTTGCTGAACCTGCTTCATTCTCTCCTTCTGCAGTTTAGCAACAAACAGCGCGCGTTGCTCAGGAGGCATTTTTTGAAGTTGATTATGCGTATTAGCATCCAACTGTATGTACTGCCTCACTGGCATATTTTGTTGAGGTTGAGTAGGAGACCACTGCCGCGGTTGTTGACCCTGCTGTTGTTGCTGTTGAACGATGTTGATTGGGTGCCTCAATTGAGGTTGTTGTTGAACTTGTTGAGGTTGATTTATAACTTGTTGTTGCGGTTGTTGCTGGAAAAAATGCGCTCGAGGTTGTTGTTGTTGATTTTGCACCAAAATTTGCTGCTGTTGCAGTTGGTTTTGAGGTTGAAATTGCGGCCTGATTATTTGTTGTTGTTGAGGTACACCGATTTGTTGCTGTTGTTGCTGCTGCATTCTCACTTGTTGTTGTTGTTGATTAACAACGAATTGCTGTTGATTAACAACGTTCACGTCATCTAAACTTTGTTGTTGCTGAACCAAATTCTTTTGCACCAATTGTTGCTGCACGAATTGTTGATTGCCGACAAACTGTTGATTTTGCTGTTGCTGCTGCTGAGGCGACTGTTGAAATTGTTGTTGTTGTTGTTGATTCACCACGACGTGTTGTTGCTGCGGTTGATTGTGTTGCAGCAATTGTTGATTCTGCATGACTTGATGTTGATTTTGCTGCAGCAATTGTTGATTTTGCTGCATCAAGCCTTGCTGTTGTTGTTGCTGCTGACTCAGCATTTGTTGCTGTTGATTTTGCAGCAACTGTTGATTCTGCATTATTTGGTGTTGATTTTGCGGCTGTTGCTGCTGATTTAGCAACAATTGCTGTTGATTTAACAGTTGTTGCTGATTTTGTTGTTGCTGCTGCAACAACTGTTGTTGATTTTGCATTTGCAATTGCTGCTGTTGATTTTGTATCAACGTTTGTTGATTTGGCAACTGTTGCGGTTGATTGATCAACATTTGTTGTTGCTGTTGATTTTGTTGTTGTTGAACAAATTGTTGATTTTGCGGCACGAAATTCGGGTTTTGTTGATTCTGCTGCTGAATTTGTTGTTTCAGTTGCTGCAGCTGCAATTGTTGTTGATTTTGAGGTTGATTTTGAAGTTGATTTTGTATCAACTGTCTTTGCAGCAATTGTTGATTTACGACCATTTGCGGGCGTTGATTTGGCTGTTGCTGCTGTTGATTTAAAATGTTTTGTTGTTGATTTAGGCGTTGCTGCAGCAATTGTTGATGAATTGGGTTCGGTAGTTGACCTCTTAGTTGTTGTATTGAAGGTCTCATTTGATTTTGTTGATTTTGAGGACTCAACAGTCTCTGTATGTTGATTGGTTGTTGTTGTTGTGGGAAAGTTTGCTGCGGTACTGAAGTCTGGGGCGTGTGGTGGACAATACTTCTCGGTATTTGTTGTGGAGTTGGAGATATGTTGGAGTTTATAGGCGATTGAGGTAAACTTTGAGGTCTTATTGGAGATTGTTGTTGTTTTTGTTGAAAACTAGGCGCTACAACGTTAGGAGGACCAATTGTTTCACTGTTTGAGGTGCTAGGAGGCTGATTCCACGGCATACGAGATTTTAGTTTGTCCAGTAAAGCCTGCGTAGAGTTGGCAACATCGTCTTCTTGTTTAACCTCTTTTTTAACCTCAACATCAGGTTCGAAGCCTGTTATAGACGTAGTACTCTCAGTTTTAACAATTTTCGGCCAATTTATTAATTTGGGGTGAAATAAATTCGCATCCGCCAGGTTTTTTTGCTTAATACTCTCCATAACCCAATCCGGTGTTATTATGGTTATTTTACCATCCAAATTTAGAGCTTTATTGTATTTACGTGTACCACAACTCACAGTAACCAAATGTGTACATTTATTACTCAAATTAAACTGTACAACCCCCCCATTATAGGTTATAATCCCCCACAGTAAATTTGTATCTCTACCCATTTTTTCCAAACAAAAAGTCATCCCAGCAAAAATCTTGTTGGGATTATACAAATAAGCTTTTTTATTAACCAATTTTTTCAACTTGGCACTTATTACAACCCATTTAGGGGTCAAAGCCGGTATCTCATACACATCACTAGCGTCTGTGATATCTGTATCTTCGGGTGCATCCCCAACAATCAAATGGTTCACATAGTCAGAGAAATAGTTCATACGTTCCGCTTTTCCGCATTTTAACAACTCTATCACCTAAAATAAAAAAATGTCAAATATAATAACCTTAAACTTTGACGTCTGTCAAAGTGACAATTGGAAAGTTGGGTTATGTGTTGTTTTTACCTTTTCGTGGACATCACCGGTTACGTAGTACTTGATGCCACTAAAAATGTCCTCTTTGAGTTCGACGTTTTTTAATTCATCGCCTGTGTCCCCCATTTTGGCGTCAATTCGTAAAATTCATCGAAAATTAATGGGTAAATTGTTTATCTGCCATTTTGGCGACCGTTGCGAAGTTAGGCGCGAACGCTTTGCGCCTTATTACTACCAACGTAACCATAATGAAAGTACTGTGTTTTATTGTTGGGTTTTTGATGCTTTAAACGGTTAATATGCAAAGATTGGGATGTATTTATGTTTATTAAGAGTTTTTTTAACGTTTTTGTTGAATATTTTCAACTTGGAGAGTTGTTCGAGCATGCGACGCCCTTTATTCGTGGTGTCATTCTTGCTTTGAGGTTGGCAGCAGTGCAGTGCGCAGGCGCGCATCAAAAACGGGTTTCGTCCGTATACGTCGTTCAGAGATAAACGTCGTTCATGAAAGTGTCCTAAAAATCCATGAAAATCCTGTGCATCCCTACGAATTAAGTGAAGTTAATTACGCTATACGGCGTAAGGAAAACCGTTCAAATGGCCGAAGCCGATAAGTTGAATATCGACAACATAATTGCAAGACTTTTGGAAGGTAAACTTAACGAAGGTCACAACTGACAACAATGGCGTCCAAGCCAGCTAGGATCTTCCGTGTAACGCATAAAAAAAACAAATGCGATCTTCCGTGTTTACACGGCTTTTTCGATGTGTTTTAAAAGTGTTTTCCACGTTATTTTGTTAATGTGTTGTGTTACTGTGTTTTGTTGTTAGGGTGTAGTACGTGTGAAACCTTACGGATGAGTTTTTTTAATGTAAAATGATTCCTAATTCGTTTGTAAGGTTTTGGTGCACATTATTATACCCTTGTTACATAATTCAAAGCAAAACAAACTTAATATCGCGATTTTTATCCTCGCTAGTGATTATGTTTACGTTTTAACACCATATTTGTAAACATAAGATATTTATTATTTTTATTTTTTTCTATCTAACTTCCTTTGGAATTTGAACTTCTAAACCTTCGAATTTTATGTTTTAGTACGAGGTGCAAGGCCGGGAAAAAATGTCCAACTGACGGAAAACGAGATACGCGGCTTGTGTCTAAAATCCCGCGAAATTTTCCTCTCACAGCCCATCCTTTTGGAACTCGAGGCACCACTGAAAATATGCGGTAAGTTTTTTTAATTTTAACGTTTTAAACGTCATTGTGACAGTTTAAATGTCATCGTGACGTTTAAAATGTCAAATATTTACGGCGTTGTCAAGTTTGAGTGGTTAATCTATGAGATAAATGGGATTAAAAATAATTTGGGATTATAAGAAGTGTAATCTCGTTATTGGAGGCCAGGTTTTCATTAAAAATGCGAATTTAATTAATTCTAAAAATAAATCATTTAATTTTAATAAGAAAAATAAACAAATTCAGTATGATTCAAGGAACTTTTGCTATATTTAGACAGTGCAAGGTAATTTTTTATTTATTTTGATATTTTTAATTTTCTTAATTCAGTTATGATTGACATTTTTAAGCAATTTATGACAGCTTTAAATTTTTCTTTATAACTTTTTTAACGTCGGTATTACGTTAAAATGACTATGATACGAGTTTTAGAGAATTAAATTCTCTGTAAAATGATGTTTAAATTTTGCTTTTATCTTGTTTAGTTGCAGAGATATTTTAGTTCAAAGTTACATTCCACATTTAGAGATATTTATACATTTTTCTTTATAACTTTTTTAATGTTGGTACTATGCAAAAATGACCTTTTGGGAACTTTTAGAGAATAAAATTCTCTACATGATGGCGTTTATCTTTTGTTTCTACCTTGTTTCGTTACGGAGATAACTAACCTCAAAAACGGGTCATTTGAACTACCGGTTTAAAACGATCAAAAACTCATTTTAGGCGATATTCACGGGCAATATTACGATTTGCTGCGTCTATTTGAGTACGGAGGATTCCCGCCCGAGTCTAATTACTTGTTTCTTGGCGATTACGTGGACCGTGGCAAACAATCGCTAGAAACCATTTGTTTGCTGCTAGCCTACAAAATTAAATATCCAGAGAATTTCTTCCTGCTTAGAGGCAACCACGAGTGCGCCTCCATCAATCGTATATACGGATTCTATGATGAATGTAAAAGAAGGTAATTTTTTTTTTTTCAAAGAAAAAAACGATTTTCTACGTTTTTTTGTTGTTTTTTTTTAGATACAACATAAAATTATGGAAAACCTTCACAGACTGCTTCAATTGTCTTCCAGTGGCCGCCATTGTAGACGAGAAAATTTTCTGCTGTCATGGAGGTAAGTTTATAAAAATTAATTTTACGTTTTAAAGGTGGTATAATGTTTTTTTGTTGATAACTTTTTTAACGTTGGTGATATATAAAAGTCACCAAAATGAAAGTTTTAGAGAATCAATTTCTCCGTAAAATGATATTTAAATTTTGCTTTTATCTTATTTATTTGCAGAGATATCTTGGTTCAAAGTTATATTTCACATTTTGTGCTATTTATACATTTTTATTTATAACTTTTTTTATGTTGGTACCATGTAAAAATGACCTTCTGGGAACTTTTAGAGAATTAAATTCTTTACATGATGGCGTTTTTTTTTGTTTCTACTTTGCCTTGTTACAGAAAAATCTAACCTCAAAAACAGTTAAAACGCGTTTTTTAATTTCAAGCAGATTTAAATTTATAACTTTTTTAATGTTGGTAATATGTAGAAATGACTATAAAAAGAGTTTTAGAGAATTAAATTCTCCGTAAAGTGATGTTTAAATTTTGCTTTTATCTTGGTTATTTGCAGAGATATCTTGGTTCAAAGTAACATTACACAATTTGAGCTATTCATACATTTTTCCTAATAAATTTTTTAATGTTGGTACTACATAAAAATTACCTTCTGGGGACTTAGAGAATTAAATTCCTCATATAATGGCGTTTTTCTTTTGTTTCTACTTTGCCCAGTTACAGAGATATCTAACCTCGAAAACGGTTAAAACGTGTTTTTATCAAATTTTAAGCAGATTTACATTCAGATTTATAACTTTTTTAATGTTGATATTACGTAAAAATGACCGTTGAGAGAGTTTTAGGGAATTAAATTCTCAATGCAACGATGTTTATATTTTGTTTCATCGTACTTAATTGCAGATATATCTAACTCCAAAGTTTAAATTCGCATTTATGACGTATGTTTACATTTTTGTTTATAACTTTTTTAAAGTTGGAACCACGTAAAAATAACCTTTTAGGGACTTTTAGAGAATTAAATTCTCCACACGATGGCGTTTTAATTTCTTCTAAATTTTGCCTAGTTGCAGAGATATTTAACCTCAAAACATGGTTCATTTGAACTACCGATTTGAAACGCGTTTTTTCGCCATTTCTTGCAGGTTTGAGCCCGGATCTGCAGTCCATGGAGCAAATCAGACGGATAATGCGGCCGACAGACGTGCCCGACCAGGGCCTGCTGTGCGATTTGCTCTGGTCGGATCCCGACAAGGATCAGATGGGCTGGGGCGAGAACGACAGAGGCGTATCCTTCACTTTCGGCGCGGAAGTGGTCGGAAAATTTTTGCACAAGCACGATTTCGATCTCATCTGCCGCGCCCATCAGGTGGTCGAAGACGGCTACGAGTTCTTCGCCAAGAGACAGCTGGTGACGCTGTTTTCCGCACCAAATTACTGCGGTAAGTCAGTTTTTTGTTTGTAACTTTTTTTCAGCTGGTGTTACGCGAAAATGTCTTTAAAGGAAGTTTTAGAGGATTAAATTCTCTATAAAGTGGTGTTTTTGTTTTGTTTCTACAACGTTTGGTTGCTGAGATATTTAACTCCAAACCCAAGCAACACAGAATGGTATATTAAACGTTTAAAACGATCTACTACCATCCGTCACTTCGTCGTATATGTGAAACGTATTATAAACTGCAGAATGTCCGCGACTTCAACGTATATATACAGATTTCTATATTCATTTCATTAACGTATTTACATATATGATTTTTTTTATGAAATGGTAAACGTATATTAGCAGTTTACATTTACAGGTTTTACACGTATTCCAAATACGTTTATTAAATGTTATGTATTATATAAATTTATACGTATACCAAATACGTGTATTAAATGTTATTTTTCCTTATTCATTTATACGTATAATGAAAGGGTTATTTTACTTTTTCGTAACCTTTTAGACAAAAAAAAAAGAAGGTAAATTTTCACTTAATTTTATTCGAAAAATACATTTTCGTCTTAAAATTAAGTGAGAATTCACCTTCTTCTTTTTGTCAGAGAGGTTAGGAAACACCCTGTATAAACTATAAAAAGTATTAGTCCTTAAGTGACCTAAAATAATTAAAAAGTTTGTTCTTACTGCACGGTACTGAAATAATAACTCGTATACAAAAAACAAAACATATATTCTTTAAATAAACAAATTTGTTGCACAAATGTGACAAGGAAACAAAGTTATAACTTATAATAAAAATAACGTATCTACGGGTTTTACATTTTTTCTCTGTTATGCGGATGCCGGTGTTTGCTTAATTTCAACCAGTCTTTTATCGCTTGGGATATTACAGAATCGTTCAAAACAAGAGGTTCTCTTCCTGAATATGAAAATTTTACAGCTTCTAAAAAATGGAAAAAGAATATAAATAATTAGTAGGTAGTACTTGCCATTAATAACTCCAGCTATTGTTGTTATACTAAATGGACATAATTATGAATAATTAATGTTAATTATGATAAATTAATTAAGAAATACCTACCACCTAGAAAGATAGGTACCTATATGAATTAACAAAAAAACAGAATAAAATTTTAGAAATAACTCCAGAATATTAAAAATGAAAAATTGAAAAAGGAAAAAATTAAAAAATATAAAAATATTTTTATTGCGACAATTTTTTTAATTACATATTTTAATATGTATAAAGAATACTTTCTTTTGTATACAAAAGAAAGTATACTTTATACATATTACATAGTATATATACTTTTTTTTGTTAAAAATTTAAAATTAATAAGACAATTAATTATTTAAAAGTTTATTACAAAGACGTTTAAAAAAATATTTTTCTAAATTTACCTTACGAACAAATATTAGTTTACATTGTAAACTAATATTGGTTTTAATTTAATTTTGAAATGGGGTAAATATTTAAAACATAAAAAGATTCTAAATTTTAGAACAATAAAAATTATATGGTAAAAAAATAATAATTATAATTATAATTATCATTGTTTATTTACTACTTATATCATATTTTTATTGTTTTAAAATTTAAATATTATAATTATTTTTAATATTCTAAAACTTAATATTTTTTTATTTTAAAAATATATAAATAAAAAAGATAAAAGTTTAATGGTCTGGCACTTTAAAATATAATTAATTTAAAAAAAAAAGAAAAAAAGTTTTTATATTTTCCGGCACCCAAATTTTTCGGAAATTTTGAATCTCTAGTATAGAAAACTAAAATTTCCTGCATACGGTCACCCTTTTTAACAGGCAGTATGTAAACGGTATACAGTATACAGTATATATACGTATACGAAACCTTTACTTGACACTAAAAAATCGTTTAATTTATTTGACTTGCCAAATTTTAACATATAAAGATAAAAGTACCTACATGAATGCATTCATGTAAAGTTAAACAAAAGCTTCTAAAAGATAAATTAAAAACTTACCCTCAACTCGTTTTCCAAAAGATAAAAAGAACTAACCCTTAAATTTGTTATCCACGTGTAGTAAGATACTTGCCTTCTTTTTTCTTCTGTAATCGAATAAAACCATGTATAAAAACAACAATTGAATACAGCAAATCTTTTTTAAAGTATTTAGGCACACTTACCTAGGTAATTATAATTACTTTGCAATGCCTGGAGCCCGGCGTTTTCACTTCACAACAGGCTTTTCTTACAAAATGACGCCACGGGCGGAACCTGTAGCTGTTTGGGTTAAGACGCGACATCATTGGGTAAATTTAATCATGTGACTAAATTTTGCAGTGTTCAATATAGGTTTTGTACACGTATACTGTATACGGTATACAGTATACCGTTTATATACCAGATTGTGTAGTGTGGAAAATAGGTATACTTTATACCATTTAAGTACAAAATTTAAACACGTGTTATATACGTTTTTAAAATTTAGTTTTTTTTAATAATTTCTTAATTACAGCTCAAATTTATCCGATATTCACAAAACAAGTTTTGTAAGGGCCTATCATACTTTTCGAGTCAGAACCATTAAAAAATTAGGCTTTTATTTGACTTCGTGTCAAAAATGGAATATTATATACATATAATATATGTTTCTTATATACGTTAAAAAAAGTAATATATTTTTTGCTATAATATACGTATATGTTACGATAAATTCATCATTTAACTGAAGTTAAAGTCCTATAATATCCGTATATTATACGTTTCATATAAAAAAGTAATATGAAAAACGTATATTATTTATACCTTTGAAATGTTATACGGTTTTTATACGAACAATACGTTTAATAAACGTATATACTACAGAGCCGTGTTGCTTGGGAAGTTATTTTTTCCAAATTTATGTCTATGTTTACATTTTTCCTTATAACTTTTTTAATGTTGGTATCCTGTGAATTTGGTCATAAAGCAAGTTTTAGGAAATTAAATTCCCTATGCAATGTTGTTTTCGTTTTGTTTCTAGTATGCTTAGTTACAGAGATATCAAACTCTAAAGTGACAGTTCACATTTTTGTTGGCAGTGCTATACAATGGTTTACATTTTTGTTTATAACTTTTTTAATGTTGGTGCGGTGTAAAAAAACCTTCTGGGGACTTTTAGAGAATTAAATTCTCCACATGATGGCGTTTTTCTTTTGTTTCTACTTTGCCTAGTTACAGAGATATCTTAATTCTAAAACTGGTCATTTGAACTACCGATCAAAACGCGCCTTTCTCCTATTTTGAGCAGATTACATTTAGGTTAATAACTTTTTAATGTTGGTATTACGTAAAAATATCGTTAAAGGAAGTTTTAAAGGATTAAAATCTCTATAAAATGGTGTTTTTGTTTTGTTTTTACCACGTTTGGTTGCTGAGATATTTAACTCCAAATTTATGTCCATGTTTACATTTTTCTTTATAACTTTTTTAATGTTGGTATCATGTGAATTTGGTCATAAAGTGAGTTTTAGAGGTTAAATTCTCTATACAATGGTGTTTTTGTTTTGTTTCTAGTATGCTTAGTTACAGAGATATCAAACTATAAAGTGACAGTTTACATTTTCATAATACAATAGTTTACATTTTTGTTTATAACTTTTTTAATGTTGGTGCTACGTAAAAAAAATCTTCTGGGGACTTTTAGAAAATTAAATTCCCCACACGGTGGCACTTTTCTTTTGTTTCTACGTTGCCTGGTTACAGAGATATTTAATTCCAAAAACAACCCTACGGTGGTAGCTTGTTTAAGGCATTCTAACCTAACTTTTTGTGGTTGTATACGAGGTGCGGTCAATAAGTTGGTGTTTTTTTAGGGGAATTCGATAACGCGGGAGCGATGATGTCAGTTGATGAGACTCTGATGTGCAGTTTTCAGATCCTGAAGCCCGCAGACAAGCGAAAGTTTCAGTACAGCATGAATTCGGGTCGGCCTGTGACCCCGCCAAGGGCGGCGGCCAATAAAAACAAGAAGAAATAATGACTCCACCCCCCCCACTTTATCTATCACCCCCCTCCAAATCCCGATCCTTCTCCTCTTTCTCCTACAAACACCTGCGTAATTATAAGTGTTTCTTTATCTAGAATAGGTCCAACACAACAAAAACAAAATACATGAAAATGCATAAAAAAATTGGTTTTCTTTTTTCTTTTTGAGCTCGCCTCGTATGTCAAGTTGTATATACGAGGGCCGTTCAAAAAGTCTCTAAATTATGTCTGTAGTATACTTTTTAAATACTAATATTTCGTTATTAGTACTTTTTCTTTCGAGGACACCGCCTATTGGAAACCGTTTTAAAATTATTTTTTTTTAGTTATTTAATGAGTAATTTCGCGAAACAAGACTAAAATTAATAAATGAAAAAAAGGAAAAGTTGTTGTTTCATATTTATATTAGTGTTAATCTTGAATGTCATCATAAAAAAATTAAACCACCCCAATTTTTTTAATAGTTTCATTACTATGGGTGTCTTGAATTATCATCTAGCTCATATTTTATTTTATTTTGGTTTTTATAAGTAAAGTGATTTTTTCTCTAATTGACGTTTGTAAAATATATTATATTTTTATATAACATTTTGTTCTTTCTTTTTTTCACTTTCTTCAAACATTGTTCCACCAAAATGAAAATGAGTATTTTTTATAGAATACCATCAAAGTTTTTGTAAATATGTGTTACCTCGTTTAAAAACACCTATTTTCGATCTTAATTTAAATAAAAATTTAACAATTTTCATTTTAATACGTGTTTTACTTTAATTTTCCTTTAAAACTATCATTTACAAAAAAACATTGTTTTCTACCCGAACAAAGACATTTCGTTAAGTTGGCAGCACTGCTATAACCACATAACCTCACTATTACATGTTTTGACGTTTCCCGTGCTTTTCAACGAAAAAAATGGATTTAAGAGGTAATTATTAGACAAATTTGGACAATTTACGTATAATAATGACTTTAAAGGTTTCGTTCATCAAGAATTACCCCCCGAAATAGTGGAAAGCAACGTTGAGGGAGGTAAATTTATGAACCAATTCATGAAAACTCACATACCGCATAAGGATATCACAAGGGATGGTTCCAACTTCCGTTTTTTGCTGCACAAATTCAGAACGGCCAAAAAAATTAAGCGCAAGGGGGTTAAAAAGACGTTTTTGACGAGGTATTTTGCGATTATAACCTTAAAAATCGATTTTGTACAACTTTGATTGTAGGAAGGAACGGAGGGAGTTGGAGATGTTAAAATTGCCCAAAGCAGGTTGGAATTATAACTCCCTGCAATCTATTCGCAATATGTGGCGCGAATATATGACGCAGAACTTAGATTTATGCGATACAACTAATAAAATCCCAAAGTGTACTGATTCGGAATGGACTGCTTTTAGGTTGGTTTTCAAGTTATTTAAGGCAAAATTAATACTAAAAAATGCGTATATAGCACGATTTTAGCTAAATCTGAACTTGTCGGGGCTGAATTGGAAGTAGTTAGGTCTAAAACACCAAGCTTGGTGGGTATGATCGGTACCTTAGTTTTAGAGACAAAAATGACTCTGCAAATTGTAACAAAGGACAATAAATTAAAAAGTAAGTACCAATAAGCATTATTTAATTATAATTTATCAAAAAAAAAACGTTAAATTGTAGTTGTACCCAAGGAATGTTCAGTGTTTGAATTTAGGTTAAACAACATGAAATTTACAGTTTTTGGTAAACAAATAATGACAAAACCCAGTGAAAGAAGTGCTAAAAAGATTAAAGGACAAATGTACCCAGATTTGTAACCAAAAATAAATTATTTTATAACTAAAAATGCTTATGTTATCACCCACAACACTATAGTTTACATTTTTGTTTATAACTTTCTTAACGTTGGTTTACGTAAAATTGGCTTTTAAGAGAATTGTAGAGAATTAAATTATCTGCAAAATTACGTTTAAATTTTGTTTTAATCCTGCTTAGTTGCAGAGATATCCAACTCCAAAGTTACAGTTAATTTTTAGACCATTTCTGACAGTTTTACATTTTTTCTTATAACTTTTTTAATGTTGGTAATATGTAGAAATGACTATAAGAATAGTTTTAAAGAATTAAATTCTCTGTAAAATGATGTTTAAATTTTTCTTTTATCTTGTTTAGTTGCAGAGATATCTTAGTTTAAAGTAACATTCCACATTTCAAGCTATTTATACATTTTTCTTTGTAACTTTTTTAATGTTGATGCCGTGTAAAAATGACCTAAAGTAAACTTTTAGAGAATTTAATTCTCCACCTAATGACGTTTTTCTTTTGTTTCTACTCTGCTTGGTTACGCGTTCTTCAATATTAAAAAACTACAAAAAAATAATTTTTGGGCACTGTGCGGCGAAGGGAATAAACCGTGGCGCCATCTTTCTGCCAAAAGATAAACCAAGTTGAAATTTGCAAAACATCGCCTAAAAAATGATTTGTTTAGTTAATTAAAATGAATAAAATTTTTATTAACTAAAACAAAAGAATAATAAGGCGATTTTTGACCTAACCTCAACTGACGTTTTAAACGTCAAATTCCTCTCGCACAGTGGGACGAACTTTGAGTTTCGTGTGGAAAATAAAAAACGTTTTAATTTTAATAAAATAATTTATTGTTTTCTATTATTTAAGGCATTTATTTTGATTTTAATTACATTTGTTAAATATCTTGGACGGACTACATATTTTTGTACACATACAAAAGAAATCGTTAGACGTTAAAACAAAATTAAAAAAATCGTCTTAAATTAGTAAAATTAAATTAAACAATGTAAGTACATAATTATTCGTATAAATTAAATCACAGTTTTAATTTACTATTACTTATGAGAAATAATAAAATGTGTAATTGCACATTTTGACAAAAACTAAAATTTCACAAAAACGCATAAGGTGACACGTAAAATTTTGTACACTATAAAAAAAATTATCATTCCCGTCCAGAAAAGGACGAAAATGATAATTTCAAGTTTCAAATCAATTTTTTTTAAATCCTGCTATCGGAAAAAATAGGTCAGTAGGCGACGTCGTGGAGGTGCCACAGGGGTCTCGTTCGGGCCCCTTTTCACCTCTTGGTTTGACAGTTTGGTCCGCAACTGCTCATCAAGCAGCTCTTGCATATCCATCTGTCAAAACGTCAAAATGTTTTAAATTAAAGTCTAAACCTAATGCTTAGGACATTTTAATTTTTTTATGGTTTAGTTTAGTAGAGAATTTCCTTGTCTACAAATTTTGACTCTTGATATTTTGTCGAAATCCTATTGATTTAAAAGATATATCGAGTTTTATGTAAATAAAATTTAAGTTAAAAAACAAATTCGCAAATATCTGCGAAAGGAAGCAAAAATCGAAAAAATTTCAGGGGATGATTTTTGTAGACACAAATTGTCTACAAAATGACATTCTAGAAAATGGCAAAAATTTGATGCGTATATGTTTTTTTTTTTTTTTAATAGAGACGCACGATCATACGTATCTTTATTCAAACTTACCGTGTACGCCACTGTTTAAAAAAATAATTTTATGATGAATTTTGTTAGAAAATTTAATTGCCTACAAATTTTGACTCTTGTTATTTTGTCGAAATCCCATTGGTTTAGAAGATAAATCGAATTTTATGTAAAGTTAAAAAAATAGGAACACCAACTTACTAAATCGAAAATATCTACATGACGAAGCAAAAATCGAAAAAATTTCCAGGAATGATTTTTGTAGAGGAAAAAATTGTCTACAAAATGACATTCCAGAAAATGTCAAAAACTGGATGCATGTGTGAAAAAATGACATATTTACCTGCCACTGTTCCAACTGCTGACTGAGCTCTACTTTTTGCTGTATACTTTCCAACAGCTGACTATTGGCTTGCATCAATTCCACCCTTGTTTTTGCAAGTTCCACTTCAGCTTTCGTCCTTCTTTGAACGGCGGAATCGCGCACTTCTCTTGCTTTAGCAACGATTTCGTCTTGGGTTAGAGAAGAATTCGAGGCGTCCGTTTTTGCCCTATCTCTATCTTCAAGAGCTGCCTGAAGTTCCACCTCGCAAACGGAAGCCTAAAATTCGTAATTGCGAAAATAAACGCGCCCAAATCTTTGCATTAAAGTAACACCGCTTACTTTACTACTTAGCTCCATTATCCTCTCGGATCTTCTGGATAATTCTTCGTCTCGCTCTTGAATATCCCTCCTAGCCTGCTCCAAGCGCTCTAAAAGTCTTAAACAACGAAATAAATACAACCGCGTGCGGACGCGCAATCTCGGTTGCCTACCTTACGACGTCGGTATCGAGAACTAACCCCACCAACTCCTGGGCTATCTCGCTTAGAAGCCCAGGGGTGAATCTCGACGAATCTTCCATGGAAACATTCGAACAATCCGAATGTAGCCCACTGTCGTCGTCAGAATGGGTTTTTAGTTGGTGTACGAGCGATCGTAGTTGCCTATATACAGACATGCACTCTTGAGACAGGGTGGGTTCCGTAATGTCCATTTCTGACAAGAGAGAGCGGTGTTCAGAGACTGTTTTAAAAACAAAAACGCATCTTGTTAGTCGATTTTAAGGTTAGTCACTAGTTTACACCTATTAAGTACATTTAAACGAATATTCATGCATTTTTATTTTTAGTAAAAACAATAATGTTGAAATTAATTAATTACTTTGTTATTGTTGATTTTAGAAACTTCCCATTTATATTATTACAGGTACTTAGTGGTAATGTTTGACCAATAAATGATGATGTAACAAGGTATTAGTAATCATTATTAGTCATTTATATAAAGAAATAAGAAAAAATATATATAATGTAAAAAACGTACACGCCAATGACGTTTTAAATTTTTTATGGTTTAATTTTGTAGAAAATTTAGTTGTCTACAACTTTTGACTCTTCATATTTTGCGAAAATCCCATTGGTTTAGAAGATAAATCGAATTTTATGTAAACATGTTCTTTAAAATTTATATAAAAAAAATTATTTTACAAAATCGCAAATATCTTCGTAACGAATTTAAAATCAAAAAAATATCATGGAATGATTATTGTGGAGAAATATATTGTCTATAAAATGACATTCTAGAAAATGTCAAAAATTGGATGCTGAAGTTTTTTTTTAATCGTACATATTGTTTATACAAATTAGGTATGTACGCCACTGAGATTCAAAATTTTTAACGATGTATTTTTGTAGAGAATTTAGTTGTCTACAAATTTTGTCTTCTGGTATTTTGTCAAAATCCTATTGGTTTACAAGATAAATCAAATTTTAGGTAAACAAGTTCTTTAAAATGTATATTAAAAAAATTATTTTACAAAATCGCAAATATCTTCGTAACGAATTTAAAAACGAAAAAATATCATTGAATGATTATTGTGGAGAAATGGATTATCTATAAAATGACATTCCAGAAAATGTCAAAAATTAGATGCTGATATGTTTTTTTTAATCGTACATATTATGTTTATACAAATTAGGTATGTACGCAACTGAGATTCTAAATTTTTAACGATGTACTTTTGTAGAGAATTTAGTATCATAGAGTGATTATTGTAGATAAATAAATTCTCTATAAAATGACGTTCAAAAAAATGTCAAAACTCACCACTTAGCCGGTCCTCCAACGATAATTTCTCTTGTGGTAAGGAATAATCCTTTAAACTTTGCTGATATCTCATGTCCTGCTCTCTAGCATGTCTTTCAAGTAATAAAATCCTATCAGAAGCCTCTTCCAAAGCATTAGCCATCGAATCTCTCTCATTAGCAGCCAAATGCAACCTAAAAACACCCATTATAACCCCCAAACACTTTATAAAACACCTAGAAAACACACCGCCTCTCCAACTCTTTATTTTTATTGGAAAACAGGTCAAGTTCGTCTCTTAGACCGTCAACACTGCTCATATGTTCCTGCAGGTTACTTTTACCCATAGCACACTGCTCTTTTAAGGCTTGCAGCTGCATTTGCAGCTGATTTTCCGTCGCAGCTGCCTGCTTTAGTTGTTCTGTCAAACGCGAATTTTGAGCGTTCAGCTCTGACAGTAAAGTGCCTGAAATTGAGGTGAATAATTTTTTTTGAGTAAAATTGAGAATGTTATTTTAAAGGGTGATGTTTCCTCTACAAACCTTAAAAATTTCGTTAAAATCGCGTAAAAGATAAAAAAGATACAGGGCGTTAAAGTCAAGCATGTCATTTTACCCACCTTTTTCTCTATCCCATTGTTTTAGCAGATTATCTTTAGCGTGTAATTTTGAGGTTAGCTCCGCTATATCTTTTTCCAATTCGATTATTCTAGAATCTAGTTCGGACTCTTTATTGTTTAATTTTCTTCGTAATACGTGTCTATCTTGTTCCACAGCCTGTAAATAATTAAAAGGATGTGTAAAACAATTATTTTTTTTAAGTTAATTAAAATCAAATAGGCGAAGATCCTTTGTGGAAATAGTGGATTTTCAAGGTGTTGATGGTAATCTTTGCAGTGAAAATGTTTGTCAAGGTTTAACAATTAGGTAAAAAACATTTTTAGTCAAAAAGAAATGTGCAATTTTGGAGTTAGATATCTCTGAAACTAAGCATAATAGAAACAAAATATAAACATCATTGTTTGGCGAATTTAATTCTCTATAACTTTCTTTACGGTCATTTTTGCATGATACCAACAGTAAAAAAGTTATAAACAAAAATGTAAACCTATACAATTTAGAAAAATAAGGTATTGACGATAAAAATAAAGTTGGCACCCCTTTTTAAACACGTGGCTGTGCATTGCACACAAAATTCAAAAAGGAAGTCGCCTCTCCCCAAATTTCACAACACCTGCCTATTTTTTCCATGGAATAGACCATACTTATAATACAGGGTGTTTCTTTTAACTTGAGACAGCTCAATATCTCGAGAAATACGCATTTTACGGAAAAATGTCTTAATTAAAAAGTTAATGTGACCAAAGGGGACATTATTTGGTGCTACCGCTAGCCACCCCCTACCCCTCCTTAAGGGTGAAACGGGGGGTAACTTTGGAAAGTCAAATGGAATGACCCGATTTTTTTCACAGAGTTTGGTAGTACATAAAAAAATGAATAACTTTTATTTGAAAGTTTTTTCAATTTATCAACAGATGGCGCTGTAGGAAACTCATTTTTCTTAAATTTTGAATTACAGCGCCATCTGTTGATAAATTGAAATAAGTTTTTAAATAAAAGTTATTTATTTTTTTATGTACTACCAAATTCTGTGAAAAAAATCGGGTCATTCCATTTGACTTTCCAAAGTTACCCCCCGTTTCACCCTTAAGGAGGGGTACGGGGTGGCTAGCGGTAGCACCAAATAATGTCCCCTTTAGTCACATTAACCTTTTATTTAAGACATTTTTCCGTGAAAGGCGTATTTCTCAAGATATTGAGCTGTCTCAAGTTAAAAGAAACACCCTGTAGATAAAACACTCTTGTCTAGTGAACATATTACTTCCTTTACCAACTTGATATTTTTTTACATGGGCACTACAGGAAATAGCAAGCCTTTGTTTTTCTGCGGTGGCATACAGGGTGTTCATCAACGTACATTCGTAACTGTTATGCAAATTTTAATGTGGGAGTTTACGTAGGTTTTTTTATTTGGACTGGTTTTACGAATTTCATTTACATTGACTAATCAAATTATTTTTTGTAAACCGTTATTTATTATATTTGTGTAGGATTTCGCGAAAATCGATAGAGTCGTATTTTATCTGTGATATAATAAATAAGAAACACAAGATAAGAATTGATTTATCTTAAAACTTTTTGATAAATTTCGTCCTAGTTTGGTGGATAAAAAACTAGCAGTAGTGCACTTATTTTTAATTAATATAGGAATTTATAATATTTAATAACCACAAGGAAGGTATATTTAATGTTATTATAAATTTTAGTAGATCTAGAGCAAGACATTTAACAATTGTTTTAATTTCATACCGTTATATAACTAACGTTAATAGGTTGGACATAATGCTATTAAAAATATTACGAGTACTTACTTATTATGGTTATGAAAAAAACGGGCAACAATTAAAAAATAATGGCTTTTTGGAAGTGTTTTTACAAGAATTAGTCATTTTCCCACACATAATTTTTTTATGATTTTACACTGTTTGTGTCTGCCTTATATTTTTAAATTTCCAATATAAAATAAATGTTTTATTTGGTTTAGCACAAGAAAACCTAAATTAACGCATTAAAATGATGTCAAAATTACAAGTGTAAAAAAAGTGACAGGTGTCAAAATACCTTGTACTAAAAGTGGCACATGTCAAAATGACATTAAAAGTTGTCAAATATGACATCTACAAAAATGACATGTAAAAATAACATGTCACGTCATTTTAATGTCCGCCATTTTGACGAAATGTCAGACGTCAAAAAAAGATGTAAAAAATTACACCTGACATTTTGTCAAATGTTTAAATTAGGTTAAAATAAAAGATGTAAAAGATGACGTCAAAAATGTCAAAATCACAGATGTAAAAATCCCAGGTGTTACAGCTGTCAAAAAAATGACAGGATTAAAAGTGACACCTGTCAAAATAACAAATGTAAAAAGTTTCGTCTAAAATGTATCAGTGGCAGATGTGAAAACCAAAGGTGTCAAATTACCACGTTTAAGTGTCAAAAATGACATTTGTTACACGTCATTTTGACATCTGCCATTTTAACGCCCGTCATTTTGACATTGTAAAAAAATACAGCTGACGTCATAATGACATAAAAAATATAACAGGATCAAAAGTGAAACCTGTCAAAATAACAAATGAACAAAATGACGTCAAAATGTAAAAATGACAAATGTAAAAATGACATGTCAAAATTACATCAAAATGTGTCAAAAATAACAGGATTAAAAGTGACACCTGTCAAAATAACAAAAATGTAAAAGTGGCAGATGTAAAAACGAGAGGTGTCAAATTACCTCGTTCATTTGTCAAAAATGACATTTGTCATCCGTCATTTTGACATCTGCCATTTTAATGCCCGTCATTTTGACATTGCCACTTTTGATGACAGATGTAAAAAACGGCAGATTTAAGAATTACAGACGTCAAAATGAGATAAAAAATGAAGCAGATTTTAAAACGACAGAACACGACAGGTATAAAAAATATTTTAAAATGATATCCTTCTATTCTATATGGTAAAACAGGTTTTAAAAGTGACATCTGTCAAAATGTGTGTTAACGTCAAAAATGACAGCTGTCATAATAATAGGTGCCAAAAATTACGTCAAAAAATGTCCCTTACATTTTGCATAACTGTCTACAACTAACTAATTAACTAGGTAATCTTTCAAGTAAATGTTGTATTATAAAAAAAAATTGTACTGTTTTTAATAAAGATTTTTAATTTTGCAACTTTTAATTTGTTACCATTATTACGTTTATTGTTCTTAAAGTTTGCTCGAACAATAAAATAATTGGTAAGTTATAAGTGACCTAACCTACTTACAAACTACATATACATACGTATGTACATATGTATGAGAAACTTTTGTTGCAATTATTTGCAATAAGATTTTCACTGTTTATTTCCTCTACTAATACCAATTAAAGCATTACCAGGAAAATAATAAAAAGGTTTCAACGAACTAGTCTTGTTATCAAAAAACCTTGCCATAACGTTTTCACTTAATTATTCAAACAACAAAGTGACTTTTAGTTTGCTTAAATAAATGCAAATTACAGGTATACCCGTAGAAGAGTATGAGGTCATTCCATTAAATAAAATGATTCATTTCACCTCTTTTAGAATTGCAAATTTTAATATTTAATGTCAAGATGTTCTTTTGTACATTTTAAATATCAGCATCATGTATAAGTGAAAATAAACACATGTTATTATACGAAGAGTAATTAATGTTATTAATAATAACCTGTATATCTATTTAACACAATTTTCCCAAGTAGTAAATCCATATTTTTGTTCACTTCCTACGAAATCTTATTAATAAAAAAGGAAGTAATTTTAACGTAACATTTTGATTAATTAAATTAGATATTGTAATCAAAAGTTTTCACAACAATTTTCCATGGAAATAATATGCGTGCAAAACCTTTTAATCGTTTTTTTAATCACTAATTTACCATAAAGGTTATTCCAAAGGAAAAGAGTTAATGACTTAATGATGTAATAGAGGATGATACGTATAAATACAAAATTAATAGGTTTGTGGGAACAGGTATTAAAAAACATTTCTTAAGTCGCATCGTCATTTCGGTAACGCTCTTTAGAGAATTAAATTCTCTGTACAATATTTACATTTTGTTGCTATCACAGAACAAACCAAGGTTGCTATCATGCTTAGTTACAGAGACATCTAACTATGAAGTTGCAGTGGTTTATATTTTTGTTTGTAACTTTCTTAATGTTGGTAGTACGTAAAAATGACTATAAAAAGAGTTTTAGAGAATTAAATTATCTGTGCAATGATTTTTACATTTTATTTCTACCAAGCTTAGTTGCAGAGATATGTAACTCCAAAGTTACAGTTTTTATTTACTTGTTTGTAGTATGTAAAATTAGGGATATTTAGCCTTAAATTGCGATGTAATCGATTAGTTAAACACAAGGACAGCTAGCAGGTATTTTTTATCAATATATTGATAAGACCAACCTTGTCCTTCAAAGCTTTCACTGTCATTTAAAAATAAACGAAAACTGTAAAAAAGTGATATTTAAATTTTATGTAAATGTAAATGAATTTATTTAAGTTAACGCTATTTTAACAATTGGGTCTTTAAGTGTTAAGTGGAACATAAAACTTGATGATATAATCTTTCGTAAGTAAAGTGTACCTTTTTAAACATTATTTATTGATTATAGCATAAAATAGGAATTAACCTGTATTTCAAGCGTAAAAAATTATTTTGCAATTTTTTATGCAATAATTTACAGTTAAGTCAAAAAATTTTATACTGTCAAAATTCATAGTCAAAAAATGCAAAAATACATCCAGTTAACGAAAAACATCGACAATGTTTTGTATAAGAATAGTTTTGGGAAGCAAATTTTTAGAAATGTATCAATAAAGTCCAAGAAAAATAAAAAATCGTCCAAAGAAAAAAACACATGTGAAGATGAATGTACTAGCAGAGCTTGCGCCAAAAAAAACACCTCATTCTTTGGTAAACTTTTCGGGGGTAACAAAAAAAATATGAAGGACTTCAGTGTACAGCCTGATCCTGTGTGTAGACAAGAATGGGGTATATTAATTATATTAATTCATATTATTTTCTGAACGTTTTTTTTTAGCTAAAAAACTGGAAACCCCTGATCTGAACCTGAGCAATTTTGGCGGACAGGCGTACAAAACATGTGGGGAATCGTACGTCATACAAAAAGATTTGACAACTGGTAGATCACAAAAAGAACCTGAAGACGACATATTGAGAAAAATGGAAACACCAGCAGATTTAAAGGACGTTGTAGACCCACTACCGAACTTTGAAAGTGTGGAACAAAGATTACTTGAGTTGAGGTAATTTCTTACAACGTTGCCAAATTAAAAAAAAAAAATTTACTTCTTAGCGATCATGGATTACACCCCCACTACAAAAAATACATGTTTATGTCGCGAAAACCCAGTAACGAAGACAACTATTTGGAGTACAAAACGAAAAGTGGCCCAATAAATTTTGAAGATCTACCCGAACATTTTAAAATTAGCAAGCAAATTTTGGAAAGAAAAAATATTTATGCAGACCTAAAAAGGGCAGATCCACCGCGTCACTTGTTAGCCAAAGTGTTGGAAATAAGGGAAAATGCTAAACCAACTTTGGAAATCAGAAAATGCTAATGACCTCTAATTTCATAGAATAAAATTGTTTGTTTATTTTCAATTGTACCTATATGATACAATTTAAAATAATTAATGCAGTTTTCTCTATATAATGTATTACAAAATAGCAAATTTTATACAAGAAACTAAAATATAAATTATTTATATGTTAACTGAATTGCGTTAGTATTATTGCAAGTGATTTAATTAGGTAAAATATGGTAAGTATTATAATAATAGCAATAAAAATCTTAAAACAAAAAAGTTTTATTTTGTCGAGACCAATTCTGCGTATTAAACAACAAGGAAGCAAATAAATAAAAAAGTTAAACTTTTCAAACCGTAACGAAATTTGATCTCAAAGTTCAATGATTTCTCAAAATTCAAAGACAATGGGATAAATTTTCACCAAGTCAGCACCGAGGTGGAAAATGATATCTGCAATAACCTACATGCCTATGTATGTGTGGAAAAAATAACATTCAGTAATGTATAAAAATATATAAATTTCTAAAAACTTATTATTCATCATCATTTTTGTTTATAACTTTTTTAATGTTGGTACCATGTAAATTTCATTACTGGGGAAGTTTTATGGAATTAAATTCTCTATACAATGACAACTTTATTTTGGTTACACTATAATTGGTTGCTGAGATATGTAATTTCAAACTTAAAAAGTTTGCCATAATATTACCTTAACATTTTTGTGTATAACTTTTTTAATGTTGGTACCATGTAACGTTGACCGTTGGGGAAGTTTTAGGGAATTAAATTCTCTATAAAATGGCGTTTTTATTTTGTTTCTATTGTTTTTGGTTGTTGAGATATTTAACTCCAATTCAAATTTTGACAATTTTAAAATTTGCTATAATTTTACATTTTACTTTATAACTTTTTTAATGTTGGTACCATGTAAATTTGACCGCTGGGGATGTTTTAGGGAATTAAATCCTCTATAAAATGGCGTTTTTATTTTGTTTCTATTGTTTTTGGTTGTTGAGATATTTTACTCCAATTCAAATTTTTACAATTTTAAAATTTGCTATAATTTTACATTTTACTTTATAACTTTTTTAATGTTGGTACCATGTAAATTTGACCGTTGGGGATGTTTTAGGAAATTAAATTCTCCATAAAATGGCGTTTTTATTTTGTTTCTATTGTTTTTGGTTGTTGAGATATTAAACTCCATCAAATTTTTACAATTTTAAAATTTGCCATAATTTTACATTTTTGTCTATAACTTTTTTAATGTTGGTACCATGTAAATTTGACCGTTGGGGAAGTTTTAGGGAATTAAATTCTCTATAAAATGGCGTTTTTATTTCGTTTCTATTGTTTTTGGTTGTTGAGATATTTAACTCCAATTACAAATTTTTACAATTTTATAATTTGCCATAATTTTACATTTTTGTCCATAACTTTTTTTAATGTTGGTACCATGTAAATTTGACCTTGAAGGAAGTTTTAGGGAATTAAATTCTCTATACAATGGCGTTTATATCTTGTTTCTATTGTATTTGCCGAGATATTTAAATCCAAACAAAAATTTTGAAATTTAGTATATTTTTCGTCAATTAATTGTAATACCTACCTAATTAATAATAATAAAACTAAAATTAAAACAGAAAGTTTTTTGTTCTTGAAAACGTGACTACACGTTAATTAAAACCATTTAATTGCTGAAGATTTTTGTGAAACGAATTTATAGTGGAGAGATTGCATTTAATTTATTTAATTGTAGGTATTTAAAAATACCAAAAAAGTTCTGAAAATTTATTAAATTGTATCTCCCCTTGTTTAGGGATAAATTGCACAACGTGACAACCCCGCTTCGTCAGGTTTGACAGTTCCTACGTGCAATAAACGTCAAAATTTTTCCGATTTCTGGGATTTTCGCTAAAAAATTACGTAATTTAAAATTTATTTGTGTTATTATTGTTAAGATCCTGTTCGGCAAGTTTATTTTTGTTGAATCATACGCTTGACTAGATCGGTCATTTCACACCGTTTGAAGGTGAACCGTTTTTAACTTCGATTGGTTAAATAGGAAAGGCAAAGGTGGCGTTTGTCGCTTTTCGGTTTCGATTGTTTTACCTCGGGCAATTGTTTTGCATGGCGACTTGGATCGGGGTCGAATAAACACAAGACATTTCCAAAATACACCGAATTCAAGGCTTTTACTTTAAGTTGATATATCTCTTAAAATGTTAATTTTAGAGATACAACTCATATAAGCTTTTTTGTAGAGAAATAAATTTCCAACAAAAAATGTTTATACATTTTATTTCCAAAGTCAACCGTTTACAAGTTAAAAGCAAAATTGTTTAGCCATGAGGTAGTAGACTATTTTTAAATGGTTTTCGAGATTATTAACCTACATTTAAAATTAGAAAAATTGTTTTAACTGTGTGATATTTTAACGACCAAAAAAGCGTTTTACTATAACTGAAAAGATACGTAACTGCTTTTTTTAATTGCATTTTTAGTCCAATGACTCCAAATTAAAACAAACGCTACAATAATAACAAAACAAAACGTTTTTTGAACCTGTACTTTTTATACTGCAATAAATAGATAATAAAAGTAGCTGTTTTGTTTTTATAATTAATAAAAAAAAATATTTGTTAAAATATTTCACTTTCTACATATACATATGCACATATATAACAATGCCACCAATTAATTTAAAAGCAAACCTAAATATTAGTATAATTAATTAAATACATACCCAAAGTATGTGAAATAGGTCAAAAACAACAAATTAACATATAATTTGGAGAAAACACTGATCTGGCAACGTTGCGCAATCATCAAACGTCAAAAAAACGCACACAGCGTTGCCATATCGCTGCCAGACGTTGAAAAAATCGGAACTGCATTTGGAAAGTGTAATTTTTTTTAAGTTACGAAACAGCTGCATTAATCTATGTATCAAGGAAATTTAAATAATTATATGTACAGGAAATAATACAGTAGTATTTTGTGTAGTTTAAATCACGATTTTTTTTTTAATTAAGTCAAGTCAATGGAACGTATCGTGACTTGGAAAATTAGGTTAAAATACCAGTCTGTATAAGTTTTTTCAAGATCGATAAAAATCTTATTTACTATTATAGTTTCTGAGTGTAACCAACTATTTTTTAAATCTACATTTTTTAATATGCAAAATTTTTCACCCTTTATATAAAAAATTTGAGAATTTTTTTTAATATCACTTAAAAGAGGCTTATTTTTTCTACATTTTCCAAAAATTTTATTGAAATTAATGTATAAATAAAAAATATATAAAAGATTAAAAAAATTGCATCAATTTACGTTGACAATTTTTTAACACCCTGTACCTTTCTTAATAGTTGAGCAATCTCGATGAAATTTCAAGGGTATACTGAGAAAACACCCCTTCATAAAATACAATTGTCGTTTTTACTGCGAAACAATCGCAAAAGCCTTATTTTTGACCTACACTGTACCGACTGTATTTTAAATCTTGATTTTTTAATACGCAATATTTACATTGTGTTTCAACCGTCCTATACAAATTTAGAGAAAATTTTTTAATATCACTAAAAAATGTATTATTTTTTCTACATTTTCTGAAAATTTCATCAAAATTAATGCAAAAATAAAAAAAATATGAAGGATTAAAAAAATTGCAACAATTTTTGTTGACAATTTTTTAACACCCTGTATCTTTTTTAATAGTTACGCAATCTCGATGAATTTTTAAGAGGTTATCAAAAATAACATGCAGTATTTAATAAAATAAAATTTTGATTATTATTTTACCGAATATTTAATATATTATATGTTCTTCAAACCTATTGTTATTTTAGAAAGTCGAATCTAATCCAATTATTTTACGACAACTATAACGGTGTCAGTCTGCTTAGGCATTACATAAACTATATAAAAAAAATGATGAAGCAAATTATAACACAAAAAATAAGCAAATTGCATAAATACCGAGATACAGAGAAAGTTACAAGTACGAGATGATATCGCAAATAATGGGACAAATTTTTTGCTAGAAAACAAGATTTGTATTATTTTTAACTATTGCAATGTTGCCAGATTGCACCGTATGCGTTTTAGCTTTGCACCTATTTGTTTTAGTATCTACGTAAATAACATGTAGATAAAGTTTATCGTTTTATGCTTTTTCATTAAAAAATAAATTACACTTCGACGAAATAATAACTGTATTAAATTGATAATAATATTGATTGAGACTTACCGTACAATTATCTAATAGCCTCAAGCTAAAAATGCATTAGTCATATCTTACAATAACTATTGGTAACAATGTTTAATATAGTGAAAGGATAACTTTGTATTTCAAACAGAAAAATATAAACTGTAACTTTGGACTTGGATATCTCTGTAACTAAGCATGGTAGAAAAAAAATATAAAAATCATTGTATAGTGCATTCAATTTCCTAAAACTCTCTTTCTTGTCAATTTTACATAATACCAACATTAAAAAAGTTATAAACAAAAATGTAAAGCGTTGTATAGCATAGCTAAAGGAAATGTTAACTGTCACTTTGGAGTTGGATATCTCTGCAACTAAGCATCATAGCAACAAAATATAAACATCATTGTATAGTGAATTTAATTCTCTGAAACTCTCTTTTCGGTCATTTTTACATATTGCCAACATTATAAAAGTTATTAACATTACAAATAATATTGAAATAACTCACCTCCAATTTTTTTGAATACTCTTCTACCAGTGCTTCTTGGTGTTTTTTAAGTTCCTCATTTTTTTCTAATAGAGCTTTTCCCAGCTCAGCTGCCAAAACCAAGTCGTTTTCTTTTTGCTGTAATTGCGTCCATATATCTTCCGACATATTGCTATTTTTCGTATTATTTATATTTACAATATTTCTATTCTCTAAATCAGCTACATAATTTTCTAGTTCCTCTAACTTTAACATTCTTTGCTCAATTTACAGATAACCCCGTAAAGTTAAGCAATTTTTTCGTGGAAAAATCATTTTGATGAACACTGCAACAAAAAATTATTTTTTTGAATCTGGCAACATTGTAACATATGTGCACGATTTGGGACAGGTGTTAAAAATAAATATAACATGTATTTCCTTCTCAAAACAAAACGGAAGTGATCTATATTTAAAAAAAAACATCTGCCACATTTCAGTTAAATTAAAAAAAGTTTTTTTATCATAAATCGTTACACCTAGGTAAAAATAACAGTTGAAAGTTTTAACAAACACATGATATCACACCTAATATTATCACAAAATCGATTGGAATAATAATTTGAAAATACGTGTTTTAAATATAAAATAATTAAAATTAACTGAAATGGTAGAATGGCCTTGATTTTATCATGTAAAAATATTTAATTATTTATTTATTTTTTCTATATACCCACCCTAAAAAAAGTATAAAAACTGCTTTAAAAAAGTTTAATTATCAGTAAAATAATTTTATTATTTTTATGAAACTGTAGGTACTACAGAAATATCTACCTGTAGTATGTATTTCATTGACTTGTAATTAAAATCTCTAATCTGTTATTTAAGTACCTATATAATCCAATAAAAAAAATAGTAAAAACCAAATAAATTAAGTTAAGGGATTTGGATCGCATTACCAACCTTAAAAATTACATTTTACCACACAAATATTGAATATTGTTATTTAGCTAAAACCTTGACATTTCAAACTAAACAAAAGACAACCAACTTTTAACCAGTTCACCGTTAACAAAATAAAAGAAAACCCACCTTCGAAAAACAAAAGTAATCCAAATTGTCAATAAAAAACACAAAACTGCACGAAAACAACATAAACACCAAATAATCAAGTTATCTGTGAACAAAAACGCAAAAACAAAACACCATCGCCATACCAAACTCTCAAGCGAACTGTCAATTGTTTTAAAACACGGTGTCTTGGATACCTGAGGATCAGCGCATGCGCAGTCAATAGATTAACGTAGGTATACTAATTTGAATAATATGGTTGTAAAAATGGGTTTATTTTTAGTGACAATATTGCTCCCAAATAACTCTCTTTTTACATGTAAATTGTGCAGATTTTTTCAGAGAAATTTTGGTTTTAAATATAAATTTTTTCTTAAATGCATTAAATTATGAGTATTTTAATGGTGTCGCCATCTATGATCCTGTAGCAAAAGTGGCAAAACTAATTTACAGGAAACTGTAATAGAAATGAGAAATCTGCCGCACAGTGGATAGAGATGACTTTTAGTCGCACAGTGGGGTAAAACAAATTTTTGGGTGGCATTTTTAATATTTTTATTTATCACATAATTACGGTATTATACAGGGTGATCACAGTGTAAATGGCAGGGGGGGGATGTATCTGAGGGCGTCATTTATGTAGCTGCTGTCGATGTCTAAATCTTGTATGAGTTTCGTTATTTTAGAGGTTATTTCCGGTTTTTTCACTTCCTGTCGCTGCAAAATTTTGTCGAGGACGAATCTGAGTTGAAAAGCGGAAGTTCCGGTTGAAGAATCTACCAGATTTGACAGGACTTTTTCGGAGTAACCTTGAAATTTATTTAGACCCAGCCGTTTTGATTCTTTGTTCATTAAATCGTACAGGGATAATAGTGTGACGTAGGCTTTAGTGGGCGGGACTTTTTTTTGTCTTAATAGTTCGAACCTGAAATCTGAATCGTCGTATTTTTCGGAGAATTCTTGAACCTAAAAAGTTATCATGAAATTTGGTTTTTCGTTTTTTTTTTGTTACCTGTAGATCTACATCTTTAGGGTTATAATCGTACTCCAGAGTATTGGCGAGTTCGTATAACCGAGCGAAATTGCTGCCAAAATATAAATCTTGATTTTCCCGCTCCAAATTTCTCGCTGAATCAGTTCTACCAACTGCAGTTGACGTTAGAGAGTATCTATCAAAATAATTTGTTCCAATGGGATTTTCCAATCTTTTTACATACTCCTCATAGGATGGGCTTAAAACTTTAGAAAAGTACGCCTCTGGGCCTGGTGGAATATCAGGGGCGTAGATGGCAGGTTTGTGAGTACTGGTTGGCCTTTGCGTGCTACTGTAAGACGGTTTTCCAGGATTTTGATTTGGTTTTACGTCATATTTCATCAACTCTGTCAAATGGGCCATTATCTGCATTGAAGCTGGTATAAAGGAGTCGAGTAATTTCGGGGGGCCCTCCACTTTTGGGGGCACCCTCAAAAAAAAAATTACTTTCACCTTGAATTTGCTGAAATTTTGTAATTTCTACATTTGTCCATTTAGTAAATATAAATAAAAATTACCTGATTTAAAACACAATGCAAAGCAATGAAAAAATTAATTTTTGTTAACATTTTCGAAGCCCAAAACACAAACACTTGATAGAAGAAACAAACAACAAATAAATATAAAATTTTAAATTAAGTCTTCGGCTCCCAACTGGTTTTGAATGCAGGGCCGGGTTTTACAGATAATTGTACAACAATGTTCCAAAATTTCCGTTTATACGTCAATTAATTTGTTTTTGATGAATCGCCTAAGAAAAAAATACCCATTAAGATTAACCAATGGTATCACACGAATTAAGATTGTTTTAATGTTAATAGAAGGCCCTATAAGTTTTTTAAAGTGTGTTACTGTTTGTAGATGGCTTGTTTTCTTTTTCCAAATAAAGAATGTACTTACTTTTAATTTATATTACCACTTTCATTGTTTTTTATACATTTTTTTTACAGTTAGTTACTCAAATCTTTTTTATATAAATTTTTTATTTAGGTATTGTGAATCAAGAAGAATTTCTTCTTTAAGAAAAGGGTTCAGTAAACTTCCAAGGTCATTTGTAGGTAGGTGTTATGGTTTGAAGACAAAACAATTTTATTCCTTGAACATTTTTTTTATTAAAAACTGGTCTCAATACAAAAAAATAATATGAATGATTCCACCATAACTTTAATTTTAAAAATGTGTTAAAAGTGGTGAATTTTCTAAAAATTATTCAACATTGTTTTTTGACACACTTTATTTAAAACAATTGTTATTTCTACGTGTTTAAAATTTATATTTATTCTTTTGGCGGTCAATTGATTTAAAATTTAAATACATTAAATATATTACATAACATAATTTCCTTTAGTAAAATCCAGAAGGTTCCCAAAGAAAAAAATGCAAATTTCTCAAAATGTTTTTGAACAGAAAAATATGAAAATTTTTTTTTTTATTTCTTTGACTTTTTTACTTTTTTCTCATATCCTCTGAGGTTAACAGATAGTACGCAAATCAAACCTTCAATAAATGATACTGGTACCTAAGCTACGAAATGTTAATTTTTGCAATTTTTTTTATTCAAGATTAGTACCTACCATCATGTGTTAGAATAAGGACATTGGTTTACCTTCTGAGCCAATTGATAACAAATTGTTAAGGTTATTATTACTTAAAATTCACAATGGGTATTCAATGAAGACCGGAGTTGTATGCAATCAAAAATATGCAATTTTTATTTTCGATTTTTATGTCGAATATAATGTTTTTATTACATATTTAGAACAATAAATAAACGATAAAATTATGTTTTTAAAGCATACAAAAAATTTTTTTAATACAAGAAAAACTAAGAAAGTTATCAGGTAATTGTTTTGGCTACATATATGTCCGGTTTATGTAAAGCCAATATTACAAATTTTGCAATTTTCTATAAGAAGGGAGTATATTAATTCTAAAAACGTACTGTTAACCGTTAGTAAACAATAATTGTTTGTTTTGAAGACATTTTCAGTGAATATACTAAAATGACCAGTGCAATTTTTTTAATTATTACATTATCGGTAAGTTTGATTTGTTTTTCGTACTATTTTTACATGGTTACGCATTTAGGTGCTTCAAATATGCCTTTCTTCACCGTTTCTGTACAACCCGAGTGCCATTCCTTCATTGATATCTTCTGCAAGTGCAGCCTCATCATCTAACCCTCAAATAAGCATGAATATAGCCGATTTGAGAGAGAAAAAGACCGGGAAGTTACAGGAAGAAAAGGAAGGCCCTATAGAAATGCCCGAAGAACACTTATTTGAAGAAAATGACAATGAAGTTGCCCCTAGTTTGTTACAGAAAAAAGTCAACAAAATCATTGCCAAATTGAGGTTAATATCCACGTTATCAAACTTGGGGAGGAATAACGAAGAAACAAACTTTGAAGAAAACGATGCAAACGCAACAAAAATGATAATGAACCCAAAACAGGAAATATCGAATATAAGTCGGTTGACCCTTAAAAAGGATATAGAAGCAGTGGTGCCAACTGCAAGTGTTGAAAGTATAGAAGATTTGGAGGAAGAGAAATCTAGAAAAAAGGAAGACAAGCCGGAGAAAATCACCATCAACATACAAACCGATAAGATCATCAAAAGAGAAGTAATTTTTTTGTTTTATAAATATCTAGATAAATCACTGTTATTTTTTTTGTTAGAGCCCTAGAGGTAACATTTCGTTATCACCTGGAGACATTGGTGTATTCTTCATGGAGTTATTCGCAAGTTTTGTAGGGCTTGCTTATGGGGCTGCAGCCCAGGCTGGCCAGCCCTCTAACTCATCTAGCTAAAGTGATAAAACGAGGTATACTTTATTATATTTATTTTTAGAGAGTTAATAATAAAAGACAAATTTTATTTGCTGGTTTATTTATTTGTTTGCCTATATATGTATAGAAATAGTGTTTATAATGTTAGTTCAAGTTTTCAATAACTATAGAGTCATCGTTTACCAAATTCAATGTACTATTCATGGGTTTTACCATGGTACCATTATTTTTGTCGAATATGTAACCTGGACTTGTGAAATTCGCTTCCAGATGTTGAAAGTTGTATGTATTGTTTTTAATCTGAGTTATTTTGGAGAAATCCTGATATACAAAAGGTTTAGGGCCTTTATTTTCGTAGTTTTTTAACGCGTCTTTCCAGGATTTGTCCTGATATGATCTGGAGTCTCTATAGGCAAAAGGATAGTCTGGATTGCCATTGTGAGTCAATCCAAAAATAGCACTATTTGCTCCTAAAAACACAATTAAAAAATTATCATCAATTAAGAATACATTCACTCACCTGTACTAAGTACCCCAGCCTTATTATTAATCTTCTCCCATATTTTTTGAGGCGACAAAGATTGCAACGCTACAAAAGGCTTGCTGTTCGGATGATTAAAATAATTATTCAGCTGATTAAACTTATTGTTTATCAAATCAAGTTTACTGTTCAGCCCGTCTTTAATAGGGGTGGTGAATTTCTGTAAAAAATTCGGCACGTTTTTGTTTGCATTTCCAGGCATACTAGACGCAATCGGTATATTTTGACCTGCCAAACTGTTTAAGTGAACAACAGGTTGTCTTTCGTCTTGATTTTTATCGAACTCTAATTCCTGAGCTTCAACGTCAAAAGTCGTCGTAATGTCAACTTTTTCGGTCGTAATTTGCCCATTAACAACCAATAAACACTACAAAACACTCAAATTAACATCAACCCAACCCACCATAACATGTCTACAGTTACCGTAAAAAACACTATTATTTCACTGTAGGAAAACATTTTAAACAACTGATGAAAAATTTCTGTTAATCATGATTTTTATACGTTTTTCTCAAACAATTTAAATACGGCACATGTGGGTATCCCGTAACAATTGATAGTAGTGTAAAATATACAGTGTGACCCAAAAAACAGCAGATTTATTCAATAAACGCCACCGAATAGGCATGTGAATAAAAAAATTGTCTCAAAGTCTCTTAAAATATTCTAATTAAGGTTAATTAACGCCCAAATAAAAAAAAACTGATACATAAAAAGTCTTTTATTTGTGTAAATCACTGTGTATATAAACATATTAGTGATTTTTTAAGGAAGTGACAACCATGTAGATAAGTTGGTTTAACTGTAAATTAAAAATTTCATTGCAATAATGAATATTGATAAAATATGATTTTTTCTGTTTTGTATGTATTTATTGATTGTTCATATGTGGGCATGTTATGAGTATTATAAGGGTGTTGTGTCAAATATTATTTAAATTAGGTAAAAGTGAGATAACTACTCAGTACCTAAAAGAAACCAAAAAGTGGTCATTTTAATGTTAGACGTATAGACGTAATTTTATAGCTAAATAAATTATCCATAAATTAACTAATTTTGACATTTAGATAATTACAGATTTTGATCGAAATTATGGATTTTGATCTTAGTCTCAAAATGCTCGTTTCGAAACAAACTTTGGCACGGTTTTGAGAAAATTATGGATTTTAATCGAAATTATGGATTTTGATCGCAGGCTCAAATTGATTGTTTTTTAATAAAACAAACTTTTTGAGAGGCTCAAAATGTTTGGTTTTGAATTAAACCAATTTTGAGACGATTTTTTAAAAATTATGGATTTTGATCGTAGTCTCAAAATGCTCGTTTTTTAATGAAACAAACTTTGGCACGATTTTTAGAAAATTATGGATTTTAATCAAAATTATGGATTTTAATCGCACGCTCAAATTGCTTGTTTTTTAATAAAACAAACTTGCCGAGACGCTCAAAATGTTTAGTTTTGAATGAAACCAACTTTCGGACGATTTTTAAAAAATTATGGATTTTGATCGTGGTCTCAAAATGCTCGTTTTTTAATGAAACAAACTTTGGCACGGTTTTTAGGAAATTATGGATTTTAATCGAAATTATGGATTTTGATCGCAGGCTCAAAATGATTTTTTTTTAATAATTTTTTATCCAACTTTGTCATTACTTTTAGAAAATTATGGATTTTCATCGAATATATTGATTTTGAACGACGATTTTTAGAAAATATGGATTTTAATCACAGGCTCGATGAGTCGGGTTTTTAATAAAATAGACTTTCCCACGAATTTTAGAATTTCTTACGATGTCAATCGAAAATTAACGTGTAGAACGTAAAAACCCAGTTAGAACGAATAAATGGCAACGCCGCATCTGCGACTTTGAGCGCGACGTGGCAACGCTGCGTTCTAGGTCAAGATTCAGCAGGAATCGTGGTTGGCGGGCGGCAGAAGAAAATCCAGTCAGTTGCCGTTGAAACACCGAGGCGCGCACATCACAGGCGCGCAGTCGGTTTCAAAAACAAAAACACCGAAAAAATTTATAATCGAGAAAAACACGCGAATTTTCTCTCGAAATTTCCCGGAAAATCGGGAGAAAAGCGCTGTTTCGTTGACAGATATCGTCCGGAGTCTTCGAGCCCGGAACCGAATTGAAAGGTGAGTAGAGGCAGAGGGTTTATGTTGTGTATGTTGATTGAGGTTATGTGCTCGAAAAATCGATCGGAGGGTTAATTGGAAGGCGATCTTTTGTTTTAACGCCGTTCGGGCCAATTAGAGATTAGACAGTCATGGCAATCTAGTTTTGTTTTACGACGCGTCACAATAAATATTTAATTGATTCTGTTGCGGAATTCTTGTCAATAAAGTTAATAAAAGTGTTTATAACTTAAGTGCCATAACAATTAATTAATTTACACAGGAACACGGCATTCAATTTACCAAATTCGACCACCAAACGAAACCTTGTCGATTATTTTATCAAGGATTTTTCTTCTTAAATTTAAATTAAAATTCATTAAGTATTTTGTATTTTCCTGATTACTGAAACCTAAGGTAATCTTGCAAAATTAAAGAAAATACTAATAAATCATGCACAAGTTATTCTTCATGTTTGTTGACCTTTTCATTGACTGACAGATTGATTGGCTTATTTTTACAACAACCTTTTACCATTTTAGACGTTTTTTTATTAGTCACTCTTATACTTGAAATTCCTATAAAATTTTATACTTTTTCCTGTTTCTGTGACGCGTCGCAATTATGCTAATAACCATGTCCGGTTGGTTTACGATTTTCACAATTCCCTACGGTTGGGAAGTACGCCTTATCTACACATTTTTATCAACTTTAAAATACCTTTAGGGAAATTTACGGAAATTTTAGTAGGTTTATCGAAAATAGTGAATATTTGTCAGTAAATTAAAATTTGTTCGACGGAAATCCATATAAATTTAAACAAGTTGCAAGACAAAGTTTATTTCGATTAAAATCCATAATTTTCTAAAAATCGTCGTAAACAAGCATCTTTAGCCTGTGATCAAAATCCATATGTTCGATCAAAACTTTAATTTTCTAAAAATTACGAAAAAGTTGGTTCAAAAAATGATAAAAAAACAACTATTTTAAGCCTGCCATCAAAATCCATAATTTTGATTCAAATCCATAATATTCAGAAAGTGATGCCAAAGTTTGTTTTATTAAAAAACAAGCATTTTAAAACTACGATCATAATCAATAATTTTCTAAAAACTGTCGCAAGCTATTTGAGCCTTAAATCAAAATCCATAATTTCGACCAAAATCTGTAATTTTCTAAAAATCGTGGGAAAGTTTATTTCGTTAAAAAACCAACACATTGATTAAAATCCATAATTTTCTAAAAATCGTCGCAAAGTTTGTTTAATTCAAAAACAAGCTTTTTGAGCATGTGATCAAAATCCATAATTTTCAAAAATGGCGCCAAAGTTTGTTTCATGTAAAAACCAGCATTTTGAACCTGTGATCAAAATCCATATTTTTTTAAAAATCGTTGCAAATATTGTTTTATTCACAAGCATTTTATAATGTTCAAGAAATGTCAAAATAAAATGGAAATGTTAACATTAACAATTCCCTTTGAAGCCCAACTTATTCTCAAGCACAAAAGAACAGGTGGCAAAGCTAAAAAGGCTTGTAAATGGAAATTCAACTCATTTACGTTTTAAAGTAACTGAATTATTTTATTTCATTATTCCTTTGAATTGAAAACTCGTTGCGAATTTAATATAAATACCTTTTACATTTTACATATTTATCGGCAATAAAGTGTTTTGTTTATGGCAAATATTAACTACATATTTTATGGTTATAAGCTCAGCTAAAATTTTTGTGGCTAAACTTATATTCATTTGATTTCGAAATTGTTTTTTTTTAAACTACTACACGCGGTCATGTTTATTTTCACTTTAGGTTATCGCGAAATAATTTTGCGTGACTTGAAAAAGAAAAATAAAACGGAAAGGTTGAGTTATTTTAAGGCTACTGACCATCATACGACAGAATCTGATGAAAAATAAACACTAGCGATAAAATTCAATTTTTTTGTTTTAGATTATCAAAAATACAATTTTTGGACCAAACAGAAGAAATAAATGAACCTAGGCTTTCTAAATGGCTGCCCTACAACATGGTAAGTCCACATAAATAATTATTAGGTTTACAGGGTATTTTTGGTAAACCTTGGAAATAATTTATAGCTAAAACAATAATTCGATTTTAATATGAAATTTTATTTAGTATTTACGAGCATTTAGGATTGCGGTAAATCAATTTTCGCAACTTTGCCGAACACGCAAGTTTAATTTAATACTTGCGTGTCAGGCTAAAATCTGAGCTTTTAAATTTATTTTTATACACTGCATATATGCATATATATAGTTAGTGCTGCTTTTGCTAAAAGTAGATTTGTATTTTTTCAGTAACATACAGGCTAAAGTTAGCTTTAGGTCAAAATTGGGAAAAAGTGAGCCTGCGATCAAAATCCATAATTTTGATTAAAATCCATATTTTTTTAAAAATCGTCGCAGATTTTATACACATTAACACCGCAAGTTAAAAAATAATACTAGTAAAATAAGATTACAACATATAATAAAGATTGCGTTGTATTTTAAGCGTAACAAATTAATACCAACTCATAATTATAGTGTGAAATAAAAATAATTATACGTTTAACACCAAAACATTCTCATTATAATAATAAATAAATTGTTTTAAAATTTACGTCATCCTATTTCTATTTGGTACTACTATATTATAATAATAATAAACTAAGTATATAATTATTTATTTATTTTTATGTAATGTTAAGATAAAAAAAATTGATTAATAGTGCTTTAGGCAATAAGTACCTTTTTTAAATTATTGCAAGTAATAATGTAATAAGTTTAAGTATAGCTATAATAAAAACAAATGGTCATTTATCTGCCATACCTTTTTTTCTTTATAATTATTATTATTAAACTATGTACGTAAATGCTAACTGCCACTTTGGAGTTGGATATCTCTGTAACTAAGCATTATAGAAACAAAATGTAAACATCATTGTATAGGGAATTTAATTCTGTAAAACTCTCTTTACAGTTATTTTTACATACTACCAACATTAAGAAAGTTATAAACACAAATGTAAAGCAAGTTCATATGAATATTTTTGCAGTTTCCAGATAATTCCTTCCTGAAATGACACTTAAATTTCCGCAGCTATTAAAATTCACAAGTCCCTCTCGAGAATTTAATATAGAGTCATAAAATTTGCCTACATGGATTACATACCTAATATCTCACTTGAAAATACGCTTTTCCTGCAAAAATATTGATAAAATTATTTTTAATGAATTTATAAAAAAATTCTCAGTACTTCTGGCCTGTTCTACAAGACAACCAAGAAAATGAGACCAATATTTTATAAATAGAACTTTATCAATAAAAAGCACATTTCAATACAAGTACACATTAAAAATAGAAACAGGAAAAACGTGTAAAGTATTAAAATTCAATTAGTGTTGAAAAACTGTTTTCCAGCAAAACCAATTTTTGTTGATAACAATTGTTAGTTCGTTTTAAATATATTTAATTTGGTTTTTTTTAATAATCCTATTCAGGAAAAACAATAATATTGTTTGGTACATTAAATTATCTTTTGAGTAACATACAAATACAATAACAATTAAATATATTACGAGGAATTTGTAAAAAAATAATTAATGGCCTATGTTTAAAAACATATAGGGCTATATTGTTCCTAGATTAATTAGAAATATATTTTCGCACGTGAAACAAGCAAAAGTGAAGATTTATCAATATAAATAAAAAAATGGCAATTTTTTATTTGTATTATTTTATCAACATGACATGTGAACTGTCCAAGTGGAATCATTGAATTATTGTTAAATTTATTTATAATTTTAACTTGTTTATCATCGCCATTAAGTTAAAAGCAATAACAAAAACAATTCTTGAATATCATCTTTTTATTATATTAGTTAGTTTTAAATTATCGTCGCACATGTTTAATAGTTTGTTGTAAAATAAATGGACACAAAATTTATACGTAAGTTTATATTTAAGATTTTAACAAGCTGTAGTTTTGTTATTTTTTAAGCAATTTAAAAAATGTTTACTTCATATGTTAGATAATTTCATCCTCTTTCGAAATACGTAAATGTAAAAACCAATAAAACCCAATTAAAACGACATTAAAGAGGAAATAAGCAATTTGAACTTTTTTAATACAATTCTGAAAAGCAACATTTAAATACTTTTTTTTATTTCAGCAAATCTCTGGCAAGATGGCTGTGGTTGCCGAAAAACAAGAGCTCCGAAAATCGGAGATATTCCAAGGTAATTTGATTTTAAACTATTTTAATTTATGAATAAAAAACAAGACATAAATAAAACCTTAAATGTCAACCAGTTCCAAAAATTTAACGACTGGATTTTTGTATACGTAAATATAAGTTTTCCCCGACACTCTGTATATCAAACAATGTAAAATTAATTTCTGGGATAATTAAATTAATTTTACGTCCCTTTGGTTTTACGTTTCATCGAATACTCGTCGCCTTTGACGAGATTCGATTGAAATTTTTTAACTAATTTGCAATTTCGCGCTTCATAAGACGTTAGAAAAGGATTTAGTGCCGTTTTTAGTATCAAATAAATTCACAACAAACCACAATAGAAGCAATCTGCCGTAAAATTCTTCAGGAACATATAATATTTTAACACCCAACTTTGGAGTTAGATATCTCTGTAACTAAGCACGATAAAAACAAAATATTAACATCATTGTATAGTGAATTTAATTCTCTAAAACTCTCTATTTACCCATTTTCACATCCTACCAACATTAAAAAAGTTATCAACAAAAATGTAAATCATTGCATAGGACAGCTAAAGAAAATATAAACTGACACTTTGGAATTAGATATCTCTGTTACTAAGCATGATAGAAACAAAATTTAAAGTGCTTTTTACAGAAAATTTAATTCTCTAAAACTTTATTTCTACTAATTTTTACATCCTACCAACATTAAAAAAGTTATAAACAAAAATGCAAACCACTGCATAAAAATGCGAGCCGAAACTTAAATAAATAATAATAAAAGGCTTTCAGGCGTTCCGGTGCGAGGGCGCATCGCCTGAAATATTCAGTTTTCAGCGCGCGTTCGCCTGAAACGGCCGTGCTCTTTTCAGCCGTCTCTCAGCAAATATTATTTCAGCCATAAAAAAGTTTACTTAACAAATTGAGTGAGTTTGATGGTGTTTTGTTTGGTAACTTTTTAAATGTCAAATTTGAGCGGAAATGTGTCGTGAGATTTTTTGTAGGGCGTTAAATTGCCCACATTTTGGTGTGTTTGATTTTCTTCCAGCTTCATTTGTTTTTGAGATATAGTTGATTTAGTTTACAACTACATAATGTGTTATATTAAATGGGTCATTTTTAAATGCATATAATTAAAAAACCATTAATGCTACAATTAAGTATTTATAGCCATTGTGTAGGTAATTTAATGCTCTATAATTACTATTAAACACATTTTTGTGTAAAATTAATAATAAAAAAAATATAACGTTTTTTCTAACTTCCAGACATACGGCTGTCGAAGTTGACTTAAAACCAAAGGAGGTTCTGGCCGTTTTGAACTCCACAATTTCCGAGCTACCAACCTTGCAAAGTCACAAAAACATTCAGGACCAACCTAAGGACGAAAAATCCCCCAACAAACCCCCTCAAAATGCTGTGATATCGAATAAAGTGCCTTCGAAACAAGTTTTTTCACAATCAAAATCATTGGCGATAGATAACAGGCCCATTTTCCCTAACTGCCCCTTTTCCCCCTACAATAGCCCCACGAGTAGCCCCAGGAGCAACAGAAAACGTCAACCTCTCAGAGAATCCAGACGGGTTAGCATTGAAAAGTCAGGGATGTACTTACAACTCAACCAGTACAAATTGATGGACTCCATTGGACAGGTGAGTGAATAACTTGCTTCCTATTGGTCATATTACGAAAATTGTAGCTTCTTTTTACAGAGAATTTAATTCTCTAAAACTCTTTTTTTACTTATTTTTACATCCTACCAACATTAAAAAAGTTATAAAGAAAAACGTAAACCCTTGCTAAAGGCTAAATGAACTGTCACTTTGGAGTTGGATATCTCTGTAACTAAGCATGATACAAACAAAATTTAAACTTCTTTTTAGAGAGAATTTAATTCTCTAAAATTCTCTTATTAGTCATTTTTACATACAACCAGCATTAAAAAAGTTATAAAAAAAATGTAAAACATTGCATAGCACAGCTAAAGAAACTGTCACTTTGGAGTTGGATATCTCTGTAACTAAGCATAATAGAAACAAAATATAAACATCGTTGTATAGAGAATTTAATTCCCTAAAACCCTTTTTTTACTCATTTTTACATCCTAGCAACATAAAAAAAGTTGTAAACAAAAGTTTAAACCGGTACAAATTAATGGACAGTATTGGACAGGTGGGTGAATAACTCGCTTCCTGTTGGTCGGAGGTCAAAGGTCATACTACGAAAATTGTAGGTCATGAAATTCTCTATAAGAAATGTGATATACATTTTTTTGTACAACGCATAGTTAATGATATAAAGGGCTTTAAAATATTAAATATATTAAATATTTCTTTTAGGGTTCCTATGGTATAGTAAAACTAGCGTATAACGAAGAAGACGATACGCACTATGTAAGTCAATTTTAAAGCATATTACGGCAAAATTTAACGAGCAATGTGTTTTAGGCCATGAAAATCCTCTCGAAAAAGAAGCTGCTGAAAAAGGCAGGCATATTTGGAAGACTTCCGCCTAGGAAGGAAAAGACCGGTAATATTGCACACCCTGTACATAAAGTGTACAGGGAGATCGCCATTTTGAAAAAACTCGACCACCCGAATGTTGTGAAGCTCGTGGAGGTGTTAGACGACCCGGTAGAAGACCATTTATACTTGGTTTTTGAACTTTTGGAGAGAGGCCAAGTATTGGAAGTCCCAACTGATAAACCTCTGCTTGAAGAAGAAGCCTGGGCTTACTTTCGCGACGTAATCCTAGGAATTGAATACCGTAAGCCTTTCTCATAAATATACAAGGTTTTTATAGTGCTAAATTCCATTTTTCTAGTCCATTACCAAAGAATAATCCATAGAGACATAAAACCGGCAAACTTACTTCTAAGCGAGAATAATCGCGTTCAAATAGCAGATTTGGGCGTGTGCAACGAGTTCCACGGATCCGATGCGTTTTTGTCTAGCACCGCGGGCACCCCTGCCTTTACGGCGCCCGAGGCTTTGGGAGAACAAAGAGCCGGCTTCAGTGGAAAGGTGAGCTGGACACTTATTTATATTTTCCCCTGTATAATATTCCCCATTAATTCGATTGTATATTGGTTGACATTTTTTTGAAGTCAGAACATACAGCTTTAAATAAAATCAAAAAAAATTAAAATCTGATAAAGCACAAAAAACTTACAGCGTGTCAAAAAATATGTAACAAAAAAACGCATAACTTCACATTTTACCCTGTATATATTTTAAAAACAAATGAACAAAATAAACCAATACATCAAATTAAAGGCAAAACATCAGGCTTTAATAAAAATCATCAAAATTGAAAAACCTGCAAAAAACAAATGAGTTACGCCCTCTTAAAGTTCAGAAATTTTAGGGTGCTATATGCTGGACACTTATTTATGTTTTCCCCTGTATACTATTCCACATTAATTCGATTGCATATTGGTTGACATCCTTTTGAAGTCGAAACATACAGCTTTCAATAAAATAAAAAAAAATTAAAATCTGATAAAGCACAAAAAACTTACAGCGTGTCAAAAAATAAGTAACAAAAAATCGCATAACTTCACATTTTACCCTGTATATATTTTAAAAACAAATGAACAAAATAAACCAATACATCAAATTAAAGCCAAAACATCAGGCTTTAATAAAAATCATCAAAATTGAAAAACCTGCAAAAAACAAATGAATTACGCCCTCTTAAAGTTCAGAAATTTTAGGGTGCTATATGCTGGACACTTATTTATGTTTTCCCCTGTATACTATTCCACATTAATTCGATTGCATATTGGTTGACATTTTTTTGAAGTCAGAACATAAAGCTCTCAATAAAACCAAAAAAATTAAAATCTGATAAAGCACAAAAAACTTACAGCGTGTCTAAAAATAAGTAACAAAAAAACGCATAACTTCATACTTTACCCTGTATATTTTTTAAAAACATTTGAACAAAATAAACCAATACATCAAATTAAAGACAGAACATCAGGCTTCAATAAAAATCATCAAAAAACCTGCGAAAAACAAATGAGTTACGCGCCCTTAAAGTTCAAAATTTTAGGGTGCCGATATATGGTCGATGGGTGTGACTCTATACGCTTTCGTGTACGGTAAAATACCATTTTTCGACGACAACATAATCGGTTTGTACCAGAAAATCAAAAATCAGGCCGTATACTTCCCCGAAAGCCCCGAAGTCAGCGACAATTTAAAGGATTTGATCAGAAAAATGTTGATTAAAGACCCAACTAACAGGATCACGTTGCCTGAGATCAAGGAACACATTTGGGTGACGAAAAACGGTAGACACGTATTGCCAACCGAAGAGGAGAACTGTCAGCTGGTGGAAGTCACTGAAGAAGACGTAGAAAGAGTTATAACTTCAATACCAAAGTTGGATACTTTAATATTGATCAAACACATGCTGAAAAAACATTCCTTCCAGGTAATTTTACAACGTAAACACCCTGTATACAGTTTGACATTTTTTTAAATTAATTTTAGAACCCATTCTTGCACAGAAGAGATTCAAACACGTCAAGAACCGACCAATCAGAGGATAGCAAACAAAATCAGAGGTACCAACATATCGGGAGATCGGGTCGTTCGAATTCCGCGCCAGGTTCTTGTGGATTTCTTGCGGAAAAACAAATATCCCTAGATTCCCCCCTAGAAGCCGTTAAAGAGGTGGTAATAGAAGAAATACCCAAATTATCAAACAATCGGTGATAATAATTTTTTATTTTTATATTTTGACTCTTTTTTTGTAATAAAGGTTTTATTTTTATTTTTTTTTAGTTTTTTTAAATTTTATACAAGGTGTAATGAACACCCAGTAGATAAAAGGCACAATTTGTACATTAATATGACTGACATAAAGCTTTATACTAATATAATATATGTAGTAAATTTAATATTAATATCAAAACATTTTTATTTAATTTTTTTATTATTGGGGACCATTTTTGAACCAAATTTTGCACTCATTAGTAAAATATCACCATATAGTAAAAACTGCTCACCTATTTGTAAATTTTAAGGAGAAATGTAGGTAAAGCATATATTCTAATGAAAAAAAATGTAAATTAAGGTTAAAAACATTTTTCACTCTATTGGATATGTTTGAAACGTTTAAATATATTCTATCTCTATATTTACATACACTAAACGCCCTGTATATATATATATATATAAACATGTTATGTTTCTTGTATTAACGCCATATTAACTTAGTTTTAAAAAACAAGACATTCAAATGTGTAAATCACTTACCCTGTATATCAAAACTTCTGAAAAACACTTCAAACTTACTAATTTTATTTTTTTCACACACTACAAATCGTTAGGAACATTTAAAAACACAAATTAAAACGCTAATTTAATAGAGACGCCAAAAATGATTTTTGGCGTTTTTGAAAAATCTTGACGTTTGACAGATGAACAGGGGTGCCACCAGCACTCACAAAATAAACGTCATTTAACTCTTAAAAATGACAAAAATTAACGTTTGTTGGCACTTCCGTGTATTAAAATTTGTTACTTTGTGTTACCATAAGGTATAATAACGTTTTAAATTGATTTAAAAGGCTTTAAACTCCAAATAAATCGATAAAAATCGATGATTAATATCCAAGTAGGCTGCTGTCACTATTAAGTTGGTGCGCATGACGCGACTTGTTTTTGTTTAATCATAGCGTCTTTTTTAATATTTTGACAGTTTAGTTGTTTTTGGTGTTTTTAAACTAAATTAGCATGTATTATCGGTAAAATTAGTATCTTTAAAGTGTTTTTAGTGGTTTTCAAGAGTTTAATGTACAGGGTGAGTGTTATTTTAGTAATACTATACACATTTCAAGTTTTTGACAGAGTTACACAAAATCCAAAACAATCATAAGAAAACAAAGTGTTTTCTTGTAACTCTGTATAGTTTTAAGTATTTATATCCTCTCTATTTACCTACCTATACCTTTTACCTCCTCTATTAGATGTTAGGAAATATACCTATTTATTGTTACATATTTTTAAACACTTTATCGTATTCTTATTATGAATAAACCTTTTAAAACATGTACTTTCGTGTTTAAATCTTCCGAGCTTTTAAATTAAATTTAATCATCGACATAACATTTAAAGATAATGCAGATATTTTTTTATGGTAAGTGATGGTTTTTTCATTACCTAAAAGATGGCGCCACAACTTTTAAACCGCACATACTTCCACAGTCTGTGGTTAAACCGTTTTTTGTAATTTTACAAGGTTTTTATTAATTTTTTTTATATTTTGACCAAATTTTGACAAGTTAGACTGTTTAAAAAAATATGAAAAATCAAAAAATAGTTACGACATCGAGTGGGCTGCGCATTGTGGTTGCCATGGCAACGTCTTTATGACGACGCCGGTGAAAACAGAACGTCGGCGTCGTAAGCAACGTTGCCAAACTGTGCCGTTTTTCCCTGGATTAGGGAAATCGATTTTTCTTATAAATCGAGTGTTTTCAACGTTTTTTTAGTATTTTTTTCGGGGGTTTATCGCGTTTCATCAGTGTGCTTGAGTATTTTTTCAATTTTCGACGATTTTTAGCGATTTTTTTTTAAATTTTTCCGGATTAATTATTAAGTAATATTTCTGTACGGGGGACTTCTGGCAACGTCGGGTTTGGAGTGTAGTTTCAGCTAAAATTTCAGTTGTCACTTGGCGAGCAAAAAAACAAAATCACCGTTCAGTTGTCACAAATGTAGCCCGTGCGATAAATCGACCAAAAACAAAAGACTAACAGTGACCGTCGAAAAAAAGTGAACTATAGCTTATAGGAATAAAGTTTTTTATGCATGTTTGCCTTCATCAATGCCTTATTTTTGTACATCTACAACAATATAAGACCTCAAGGAAATCACAGTGTTAAATTTATTGATTTGCACGACATATCACGGCTTTTAGGCTTTGGAAAATGATTTTTTTTCGTACGTAATTAAAGTAGCAATAAAATTAATAAAATGGCTTTCTAAAAATAATGTGATATTTATAATAATAATACTCCATATCGAAGCGACAACGATTGGTGTACATTTTTTTACGATAAATTATGTGTTTGTGATTGGTTGGTACATTTCAACGAAAAAAAAGTGATATGCCCGTAAGAAGAGGCCACGTTGCCCCTAGAACTACCCTTATTGAAACCATCATACGTAAATTTGATACAGACAGTGAGTATTTACAGTTTTTTAATTTTCTGAGAAATTAACATTTTTGGACAAGGTTCAAAAATTGCCAGTGTCCTTGTCAGAGTGTTTCATATGACTTATTTCATTTAACATATTTCCCGACCTACGAAAAATAAACACTTTATTTTAATACAACCTATTAAACGAATTAGATATTGATTTTTTTTTTATTTTAAAGGAAAACTTGGAGGCAACATTTAAATCAAAACTGAGCCTCTAAATAATTCACACTTTAATCCCGTTTTTTACAACTATACCTCGTTTGAATTACCTATTTACACTTCAATCTAGAGGGAAAGTTGTATACAACCAAGTCATTTTAATTACCTTGGGGACCTATTTAAACAAGCTGCAAAAATAACCTGCTAAAATTATCAAAAATTCTCTGTTATAACAGATAACACGGAAAAAAAGCTATCATATGTGATAGTTTTTCTTGAAATAAGAATAATATATTATTTTAAATAAAATATAGTCAGTCATACCAATATTTACTAATCTTAGAATAAATATGATTATATTTATATCCAGTATAGTTTTATATTTTTAAGAACAGAATAGAATAGAATATTATTAAATTTAAAGTCTTTCTTAACATTTAACAGGCAAGAATAAGATGTGCTTGTTTAAAGAAAAAATTGGTTTAATGTTAGTTTTAGCCTTGGCAATATTAGGTCAATCATCTTGTTTTTGATTTTAAGCTAAGAAATAAAATCTTTTTTATTAAAAGATAGGTTAATATTTAAAAGAAATTTAAAGCAAATTTAGTGAATTTTTTCCGTGTAGTGGGAATTTTTTTAACCAGATAATGGGGCCCTCAAAAATTAGAACACACACACATTACCAACTAATACGTTCCTAACACGAAACCCCTTTCAAAAATCGATATAAACATCCCTTTGAAGAATTTTCACTGCATTCCCATTAAAACGGTTACCTACAACTAGTCTGTAAGTTTTGACGCATTAAAAAAATGTTATAAAGGCTGTGAAAATGCTGAAAAAATTATATGAAAGAAGCTTTTTGAATGAAAACAATGTCAATTAAATGTAGAACGATTAAAATCGACACGCAATGTTTAGACTTAACAGGTTATGAATTTTTTTTAATTGCATTGAATATTTTTGTGGTACAGTTTTCATCCTATTTAAAATATATTTATATTAAATGATATACACTAGACTGGGCCAAAAAAATCGACAATTTTTTTTTTGGAAAGTACGTATATCGAAAATATTGTTTGGGGTGACAAAAAAAAATTATGGTGAAAGTTTGAGTCCATAATATTAATATAATTTTAGATTTTTTTTTCCTGAACGAGTTTTTGTCTCAGAACTCCCAAATCATTGAGTTTGACAAAATTGACTTAAAAATATTTTTTGAAGAAAATTGAAAAGGTTTGATTGGAATTTCCAGTCAGATGAACCCTTTTCTTACAATCATGCCTTAAAAATTGGTATAGTTTTACAATTTGATCTTTTAACTTTGGAATTTTGTAATTCAAGTTAAAAATCAGTACCCTGAAAAAAACGATAAATATTCTTATGGGAAATCAAATGCTCTACAAAAAAAGTCTTTTATCATTTTTGGCTAAATTTACTCCATCAAAAGTTATTCAAGGTTAAATTTGAAGTCAAAACGAAATTTAACCTTGAGCATTTAATTTTCTAAAAAAAAATATTTTTAAGTCAATTTTGTTAAACTTAATGGTTTGGGAGTTCTGAGACAAAAACTTGATGAGGGAAAAAAAATTAAAATTGCGATGATAGACCTCTTAATATTAATATTATGGACTCAAACTTTTACAATAGTTTTTTTTTTGTCGCCCCAAACCATATTTTCGATATAGTTTTAAAAAAAAATTGTTGATTTTTTTGGCCCAGTCTAATATACACTGTCTACTTAACATATGGAAATCTTTTTTATTGTTGCAACTTTGACAGTCTGTAGTTTTGTTATTTTTTACCCAATTTTAAAAATATTTATATCAAAAGTTACATAATTTCATACACTTTGAGAAAATGTAAATATCTTGATATGCCCCAGTACTAATTTTTCGAGATTTTCAACAAAATATAAAGTCATGTTAATTTGAGTTCTCTTCAAATTAACAGCCACTTTGAAAGTCTGTAGTTTTGGTATTTTATACCCAATTTTAAAAATATTTATATCAAAAGTTAGATAATTTCATATACTTTTAGAAAATGTAAATATCTTGATATGCCCCAGTAGTAATTTTCGAGATATTCCACAAAATATAAAGTCGAGTCAATTCGAGTTCTCTTCAAATTAACAGCAACTTTGGAAGTCTGTAGTGTTGTTATTTTTTACCCAATTTTAAAAATATTTATATCAAAAGTTAGATAATTTCATATACTTTTAGAAAATGTAAATATCTTGATATGCCCCAGTAGTAATTTTTCGAGATTTTCAACAAAATATAAAGTCGTGTCAATTTGAGTTGTCTTCAAATTAACAGCAACTTTGGAAGTCTGTAGTTTTGTTATTTTTTACCCAATTTTAAAAATATTTATATCAAAAGTTAGATAATTTCATATACTTTTAGAAAATGTAAATATCTTAATATGCCCCAGTAGTAATTTTCGAGATATTCCACAAAATATAAAGTCGAGTCAATTCGAGTTCTCTTCAAATTAACAGCAACTTTGGAAGTCTGTAGTTTTGTTATTTTTTACCCAATTTTAAAAATGAGCACATCAAAAGTTAGATAATTTAATCCACTAACAAAATGGCATTTTCTTAGTAATTTTTATGTTTTAGATCGCTCCTTCTTGGTGGCAAATAGTCGTGAGGGACAATGTCACGTGATCTACTGTTCAGACGGCTTCTGCCGTCTAACCGGATATTCCAGGGCGGAAGTGATGCAAAGGCCTGCCTCGTGCGAATTTTTGTGCGGAACTTTGACGTCTCAGCAGGCGGTGGCCAGTCTAAGAGAAGCTCTAAGGGAAAACGTGGAAAAGCACGCGGAAATTTTGTATTACAGAAAAGACGGTAAGATTTCAAAAATACAAAACAAAAAATCATTTATAAATTGACACAAGGCTGCTGGATTAAAAATAGCCGCGACTTGTGCACATGGTGCAGATACGGTGACGACATTTCTGGCATTTTTCGTGACGTCATGTGTATCTTTCGCATTTATTTTCGGCGTACGAAATCGACAGTTGAGTGAAATCTTCTGCTTAAAAAACATTGCGTTGAAAAAAAAGTTGTTGGTGCCTTTAGTTATTTCAAACCGCCAAAGGTCCGAAATTTGCGCATTAAATAAACAAGGTAGATACAAAAATAGTTTTCTTTGATATTTAAATTGTATTTTCTTTATGTGGCAAATTTAAATTTTAAGCCACTCTAACCGCAATATAACATATTGTAACGCTTTTATATTTATATTAAGGTAATATGACCTATTTTTACATAAAATGCTTTAATACCACAGGGGTGTAAATGTCAATGACACGGCAATGGCAATATTTAGTTCCTTTAACTTATTTAACCTTTATTTTTTTCCCTAGTTAGTTTTCTTTTTAAAATAACAATATAAATGTTTAATTTATCATCGATTTTTGGGAAATTTTGACATACATTAATAAAATATATTTTATCAAATCAAAATCTACCTAAAAGAGATATATATATCTCTTTTAGGTAGATTTTGATTTTTTTCTAAAACTTTAAAAACAAAAAAAATTCGGACATTTAAAAAAAAAAATTAAATTGTCATGTAATTTCTTTAATTTATCACCGATTTTTGGGAAATTTTGAACAAACATTAGAAAAATAATAATATTTTGGTTAGATTTTGAATTTCTTCAAAATCTTCAAAAACAACAAAATTATAGACATTTTAAAAAAAAAAATTGAATCGTCATGTTATTTCTTTAATTTATCACCGATTTTTTGGAAATTTTAAAGATACATCAGAAAAATAATCATCTTTGAGTTAGATTTTGAATTTCTTCAAAATCTTCAAAAACAAGAAAGTTACGAATATCCTTCCAAAAATATTAAATCGTCATGTAATTTCTTTAATTTATCACCGATTTTTGGGTTATTTTGAACACACATTAATAAAATAATACTCTTTTAGATAGTTTTTGATTTTTTTCAAAATCTTCAAAAACAACAAAATTATGGACATTTAAAAAAAAATTGAATCGTCATGTAATTTCTTTAATTTATCACCGATTTTTGGAAAATTTTGAACACACATTAAGAAAATTTTCATCTTTTGATTAGATTTTTAATTTATTCAAAATCTTCAAAAACAAGAATATTACGAATATCCTTCCAAAAATATAAAATCGTCATGTAATTTCTTTAATTTATCACCGATTTTTGGGAAATTTTGAACATACAATAAGAAAATTTTCATCTTTTGATTAGATTTTAAATTTATTCAAAATCTTCAAAACAAGAAAATTACGGACATCCTTTTAAAAATATAAAACCGTCATGTAATTTTTTTAATTTTTTACCGATTTTTGGGAAATTTTGTACACACATTAATAAAATAATACTCTTTTAGATAGACTTTGCTTTTTTTCAAAATCTTCAAAAACAAAAAAATTACAGACATTTTTCAAAACAAAAATCATTATCATATTTTGAAGATACTTTCAACACCCTGTGTAGTTTTATCAAACTTTTTTTTGTTGCCAACTAATTAACGACAAAACAGAGATTCATTTACCTTCCCCCGGAAACATTTTAATAAATTACTTCGTGTCATGTCAGTAGTATATGCAGTAGGCAATAAAAAGTAAAACATTTCAGGTAAAGAGTAAAAAGCGTTCGATATTCAAATTGTGTATTTACGTTCAAACTGTTTTTAATGTCGACCATATTTGTCGCATTACTATAAAACACATCTGCATAATGTCTTTATTTTTGTCAAAGATTGGAATCTAACCTAATAAGGGAGAATAAAGAAGTTGTTCTAAAGAACTTTGACGAGGTTTTCACTGTTTTGTTCTATTGGTTTTTATATACAATATACGTTAAAATTGTAAAAAAGTTCATGAAAAATAAATCTGCGAAGGAGGTTTAGCTTCATAAATTCTCGTGTGTAATAGAAAATCTTCTTTATCCAGAACTATAAATAAGATGGTGTAGAGCTGTAAAATTATATGCTGCATTGAAATTGAATCACTAATTTATTTCAATTGAAAATCTGTATAGATTATTCGCAATTACTTAAATATGTTTACCAGTATTATGAAGGGATAAGGGATAGAATTTCAACGAAATTATCGATCTTACTTTAGTTTGACCCTATTCATTGAAGGGAAAGGTGGTCTATAATATTTTGCAAACTTTTATCATACATTTTTTATGAATTTGATGTCAAATTTATAATATGGTATCTCTATTAATACCTAATTGACAAATTGTGTGACCAGGGAATTATACAAATAAATCAAGTTATGCAGCAATATTTGAATCGATAAATATATGTAAAGTTATAAATGATTAACTACCTTCGCTATCATTTGCCAAAAATTCGACATCGAATGAACTTTTTTTTTAACTTTCAGGCTCAAAATTCCTTTGTTCGGAAGTGATAGCGCCCATAAGATCGGAAGTCGATGATATATGTTTGATAATCATTAATTTCGAGGATTTAACAACGCTACCGACGGCATCGCTGGACGGCAGCCCTGTTGCCAAACCTAACCGTCTCAGTAAATGTAAGTTTTAGTTGAAATTGTCGTGTAACTTTCGTGATTAATCATCGATTTTTGCGATATTTTAAAAATGCATCACGATAATCGTTTTCTTTGAGATGGATTTTGATTTTTTTCTAAATCTTCTAAAACAAAAAAATTACGGATTTTCTTCCAAAAAAATGAAATCGTGATGTAATTTTTTTAATTTATCAACGATTTTTACGAAATTTTGAACACAACTTAAAAAAGTAAATCTATTTTTGTTAGATTTAGATTTTTTGCAAAATCTTCAAAAACAAAAATATTACGGACATTTTTCCAAAAACAATAAATTTGTCATGTAATTTCTTTAATGTATCACCGATTTTTATGAAATTTTGAACACTATTAAAAAAAGTAAATCTCTTTTAGTTGGATTTTGATTTTTTTCAAAATCTTCAAAAACAAAGAAATTACGGACATTCTTCCAAAAAAATTAAATCGTCATGTAATTTCTTTAATGTAGCATCGATTTTTAAGAAATTTTTAGTACACATGAAAAAAGTAAATCTCTTTTAGTTGAATTTTGATTTTTTTCAAAATCTTCAAAAACAAAGAAATTACGGACATTCTTCCAAAAAAATTAAATCGTCATGTAATTTTTTTAATGTATCACCGATTTTTATGAAATTTTAAACACACATGAAAAAAGTAAATCTCTTTTAGTTGAATTTTGATTTTTTTCAAAATCTTCAAAAACAAAGAAATTACGGACATTCTTCCACAAAAATTAAATCGTCATGAAATTTCTTTAATGTTTCACCGACTTTTATGAAATTTTGAACACGCATGAAAAAAGTAAATCTCTTTTAGTTGAATTTTGATTTTTTTCAAAATCTTCAAAAACAAAGAAATTACGGACATTCTTCCAAAAAAAATTAAATCGTCATGTAATTTCTTTAATGTATCACCGATTTTTATGAAATTTTGAACACACATGAAAAAAATAAATCTCTTTTAGTTGAATTTTGATTTTTTTAAAAATCTTCAAAAACAAAAAAAATACAGACATTCTTCCAATTTTTTTTTAATTTATCACTAATTTTTACAAATTGTCTGTGTCTTCATTAAATATGTATATGTATATATAGTTGACAGGGCTAGAAACTCGTTCAGACAAAGTTTGAGGTTAGGATCGAATCTGAGAGGTCGCGGTCTTCGTCTGGCCGGTTATTTGACGCCGCCAAGCGACGTGACAGCGGCCGAAGAAGAAGACGACACTTTGGAGCAATGGTACCGCAATAGCGCGAAAAAAAAAACACCATTGTAAACTTTGTGTTTTAGCCCGTTGACCATAACGCCCATCCTGGATCAGACGTGGGTGTCGAGGGGGGACCCGGGGGCCCAAACGACGGCCATAGGCTACGCCACGGCCCCCCAAAAGGAGTACACGGCTTTGACGGTGTCACATAGCGCGCCTGCCTCGCACCAGGCCTCCTTCGAAAGGGGGGAAAGCGTGGAAAGGGCCGTCAGACAGCCCTTGTTGAATAATTGTAACAGGTATGTACACAATTTTTATTTTTAATTATAAATTATTATTTTTTTAACAAAAGTAGCACCAAATGATGTTTTGGAGAGAAAGTGCCCCCCCCTGTAAGACTCTGTACCTGCTATATGTCCAAACCTATTTTAAAATAATTTTAGATTGTCTAAAATTATTTAAAATTGTCCTAACTCAATCCCAAAATCAACGATTTTTAGGAAATTTTGAACATACATACATTGGAAAAATAATTTTCTTTTACTTGGATTCTGATTTTATTCAAAATCTTCAAAAACCTAAAAATTACGGACATTCTTCCAAAACAAATTAATTCGTAATGTAATTTATTTAATTTATCACCGATTTTTACGAAATTTGGAACATACATTAGAAAAATAATTCTCTTTAAGTTAGATTTTGATTTTATTCAAAGGCTTCAAAAACAAAAAAATTACTGACATTCTTCCAAAAAATTAAATCGTCATTTAATTTCTTTAATTTATCACCGATTTTTATGAAATTATAAACATACATTAGAAAAATAATTCTCTTTTAGTTGGATTTCGATTTTATTCAAAATCTTTAAAAACAATTGAATTACGGACATTCTTCCAAAAAATTAAATTGTCTTTAAATTATCACCGATTTTTACGAAATTTTAAACATACATTAGAAAAATATTTCTCTTTTCGTTAGATTTTGATTTTATTCGAAATCTTTAAAAACAAAAAAATTACGGGCATTTAAAAAAAAAATTAAATCGACAAGTAAATTGTTTAATTTATTACCGATTTTTACGAAATTTTGAAGAAACATTAAAAAAATAATTCTCTATATGTTGGACTTTGATTTTTATCAAAATCTTCAAAAACAAAAAAATTACGGACATTCTTCCAAAAAAATTAAGTCGTCATATAATTTCTTTAATTTATCACCGATTTTTCGAAAATTTTAAACAACCATTCAAAAAATATTTCTCTTTTAGTTGGATTTCGATTCTATTCAAAATCTTCATAAACAAAAAAAAATACGGATATTCTTACTAAAACTTTAAACAGTTTAAATATTCCAATTTGGTCCTGAATTCGATGTTTTATCTAAATTATTCTAAAAAGTTCCACAAAGTCCTAAAACCTCTTTAAACCGATATAAAACTCCTAAATCCATTTAGTTAACCTGTTTCCTATCTGCATGTGTGTATCTGTTTGTTATGTTAGACGATACACTAAAAGATTTATGGTGTCGTAAAGTAAAACGAACAATAAATACCTCGCACTTTGAAGTCGAGCATTATTTTTACGCCGAGCGCATTTTTCGTGTGTTTTAGGTACCATTCCACTTCGAACAAAGTCTCTCACGCCACCAGTCTGGACGCCATCGCGAGGCGACAGTGTTTCCGAACCGGCCTTCCCTCAGTCACTCAAAGTAATCAAAACCTCGTTAAATTTGATCGCCCGCTTTCATCTATTAATACTTTTAATAACCTCGCGCATTGCTTAACGACAATAAACTCGCTTTAAGAGAGTAAAACTGAACCGACAAACGGAGACCTCCGTTTTTCGGCCCGGTTTCGCGGTGTATTTATTTTGTGTATTTTAGTTCAAAAAACGCCTCTTTCTAAACAATTTCCCAATGTTTCATCAGAAAGTGACTTGCAACGGTATCGCACCGCTCAGCATTCCAACGATAGGAAAAGTCCGAGCCTCTCCAACCCGACCACGGACAGTTTAAGGCAAAAAGTCTGCCCTCAAGTGAGTATATCGCGAAAGAAACGACTTAAAAACGTGTAATCAACGTTATTAATCGTGTAGTTTCTTTAATGTATCACCGATTTTTACGAAATTTTGTACATACGTTAAAAAAGTATATCTCTTTTAGTTGGATTTTGATTTTTTCTTAAATCTTCAAAAACAAAAGAATTACGGGCATTCTTCCAAATAAATTAAATCGTCATGCAATATCTTTAATTTATAAACGATTTTTACGAAATTTTCGACATACCTTAAAAAAATAAATCTCTTTTAGTTGAATTTTGATTTTTTTTCAAAATCTTCAAAATCAAAAAAATAACGGACATTCTTCCAAAAAAATTAAATCGTCATGTAATTTCTTTAATTTATCGCCGATTTTTACGAAATTTTGAACATACGTTGGAAAAATAACTCTCTTCAAATTGGATTTTGAATTTTTCGTAAATTTTTAAAAACAAAAGAATTACGGACATTCTTCCAAAAAAATTAAATCGCCATATAGTTTCTTTAATTTATCACCTATTTTTACGAAATTTTAAACATACATCGAAATTTTAAACATATATCCCCTATAATGTCGTCCCCTTTAACTCTTTAATTTTAAGTGTCCCAAAAGTGTGGTTATGTAGGTACTAAAAAATACAGGGAAAAACAAAAAGTTTATTTTTTTTTCAATGGATTACCCTATACATGAATTTATTTTTCGATTCCTTGTGAAATACCAAGCATATTTCCTACAACATACCATCTACCTAAATTCAACCGTTTCTGAAATATTTAAATTATTTTTAACATTTAACAGTTAATGATAACAATTCAAATGCGAATATTTCAGAAACGGTTGAATTTAGGGTATATGGTTTGTTATATGAATTATTTTCCATTGTGTTTTATACGTAGGAAAAAAGTATTTTTAGTACCTACATAACCGCACTTTTAAATTAAAATAAAAAAGTTACAGGAAAGGGAAAAGTTATACGGGATCACCCTGTACATTGAAAAAATAAATCTCTTAAAGTTAGTTTTTGATTTTATTCGAAATTTTCAAAAACAAAAAAGTTACGAACATTCTTCCAAAAAAATTAAATCGTCAAATGGTTTCTTTAATTTATCACCGATTTTTACGAAATTTTTAACATACATCAGACAAATAATTCTCTTTCAGTTGGATTTTGATTTTTTCGTAAATCTTTAAAAACAAAAGAATTCGGACATTCTTCCAAAAAAAATAAAATCGTCAAATAGTTTCTTTAATTTATTAACAATTTTTACGAAATTTTAAACATGCATTGAAAAAATAATTCTCTTAAAGTTATATTTTGATTTTTTTCAAAATTTTCAAAAACAAAAAAATTACGGACGTTCTTTCAAAAAATTAAATTGTCATGTAATTTCTTTAATTTATCACCGATTTTTACGCACTCTGATATGTGCATTAGAAAAATAATTCACTTTTAGTTGGATTTTGATTTTATTCAAAATCTTCAAAAATAAAAAAATTACGGTCATTCTTCCAAAAAAATGGAATCGTCATGTAATTTCTTTTTTCGCCGATTTATGGGAAAATTTAAAGATACATTTAAATATATTTCACTTTTAGTATATATTTTGATTTTATTATTTTTCATAGGAGATAATTAAAAGTTCCCCAGTTACTTCATTATGTTTTATTATACATAAATAATCTAGCTTTTGCATGTGGAATTTAAATGGTTTATTTTTGTTGGAATTCCTCTTCTTTCTCGTCTTCAACGTTTCCAGCGCGTCTATTTTTAACCGGCGTAGAATTTTGATAGTTGTTCACGAAACACCATAAAGTACCAGTTTTAATCCCAGTCATTATTATAAAGACGTTTCTCACATGGACTACGCTAAAATCAAACTTGTCGGTATTTTATATTCACAATTTTTGTTTATTATATTTAATAAGTGTGTTTACACGTTTTATTAAGTTGTAGTAAATATTTAGAGTTTGAGTGTTTATTTTCGTTACAGTGTTGGGTTTTTTTACGTTTTCAGTTTTCGTTCCAAGACAATGGTTCCAAGTATTTTCAAAGTGGAATACACACGCCTAAAAATGGGGGAAAAGGTGGCACAAGTGAGTATTTTCACTTTTGTAATGTATATGCTACTTTTGTTTTATTTTGTATGAAAATAACCCTGCGGAAATACCCAATTTACGAAAAAATTCCATCTTGATAGATTCAAAACAAATTGATACGATACGTACTTGTAATGCATCTTTATTAAATTTAGTACAACATACTAGTCAAATTATCGATTTCACACGCCTTATGGTCCAGATAAAGGAAAATATTTCATGCTTTTGCCAAAAATCTCTCCCCATCTTGCTAAGAATACAGTAGTGGGACTTAAAGTTATTTTGACGGGGTGAAAAGTGGACCTGATTTTTTTCTACATTAAATTGGCATGCGTGGTCAAATTTAGAATGTTTTCCAATGGAAATTTTATCCAATGGAAATTTTATCCAATGGAAATTTTATCCAGTGGAAATTTTATCCAATGAGAATTTTATCCAGTGGAAATTTATCTAATGAGAATTTTATCCAATGGAAATTTTATCTAATGAGAATTTTATCCAATGGAAATTTTATCCAGTGGAAATTTTAGGCCAATGGAAATTTTATCCAGTGGAAATTTTATCCAATGGAAATTTTATCCTGTGGAAATTTTTAGCCAATGGAAATTTTATCCAGTGGAAAATTTTATCTAATGAGAATTTTATCCAGTGGAAATTTTATCTAATGAGAATTTTATCTAATGGAAATTTTATCCAATGAGAATTTTATCTAACGAGAATTTTATCCAATGGAAATTTTATCCAGTGGAAATTTTTTTGCCAATGGAAATTTTATCCAGTGGAAATTTTATCCAATGGAAATTTTATCCAGTGGAAATTTTAGCCAATGGAAATTTTATCCAGTGGAAATTTTATCTAATGAGAATTTTATCTAATGGAAATTTTATCCAATGAGAATTTTATCTAACGAGAATTTTATCCAGTGGAAATTTTATCTAACGAGAATTTTATCCAGTGGAAATTTTATCTAATGAGAATTTTATCTAACGAGAATTTTATCCAGTGGAAATTTTATCTAACGAGAATTTTATCCAGTGGAAATTTTATCTAATGAGAATTTTATCCAATGGGAAATTTTATCCAATGGGAATTTTATTCCAGTGGAAATTTTATCTAATGAGAATTTTATCCAATGAGAATTTTATCTAATGGAAAATTTTATCCAGTGGAAATTTTATCCAATGAGAATTTTATCTAATGGAAATGTTTATCCAGTGGAAAATTTATCCAATGGAAATTTTTCTCCAGTGAGATTTATCTGATAAGAATTTTATCTAATGCAATTTTTATTCAATGAAAATGTATATTTGAAAATATTGCTAAAATTTTTGGACTGTCTTTTTTCAATTTCCTTTCTTTTAAAAAAAGGGCGTTTTCAATTTTTTGAGAGAATAACGTCATGAGGGATTCATTTTTAACGTCATTTTTAAACATAAACAAACTTTTTTACCTTTTGGCAGGAAGCACCGAAATAAAACAACAAGTAAAATAAACAACTATAGTATTTATATACAGAAAGAATATGTACAGATAAAAAAACATATAATTAAAAAGACCTATGTCCAATTAATGGTTTAAAAAGCATGCCTTTCACTTTTTGATTCAATTTAATTCAAGAAACCTCTACACGTAGGTGCACCACAAAGACAAGGTATTTTGTCGTCTTCAAGGGGAAATTTGTAATCATAGGTGATTTCTTCGTTGACCCCAATCGTTGTTTCGAGTAAATAACAATTTTCTTCTGGGACTCGATTGTTATCACCTTTGCATAACAGTTGGGCTGAAAAAAAAATTATTATGAAAAAATGCCGTAACTTTGTAAATGTTGATATTAGAGAAAAAATTTTTTAAACGAAAAAATGTGGAGAAAAATGGTCTCTACAAAAAATGTTATGACACTTGTTGGTCGAAAATTTGACAGAAACAAATTTATATCAATTTTTCGACAAACTTTTCCTTGCAAAACTATTTTTTTTTAAGTTGAAGTAAAAATACTTTACATTACAACTATGATTGATAAACCTGGCCAAATTCCCGCACTTGGTGGCATCAATAATATTTTCCAGGTCAATTCTAAACAGATACGAACTTCCTATACCGATTGCTTCGTATTTCGTCTCCCTCAAATCCGCTATACTGTGCCTAACCATTTGACCTAAAAACGCAAGTTAAATAGTTCAAATGCACAACCACACGGTCTCTTTTGAATCTTACCGACATACTCGATGACCATCTCGTCCGCAGCTATCGGTTCCATGGCGAACAGACCCCAGTCGTGGATGGCGGACTTTGCGAACTTCAACTGTTTTTTCCTGAACTTCAGCTGGTTGAATTAAGCAGGTCCGAGTCGGTGTCGCTTCCGAAAGCCGTCAGCAGGCGGCGCTGGTTGGAGCGGGCCTCCCTCGACAAACCTTGGACGAGAAGGAAAAAATTAGTTCAAATGTCCCGACACTAAATTGGCTGTAACTTTTGACGTGGCTATCCGAATGAAATGAAACTCGGTGTACTCTTGAAGAACGCTTTTGGGATGGCCCGCAAGAAATTTCGTTAAAAAATTTTTCAAAAATAACGAAGATATTTAATAAAATGGAACCCGCCAAAAACTTGTGTACAGTAAAAACACAAAAACAATATAACTTAAAAAATATTAATCCGAATAAAATGAAACTCTTAAAAGACACTTTTAACTTGCTACACACAAAAATTCGTAACAAAAAAATTAAAAAATGGACAAAGATAGTTCAAATGTCCCAACACAAAATTGGCCGTAACTTTTGAAGTGGCGATCCAAATGAAAGGAAACTCCCTGAAAATTTCATCACAATCGGATTATATTTTACAGAGATATGATTTTTTTTTGATTGAGCAAATTTTTTTGAAGAAAAAACACATTTTTTTCAAAACGTCATAACTATTTTAATACTAATCGGATTTAGATGAAATTTTGAGGGCATACTAAACAAAAACACGCCCTATAAAATAAGTACTATCAAAAATACCAAAAATTTCTCCCCATCTTGCTAAGAACACAGTAATGGACTTAAAGTTATTTTATTTCCACCTTCTTAGTAAATGACACTTTATAGGTTAATTTTATTGTTTTGTATCCAAGTAAACGATACATTTATGGGAACAGACCTGTAATATTTTACGGGGCTTGTATAAAAGGCCTGTAAAGTTTTACAGGCTTGTAGAAAAGCAATTTATTAAATGAAATGACACATTTGACACATTAATTGAAATTTTAAACATGAAAATCTTTATCTAAAGGTGAAAAATAAAAATTTGTACGTATCACGCTTTGCAATGAATCTTTACTAAGCTCACTGGACCCCATAAGGTTTGCTCCTGCGGTCGCTCACCCCACAAACTTCCAGCTCGCCCGTAAAGATTCATTTACAAAGCTTGACCTGTAAATAACTATTAACGGGGTAAAAAGTGGGACTTGATTTTTTTTACATTAAATTGGCATTTGTGGTCAAATTTAGAATGTTTTTTATTAATACGCCCTGAAAATTTCATCACAATCGGATTATTTTTAACAGAGGATATGATTTTTTTTTTGATTGAGCAATTTTTTTTTTTTTTAAGAAAAAAACACTTTTTTTTTAAACGTCATAACTCTTTTATTAATAATCGGATTTTAATGAAATTTTGAGGGTATATTAATTAAAGCACGCCATATAAAATAAACAACACCAAATATTTTCAACAAAAACCAAAATGAAGTTTGCAATGGGTAATTCGGCAAGAATAAATAATATCTGGGTTACGCCCTTGAACTTCTGGCAGTACAGCCCTGTACCGTTCGGGATAGCATTGAAAACGGAGCCGCGGAAAATCCTGGCATTTTCCGAATAGTTTTCGCGAGGGGCAGACGTACAAACAATAAAAAATGTGATATTTTCAGTGATATATTTTAGGTGTAATTAAAAAAAAGTATCCGCTTTTGTAATGATTTTATTATTTATAAAATAATAAAGCTTATGCGTATTTTTATTTTTTATTTTTTTTAACAAAGTTAGGCTAAGCACTCGCTTATACAGTATTTCTATAGGCACAGGCAGCAAATAATTTTAACCAGCCCAAAAATTGTCGCAGAATTACATTTAAAACAATTTGATTTTTGCATGTTATAACCTTGAGTACATTTAATTTAAACTATTGCATGTAAAAACGACCTCATTCATACGAAGAAAGTGAAAAAAATCAATAAAATATTTAAAATAATATATGACAAGCTTTAATTTCGCTAGCTTAAAGCTATAAGGTTTTGCTTTAATTTATCTTAAATTTATAAAAGCGTATTTCAGACTTAAAAATGCTATTAACTATACGAACTTTATTGATACAATGCTCATAAAAAAAATGGATAAGCAAAATGACGAAGAGGCCACCCTGAAAATATAAACATAATCAAAAGGATTATTGATGATTTTGAAAGCACCCAATCAAATAATAACTTCGTTTAACGTCTACGAAAATAAATTAAACCGTCCAAGAAAAAAGTGGGTGTAAAATCGGGAAAATAAGTCGCAGTGACAGTTTAATCCACAAGTACAAAAAAATCGCAGATATCCCCGACTACAAAAATATACGAGAACCACTTGATCAAGTACAAGTCGACAAAAAGTCTGCAATCTTTCGTTGAAACTGACGACGAAGTCTACATAAACTTCATCGAAAACGGGGGGAAAATGAAAATTCCGATGTCAACGCTTTTAGAAAGCGGAAATCCTCGAAAATTTCGCGAAAAAGTGACGGGGATTTTGGAGGAGTACCGCGTCCTGATGAGCACGAAGAATCACCAAGAAAAAGTTAAAAAAAACGTCAACGAGGTTTGTATTTTTCAACACACCCCAAGTAGTTGGTAAATGAGGGTTCTGGACACGTGTACAGAACCCTCATTTACTACCTACTCAAAAATCCACACCTTTATATCGGTGATTTCTTGACCCACCCCGTACAATATAAAGTTCTTGTATGCGTCTGCATCGTAGATATTAAATGAGGGTTCTGGACAGGTGTACAGAACCCCTCATTATACTACCTACTTAAAAATCAACACCTGTATATCGGTGTTTTCTTGACCCACCCCGTATAACGAAAAGTTCTTGTATGCGTCTGCACGTCCTGTGGTTCGAACGCAAAAATCGATGCAAATGCGCGCGCGCACACAATTTTAAAACGGTTCGTTGTTTTATACTTTTTGTTTTTGGGGGAATACTGGGGTTGATTTTGTTTTCTTGGGCCGCTGTTGGGACCACTGCGACGTTTTTTTGTTTGGGAAAACGGACAGGTGGTTTGAAAATATAATTCACATCGATTTTATTCAACTTGTTAGTAAAGGTTATGCTAAAATTAAATCGATATTTAATAAATACAACAATATGCTTAAAAAACAATGAGATGTTACGATTTATACTAAAGACATGCGTATTAAAAACACCCCCCACCATTTAAAATCCAAGATACATTCTCCGAGCTTCCCTTTACTGTAAACCAGGTCGCTTCAGCTCTGCTGAAAACCCCTGAAACATTATGAAACGCCACACTAAGTGCTGCCGATAAAACACTGTTGTGTTTATGAAGTGAATAATTTAGTAAATATTATCGTAGATATTTTGGGTAGACAATAGATTACACTATAATGCTTGCAATGATAATTTGGGTTATTTGGATTGAAATTTGAAGGAAATCGATAAAGAATGTTTATAAATAATTTTATACATCGTAAAAATTGATTTATTATAGTCGGTTTTATACTGTTAGTAGCGTCCAGAGAGAGCGATTAGCAAACAAAAAGTCCAAATAACCAAATTGTCGGTAGTCATGAACGTAAACATATCGTTGAGAGACTCAAATAGACAAGAATGAGCAAAAACAACCGAGACATATCACTTACAATTTCGTTATCCCAACACCCCAAGCCTCGGGACCGTCCAGGAAGTCCATAAACGATGACAGACGGAAGTCCACAATAAGTTTCGACTCGACCAATGAGGAGACGGAGCCGAAGACGAGGACAATAGTGGGGGGGAGTTTGAAGTATGAGATTGGCAGGAACAGATCTGTGGGGACTTTGCTGAACTTCCCCCTCAAATGGAGTAGTGTCAGGATAAAAGGCACAGGTTTCGAGGAAAGCAGGAGGAGTGTGGTGAAGGTCGAGCCTTGTAACGGTATCTCCAGCAAGATGGAGTACTCCAACCTAAAAGTCCAAAAACAAACATTGGCAATGTATGTAACCTCAACCTCGACATCAAGCTTCCAAAACATCACCCCGGCACTAACTTAAGTCGATTTTTTTTACTTCAGGTTCTTTCTCTGGGTGCCGATGTCATCCCGGATTACAAGCTTCAAAATCCCAGGATACATAACTGGACCATACTCCACTACAGCCCTTTTAAGGCTGTGTGGGATTGGATAATACTTATTCTCGTTATGTACACGGCTATATTTACTCCCTATGTAGCAGCATTTTTGCTGAGTGAGCCGGATCAGAAGCGGAACAGCAACAAAAAGTATTCCGAAGATCCGCTTGTCATCATAGATCTAATAGGTGAGTTTAAGATGTTTTTTTCTTCTAAAATAATGATTTTACAAGAAAAACTTATTTACATAAAATTCTCTACAAAACTTATCATTGCAGATTTTTATCTAAAAACCACCAGAAAGCGAGATTTTTCACATTTTGACAATGCCGCGGCACTCCGCTAACACTTTTTGACGATTATCTCAAGTAATATTGATTTTACAGAAAAAAAATTAGTATTAAAAATGTAGAGAATATTATTATCTACAAAAAAGGTCCTTTATAAATTTTGTCAAAATATTGACAGAAACCAAGAATTTTCAGAAAAAGTGAGTGCCGCGGCAGCAGCCAATCATAAAAATGTCTAATTTTCGAGGAAAAAGTTTTCTAAACTTTTTGTAAAGAAACCAATTCTGTATATTTTTTATTTTCAACATTTTTTTACTAACTAATATATTTAAGTTATTGCCAATTTTTTTTTAATTTGAAATTTGTTTTTTTTTTAATTTTGGCTAATTTAGGTCATCATTACAACTTGTCATTATTTTGGCTTGTCGATATTTTAGTATCTCGTCATTCTAGCTTCTCATCATTTTTTCTGTTTAGATCTTCTAAAATATTCATTCTACAAAAAAAACTTATTTACAAAAAATATATAAAAATTGATACTCTACAAAACATGTAAATACAGATTTTATCTAAAAACAGCCAGGAAAGCGAGATTTTTCACATTTTGACAATGCCGCGGCACTCTTGTAAAAGTTTTTTGTCGATTATCTCAATTAATATTGATTTTACAGGAAAAAAATTAATATTATAAATGTAGAGAATAATATTATCTACAAAAAAGGTCGCTATAAATTTTGACAGAAAATGGGATTTTTTTAGTGCCGCGGCAGGGAATCTTAAAAATGTAATATATCGCGCTTAGGGGCAAATTTTCGAAAAAAAGTTTAACAAACTTTTTGTAGAGAATCAAATTTTGCATATTTATTCCCAAAAATTTTCCCACAAAATCATTATTTTTGATGTTATCGCCAAAATTAGTTTTGTAAAATTTGAATTTTTTTCATTGTTTGACTACAATGAAATTATTCCTTTCCAGTCGACGTCACATTCATCATAGACATACTGATAAACTTTCGTACGACATACGTAAGCGGTGCGGATGAAGTGGTGTCGATCCGGGTCGTATAGCGGTCCACTATCTCAAAGGTTGGTTCGTGATCGATCTAGTGGCAGCTGTGCCATTCGATCTTCTTTTGTTCGGCGAGAATTCCGACGAGGTGAGATTTGCGCAATGCTTGATTTCGCATTTAAGTCGTTTTTTCTTGGAGGAATATGGGGAATTTTTTTTTTTCATTAAAAATTGCGAATTTCACCATGTTTCTAAAGAAAAAGTGTTGTGTTATGAAAACCCATAAGTTAAGTGTTGCCTCAAAATCGATGTTGTGCATTTTGAAAAAATACGGAATGATTTGTGTTACTACTGTTACTATAGATTCTTTTGTCTCCTAAAGTTCATTCGATTTTTATGCTACTCACAAGCGCAAAACAGTCATGTTATTTTTGTACAAAAAATACCTTCTGACGAACAAATTATTTTCTATAGTTGGGCCTGGATAAAGACGAGGTAGATTTTTCATAGATTTCCAAGCTTTATCACGACAAAAAATATATTTTCTTCACTTTTAACTACTACTATCGGTATTTTTCACCATACAGAGTGTTAAGATACTGGCGATGAAGACATTTATTTTTTGTTTACAAAGAAACTACAAAAAAACTTTATCACGCCATTTTCGTACATCCTGTTACTTTTCTCTATATATTTCTTCGTACTTTTTTCTTAAACTTATCTACTCTCCATTGCTTTTTTTACCTTTAGATTTATTGAACATACTGTATAATATGCTTTACTACCTACTACGTAGTTTTTTGTATAATATTCCCTAAATAAAACCACTATTTGTTATCATTATCTACCATAAACAATTGTATCAAAATAACATGACTTAATTAATCCATTTTCAAATAGTGGTTTTTTTGACCCATTAAAAAAATCACCGGGATTATATATTTTTTGTCAAGGGGCCTTTATATATTAATAGAACACTTGGCTTTAATATTTCCTATTCTTTATTCGCACTTTTTGCATGAAGGCTTTAGGTTACTTAGATGCTTTGCTACCAACTGCATTTCCAATTTTAAATTAACGAAAACAATGCACAGGGTGTTTTTGTAGACCTGTGTTTAGGTTTTTTTCGATGCAAAGCTAAAAATGTTGTGTTTTAGACAACAACTTTAATGGGTTTACTAAAAACTGCAAGGTTACTGAGGCTTGTAAGAGTTGCAAGGAAAATAGACAGATATTCCGAATATGGCGCCGCAGTTTTACTATTATTAATGGCTACTTTTGCCCTCATAGCCCATTGGTTGGCCTGTATATGGTAAGAAGTTAATTTTTCGGGTTAAATATTAATTTTACAAAAAAAATTTATTAGGAAAAGTTTTAGAGAACGTTGTTCTCTACAAAAAAATGTTATTATGGTTTTATCGATTTTTCACATTTTCAGAGTGCCGCGGGCACTGCTAGAATACTTTATCGCGATTATCTGATGATATTATTGATTTTACTAAAAAAAGTTATTTATAAAAAGTTGTAGAGAATATTATTGGCCTACAAAAAACTTATTATAAATTTTGTCGAAAAATTTAAGGTTATCGAGATATTTTGAAAATAGTGACTGCCGCGGCAGCCTTTTTGGCATACAAAAGTTGTATTTTCGACAGAAACTTTTTGTGGAGAATAAAATTCCCTGATAAAATTTTTCTGTGAAATCAAGTTTAAACCCGAAAATTCGGTTTTCTCTAAACCAAGTGAACAAATTTAAAGGTACGCGATTGGTAACGCGGAAAGATCCATTTACCGGCCCGCATTGGCTGGCTGGACAGTCTGGCCAACGATACCGAGGAATATTACGGTCCCAACAAAACCGGCGGGCCCAGTATACGAAGTAGATACGTGACGGCGTTGTATTTTACGTTTACGTCCCTGACGAGCGTGGGTTTCGGTAACGTGGCCCCCAACACTGAGTCTGAAAAGATTTTCACAATCTTCGTGATGTTCGGTCGGATGTAAGATTACAGAAATTAATCCTAATGGGAATGTCACGATGGTAATGAGTTTTTTTTAGCTTTGATGTACGCGAGCATATTCGGAAACGTCTCCGCCATAATACAGCGATTTATACTCCGGCACGGCGAGATATCATACGCAGATGTTGAGGGTCAGGGAGTTTATACGCTTCCATCAAATCCCGAATCCTTTGCGGCAAAGATTAGAGGAGTATTTCCAGCACGCGTGGACTTACACCAACGGAATCGATATGAACTCGGTTTTGAAAGGGTTCCCGAATGTTTGCAGGCCGACATCTGTTTGCATTTGAACAGGAATTTGCTACAAAACTGCAGCGTTTTTCGACGGGGCTTCCCCGGGCTGTCTCAGAGCGTTCTCTTTGAAGTTTAAAACTACGCACGCGCCACCTGGCGACACTCTTGTGCACCGCGGTGACGTCCTGACGAGTTTGTACTTCATTTCCAGAGGTTCCATCGAAATTCTGAAGGATGACTTGGTTGTTGCTTATACTAGGTGAATAACTATTAACACGTAACTTCGTTTCGGTCAATGTTGTTAACTTTTAAGGTAAATACGATATTTTCGGGGGAGAACCCTTGCCTTCACACCACCCTTGGGGGAAATCGGCTTGCAATGTGAGAGCGCTTACGTACTGCGACCTCCACAAAATCCACAGGGACGACCTTCTGGATGTCTTGGACTTGTACCCGGAATTCTACAGTTATTTCTTGAACAATCTAGAAAATAACCATAGATCTAAGAGATTGTAATTGCCATATCTGTACTTTTTGCAATGCTAATTTTTAAAATTTAGGACCAACAAGCCGGCGTTATACCCAGGAGGCATTACCAACAAAAAACCTTTGGGAATAAAGAGGCCCGTTTCTTCAGGGGTGTGAGCAGGTGGTTCTAGGGGTAACTCGGTAAATGGGCGTCAAGAATCACAGTATAGTGACGAATCGGAATCAGGTTTATATTATATTAAACCAACACTTCCACCAAAACTATTAATGATAATTTAAGGGGCATGGTATATTGGAGTTTACCACTGACAAAGCGGGTCAAGACGTGACCCCGATGAACCTTGAATTCGGCGAGGAAAAACGAAGATCCTCGACCCTAAACTCCATCACAGGTATTTATAACACCAAACAACCACCATTTCACGATACCACATCATAACACGATAAAATAACAAACAAACCTCTAAAAAATCACGGCTTCTCAACCAAAGTGTTTGGCCTATAATTCCGTATACCTATCATGGACAATGTATATTTTAATAGGAGTCTTAAACCAACTCAAAAGAAGTATACCGGATCTCAGGCTACACAAAAGTACCACTCAACATCAACCGTTGATAGGTAAGTTCAATGTTTGTAGATGTCGGAAACAACCAAAAAGTATGTATTTTTTTTCTGGGGAAGACTAAGTTTCATATGCATGATCTAATACGTTATATAATAATAAATAAAAAATTAAACACTAACCATCAAACGCATATACCAGCTGATAGGAGTAAAACAACGCCTTGAAAGTGAGATAAAATCCCATTTTAGCTCAAAGTACTCCACCTTCGAATCACAGGATTAGAACGATAAGACGTCAGTCTTCCACAGGGGCGTATCAGGACCAAGCTGGGCACTCGCAGAACCAGCAACCAAACCCATCTAAATTCCGGACCTTTATCCAGTAGCACCAGTTTACTACACAACAGTCCTAGCCCGCCAAACAACCCCGATGTCCCCCAGGAGGACACTTTAGTGCCTCTGGACACCACCGGGGTAAAAAAAAAAATCACCAAATCTAGCGACTTTGGTGTCTAACTGGTGTAATTTTAGGTCGGCACTTCGCCTGTGAACGCCCAAGTCCAAACTTTCGTACATTCCTCGACCAACGACGCCGATAAACATGACGCTGAGTCGGTGTTACTTGGAGAATATCAACTCCAAGCTGGATCTAGCTCACCAAGCGCGTTTTTTTCGCCTCGAAACGACCCTCGCGAACGACGTGAAAAGTATTTTGACGTTGCTGCAAGCGCAGCAGAATTCCAGCAGCGAGGTTTCCACGTTTAAAGCAAGAGGTAAGTTTTGAAAAAACGACCGTAACTTTTTTGTTTGCGAAGATTTTGGGGGTGCGTGAAATGCGTTAGAAAGAGCGTCATTTTTTACTCACACCCTGAAAATTTCATCGAAATCGGTGATAATTTACAGTATTTGGAAGATAAAATATAAACCCAAGAAAAAAAATCTTCAAGTATGAGCAACTTAAGCACTTATGCAGCGATTTTATTCATTTTTTACGGGTATACCAGCAAAAATACGCTCTTTCAAACGCCATTCACACATATTTTCCATCCTTCAAAACAAACAATATACAGGGTGTTGTTGGTTTTTAACGTTTTAGCTTTTTCAATGTTTGAAAAATGACTGTAACTTTTTTGTTTGCGAAGATTTAGGGGATGTGTAAAATGCTTTAGAAAGAACGTCATTTTTTTAAGTACACCCTGTAAATTTCACCAAAAATCGGTGATAATTAACGGTATTTGGAAGATAAAATATAAACCCAACAAAAAAATCTTGAAGTATGAGCAATTTAAGTACCTATGGAGCGATTTTATTAATTTTTTTTAGGGTATACCAACGAAAATACGCTCCTTCAAACGCAACTCACACATTTCGTATATCTTTCAAAATAAACAATCTACAGGGTTGTTGAATTTAAGTCGTAATTTCTATAGTATAGTTTTAGCTGTGTGTTTAGGGTAATTTGTATTTTTGCAGTTGCCAGAGTATGAAAATATAGCTACAGTAGATTCTAGTAGAAGGTAGATACACTTTCCAGCGATCGGTCAGCGAACCGAAACCGATTTCTTCGAAATTGCATCATTTTCAACCTTTGCATAGGTAATTAAACAGTTTACAACCGCGTTCGGTTCTTTTTTCGCTGCATTCTACGGTCCGTTTTTTTCGTAGGTTCGCATCTTTTAACAAAGCTTTCGATTTCGACAGTATCAGAGCGATTCCGCTTGGTCAGAGGCCTTATTACACAAAGGAAAACGACGTCAAGGAGGAGAAAACAGCCCCAATCGCAAAACTAGAGTCTTTAGATGAGTTAGACTTGGTAAGATAGCCTAAATCTTCTAAGGTATTAGTAGTACGAAAAAAAGTTATTGGAGAAAAATTTAGAGAAAATCGTCCCCTACAAAAAATGCTTTTAGATTTTTTCTGAAAAATCGCCAGAAAGCGAGATTTTTCACGTTTTAACACTGCCGCGGCACTTCGATAACACTTTTTGGCGATTATCTCAATTAATATTGATTTTACGGAAAAAAGTTTAAAATAAAAAATGTAGAGAATATTATTACCTACATAAAAGATTCTTATACATTTTGTTAAAGAATTGACAGAAACCGAGAAATTTCGCAAAAAGTGGATGTCGCACTTTTTAATGTGTTCTTTATTTTTTTTTCTTATAGGAATCACCCGTAGGAAGTCCAAAAAAGCGAAAAAGTAGCTTTAGTACTTTGACAAAATAAATAAACAAATAAATAAGGGAGACGTTTTGTACTTAATTTTGTGATTGATTGTTTGAAAATGATTGACAAAAAATCGGGGTTTTAAAAAAAGCCCAGCTTTTTTATAGACTGTTATTATTATTATATTACATATTAATTGTTATATAGGGAAAGCACGTTGATATTTATTCGACATTTTTTATGGTATTAACGTGTTTTCAAAATAAGGTGAGGATTATTTTTAATTCATTAAAATTTAGGGTTTTATTCTTACATATACACTGCTAAAAAATTGTATTAAGTAACCAAACAACAAACTTTGAAATTAAATTTTATTAGATGTATACAAGGTGTCCCAATTATACGGTTTTGGAACGCCCTGTATAACTTTCATTACCTATTAATTATGTAGGTAGAATTTTTTGAATCATATTCTTATTCATGTGATAGAATTTTATATTTAAATGTAATAACCATATAGTGTGATATATGTATGTATTTATTTAATATTGTTATCGATTTATTGATTATTAATTATTATAAAAGTGTGTAGTAGCAATAAAATAGCTAAATAGATAGATGGATATATAAATGAAAACATTTTCAAAGTTGTTGAAAACAATTCCGTCTTTAAAAAAAAATTCATGTTTAAAAAAATCGCTTATAATTATTACCTACATACAATCATTAGTTTCAAGAAAAATAAAATACTTACAATATTTTAACGCACAAAAATACCCAAAAAACGATTTTTGAGTGTAGTTGTACAGATTCCAATGTTAAAAAAATATCACATTTTTTGTTGAATATGCTTATTTTCGCCAAATATCGCTTTTGATATTATTATTATTACTTACAATTACCATTTTTATTTAATAATAGCAAATTTTGTAAGCACAACATGTTTATACACGATTTATCATATTTTTAATATGTATTATATTCATGAAATGAATATCCATAAAAATAATAAAAAAGCATCAAATATCACTCGCATTTTATTTCCCACTAAAAAATTATTTTGGTGCACTGTGCGAAAAGATTAAATTATACTTTTTCCATGGCGCCATCTACTAACAAACGAATGAACTTTTTTTTAGTATAAAAAAGTTTATTACTTACGTACCTGCTTGGTAAAAATTACCGTATTTAAGAAAAAATTACCGTACATGAAAAATTATCATAAAATATTTAATTTATAAAAGCAACAAAACAATTTCAACAAAGTTAAAAAATATTTTTTATTGAAAACTCAAAATAAATAAAAATTAATTTAAATAAAAAACATTTACAAAACAACTCAAATAATAAAATAATAATTGTAATAATACAAGTATACTTTAAAAATTTTAATACCTATATATTAATAATTTATAATTGCTAGGTGTAAAAAAGGCTTACCTGTTTTCGGTGGGTTTCTGTTATTTTTTTGCAGATGGTTTATCATCGCTACTCGAATCAGACATATTTAATAACAAAACCAAAGAAAAAAACACTTTAATTTTAGCAGGAATATATAAATTTAAAACAAATGGGTTTGCGTCGGCGCTTTAGCAAAGAAAATAGAGAGAGTATAAAATAAAGGTTAATTTTATTATTCTCTTTCATCAATGTCGACATAAGAACCATAGATAATAAATCATGATAAGAACATACAGAACCCTAAAGTCGGAGTGCTCCTTTTATATACTAAGAATTCCATAGATGGCGCTATATTAATTTAAATGCACATACTTGTGGAACCTTTAAATGCACATACCATGGAGCCTCCATGGCACATACTTCCGAGTATGTGTTTAAATGTGTAGAAAAACCATAGACAAAAGACAATAAACAAAAACACAAAAAATAAAAATATTGTTAATAATATTATGTATAAAAATGTCAGTTAGTAAATTTACCGTACATTTGTGTACGGTATTGAGGTATGGACCGTATACCGTATTTTCATTCAAATTACCGTACAAATACGGTAATTACCGTACGAATGGCAACGCTGGGCACAGGTAATCGTTTTTGTTACATAACCTCAACAACTGTCAGATATTTTTTGCACAGTGGGGTAAGTTTCAGTTTTTACGAGGACAATTTTATTAAATTTATTTTATTATTTTTAAGGCTTTAGATGTTTACAATTTAGTATATTTTTCATCTCACTCATTATTATTTACTTACTTTTGGCATTTTTATTTAATAATAGCAAATTTTGTAAAAAAAATATTTTCGTGCACTGTGCACCGTTGCGCCATCTACTATCAAACGACTGAACTTTAAATTTAATTTTTATAAATAGTCATATTTTGATATTTTTAGCATAAAAATGTTAAATAATTATTTAGTTTTACTTATTTGATTGCATTTTTAAGGAATAAGTAATAAAATCTATTAAAAAAAGGCACAGGCAATCGTTTTTGTTACATAACCTCAACAACTGTCAGATTTCTTATGCACAGAGGGGTAAGTTTCAGTTTTTAAGAGGACAATTTATTTATTTTATTATTTTTAAGGCTTTAGGTGTTTACAATTGAAGTTATTTTTTATCTCACACATTATCATTGCTTACTTTTTAACATTTTTATTTAATGATTGGAAATTTTATAAAAAATATTTTGGTGGCGCCATCTACTAGTAAACGAATAAACTTTTGTCAGATTTCTATTGCACAGTGAGGTAAATTTTAATTTTTAAGGGGACAAAAATAAAAAAGTGTTTTAAAGGAAGATGTTTTAATACTTTGCCATAAATACACAGTATACACATTACAGAAAAAAATGCCTTATCATACCTAGCGTTAAAATAATAATAATAATTACAAGAATAATAAATTATATGGACATTGGTATAAAAAGTTTGGTGGTGGTTTTATAGGTACACAAGTTAATTAAAAATGACTTAGGATTTGTTGACGAATTCTTCCCCGGCTTGTATGTTCTTTTTTAACTCGGGGAGAGCGGCCTTGAGAAGACCCTGCTCGAATTCGCTCAACTGCCCCAAACCGAGATTCTTCTCGATACCGTTTTTGCCCAGCAACAACGGGGTCGAGAAATACTTGGCTTCCGTCACGTCTGAGATGACGTAAGCGGGCTCGATGACGTTCGATTCCCCCTTCAACCCTCTGAGCAGGGAGTTGGCAAACCTGGCGCCGGCGTACGCCATCGACAACGTCGCACTTCCGGCGCCCGCCTTGGCCTTGACCACCTCGGTACCGGCCTCCTGGATCCTCACAGTCAACGCTTTCAGTTGATCTTGCGGGAAGGAAACCGACGGGGTGGCGCGCGACATCAGAGGGATTATTGTCACGCCGCTGTGTCCGCCGATCACGGGCACGCTCACGTCTTTCGGGTTCAAACCTTTCGCTTCGGCGATGAAAGTGTTGGCGCGCACGATGTCCAACGTGGAAATGCCGAAAACGCGCTTAGGGTCCAATTTACCCGCCTGAAACACGAAAAATACCATCGCACCCAGGAACAACACCGGCTAATGTCATTTTTGACTGGTAGTTCAAATGCACCCAGTGTTGCCAAGTTACGCTTGAAGTTAATGAAAACATTTTTAGTTTGTTGAAAACAATTCCGTCTTTTAATATGTATTATTTTCATCAAATAAATAATAAAAAAGCATAAAATATCATTCGAATTTTATTTCCCACTAAAAAATTATTTTGGTGCACTGTGCGAAAAGATTAAAGCACCGTGGCGCCATCTACTAGCAAACAAATGAACTTTAATTTTAATTTTTTATAAAATAGTTATATTTTCATATTTATAGTATAAAATAAAAATGTTAAATAATTATTTATTATTACTTATTTGATCGAATTCTTAGTAATAAGTAATAAAATCTATGAAAAAAAGGCAAATGCAATCGTTTTTTTAACTTTATTTTATTATTTTTAAGGCTTTAGGTATCTCACTCATTATTACTTACTTTTGGCATTTTTATTTAATAATAGCAAATTTTGTAAAAAAATATTTTTGTGCACTGTGCCAAAATTAACTTTAAATTTATTTTTTATAAATCGTTATATTTTGATGTTTAGTAAAAAAATATTGAATTATTTTTTAATTTTACCTATTTAATCGAATTCTTTAAGTAATAAGTTATAAAATCTATTAAAAAAGGCAAATGCAATCATTTTTCTACATAACCTCAACAACTATCAAATTTCTATTGCACAGTGGGGTAAACCTCTTAGTAACAGCCTAAAAATACCCTCAAACTTGGCAACACCGAGTAGTTCAAACGACCCCCTAACGTCAATAATGACAGTTGTAAGTTAACCCCAAAAATTGACAGAAGCTAAAAGTGTTGTTCCCCACGCAATATCTCACCTTTTTCAAGACTTCGCAAGCGATTGGCACGGCTGAGTTGACTGGGTTGGTGATGATACCTATGAGAGCTTTGGGGGCTACTTCTGCGGCCACTTTGGCCAAATCCCTAACGATACCGGCGTTAGTGTTGAAGAGATCATCCCTGGTCATGCCTACAGACAGTTTTTTGCTTGTAACTTTGTTGTTTATGATTTTTGAGTGTTGATGTGAATATGAATGTTTAGATGATTGAATTCTCTATGTAGAGAACTTGACTTTTTGTTTCTATGATTTATAGTTTTTGAGATATAACGTTTTAAAGTTGGCATAATTTTTTATTAGAAAACCAACACACACGTTTAGTTTTTTGGCCATAACTTCTTTGTTGTTTATTTTAGAGAAATATTGTAAATAACATTATCGAAGAGAAATAAATTATCTATAATTTGATATATTATTTGTTTTTTTTTAATGTATGGTTTCCAAGATATGACGTTCTAACCTTTTTTTTGTTTATTAATTATCTTACGATTGTGACGTATTTTTTTTACTTTACCTGGTTTTCTTGGTACACCAGCTGGAATAATGATGACGTCAGCATTGCGGAGTGCTTCAGCCAGATTATCTGGACCGTTGAATCTAAAATACACAATTTAAACAATAAATTTAACAAGTTAGGGTTCTATTAGCGTACCCTTTGACTTTAGATGCTGTTTCGATGTGAGACAAATCAGCAGCCACCCCAGGTGTGTGTACAATATCGTACAAAGAAAGTTCGGACACCAGAGGGTTTATTTTCAATAGGAGAGACAATGGCTGACCGATACCACCTGAAGCCCCACATACTGCTACTTTAAAGTTGTTCTAAAAACAAAAAATAACATTTTAATAACTATTTTTTTACACACCCTGTATAGTAACGAACCTAACCTTAAAATTACGTAACTGGAATTCGGCGAAGAATGTCGATAAAACTAAATATAGCATGAAAAACATGTTATGCAATGACTTTAATGGAATTTTCTGGAGAAATTAATTAATTGAAAAAATACAACGATTTTTGGTACCTGGTTTGAGGTGGAAAAATTCCTAGCGGTGGAAATCGTAGGTCTTACGATTCTTGACAACATTTTGTCGTTTGTTTTTCGTCGAAATCTAGTAGCAGCGATTTAGAACACAAGGTGATGCGATGTGACAAAATCTTATTTCGTGATAATCGAGTGACCTTTTCACGACCACTAGGTTAATAAAAAGTGACGCATTTCGAACATGTGATCTATGCACAGTGTTGCCAAATGTGTAGTCCACTGTTTTCGGTGATTTTTACAGTTTTGAGAAATATTTTTTAAGGTTTTATAAAGTCCACGATCCTAGCATATTAAAAAACATTTTTAGACAGTTTAAAAACATTTTTAAGTTTGTTTGTCCACCTGTAATCCAAAATGTACCCCACTGTGCGGCAAAAATATGACAGTTGAGGTTAAAAAACAAGGAAAATATATCGTACTGAAAGTTTTCCCATATCTAGAACATGTGTTACAACTATTCTATGATTATTAAACATAATTGGTAGTTTCCATACACAATAGTCGATATTTCAATGAATTACGGTAACTCTGCTGACCAAGAAATGCCTACAACCTCTGTGATAGCAATAAAACAAGAGATCAAAGAAGAATTGGATGATTATGATGAATCAGGGGTGAAAGAATTATCAGAAACATTGAGTCAATGTCATTGACAGATAAAAAAGACAATTTTGATGGAGTTGAAATGAAATTTGAAGCTGAAGATGAAACGTTTATTGACAATGGGTAAGCATTGTTGCCATTTATTGCATTTTTTTTTTTTTTTTTTTTTTTTTAGGTTTATTGACTTTTAGTCTTTACGACTATTTAGCCAGCTCATGATTGTATATTTTTTTTTATGCTCGAAAAACAAGCACAACACCCAAGGCTGTGACCGGGAATCGAACCCGGTACCGTGGCGCAGATTGATTACCGCTCTGTAGCTTTAACGCACTGCGCCATCCTCGGCCCCATGCATTACCATGGCAACAGTTGTTTGACAGTTGACATGTTGAAACATGCAACAATTGTGACAGTTTGAAAAATATTTAGACATACCTACTCACCCAAAATTTTAGATTTGAAGAAAGTTGCAATAATTATTCTGATCATGATAGTGAAGATGAGCCAAAAATCTTGCTTAAGTGTGACATTTGTTCAAAGGAGTACCAAACAAAGGAGCGTTTGTTTCGACATAGAAAGTATTTGCATAAATTATCAGAGCAGCAACAATTTAAATGCAGCAAATTTAATTATAAAACTCTAATAAAACAAAAATGTTTGAGACATGTAAAAATTCATGATAAAAAAAAACCACTTAAAATGCCATTTTTGCAGACTTTTCAGTAGACATAAGTTGGAAAATAAAGGGGAAAATAAAATTAAAATAACAAGTAAAATACATCAGTGTGCCAAGTGTTTATATTCAACTATTCAAAAAGGAAATTTAACAACCCATATGAAAATCCATAATAAAATTAAATCATTAAAGTGTTTATTTTGCGAATATAAAACTTACAAAAAGCAACACTTAGATAACCATATTTTATCTAAACATTCAAATTTATTGAATGAATCCAATCAAAATTTAATCACTTCCAAAATACACTGTTGCCAACTCTGTAATTATAAAACCACACTTGCCAGTAATTTAAGCAAACATTTTAGCTATAAACATTGATTATCCTGATATAATAAATATTACAAAAGTTGTTTTTCTTTACCTTTTAGGCAGCAAGAGATGATTTTTTAACTTTTGTTTAAAAAATTCCCAGAACCCCTATTTTTTTGCGACTTTGTCAATTTTCCGAAAATTAACAATCTACTATTTTTGCAGCGTTGCCAAGTTTCTAAAAAATCCCAGATTCTAGGATTTTTTCAAAATCTTTGGACGCCTTTTTATTAAAAAATCTTTTTTTGTCTCTTAAATTTTTTTTCCTTCTGGATTACCCAGGATTGTTTTACAACGTTGCCAAAGATTTTGTTTTTTGCGGTGTTGCCAAATTTCTAAAAAAATCCCAATACTTTTTTAATTTTACCTTATTATATATATAAATCTTAAGGTGTTGCCAATTATTACAACGTAGGTACTTTTTGAATTTGTTGTATACATGTTTGTCTTTTTAAATTTGTCAAAATATGATTTTTTGCGTTTTTGCCAATTTTTAAAAAATACTTTTAGTATTTATATAAATTAAGTTCTTCAAACAAAATTCCAAAATTTGTCCGTTAATTTTTAAAAACTCACGATAAAAGAAAAATATTCAATATTTTAAATTGAAAAATGTCAAATGGCATCAATATGAAGTTTGCCAGCAATTCTCATGAAACTTGTGGTCCTAAATAAAATGGAAAACTTATCAATAGTTTCTTAAGTAAATACATATTTTTAATTAATGCAGTAGTATAATGTGACCAGAATAACGAGGTCACTGGTTTTGGATTGATAATACGTTAAAAATATGGACAGAAAGAAACTTGGAACGATTTGTTGTGTTGTTGGGTGTTTTTCGTTAGGAAATCCTAGGTTGAGTTTTTACCGGTTTCCCAATAAACAGTGGAGGTCCGAATAAAGAAATAAATTGCATACAGTCCCTGTAAATATAAATTATACCTATTAGATACAATAAATACACATTTTAGTAATAATTTAGTGAAAATTGTAAACATTTCAATTCATAAATCGTTCATTGAAAGTATTCACTCAACGGTAAAATACCAAAAACTGGTATAACATTATGTATTATATATAATATTATGTTGCCATTTTATGCCTACAACTAAATTTTAAAATGGTATACGTTTTAAAATGCACTTGTAGGCGTTTTTTAGAGCACTCAAATAAAAAATGTTTGATTTTAAGGTCGTGTTTGTACAACAATTGTTTTTTGTTGGATTTCTTAAAAATGTCGAAACTTAAATAATTATTTTATTTTAGTTATATTTTTTAAATTTGTCCTACTGTGCGAATTTTTCCCACCATTTTTTAAATTTGTCCCACTGTGCGAATTTGTCCTATTTTTTAAATTTATCCAACTGTCCTCCTAAATTTTATATTTATTCCACTGTGCGAATTTGTTCTCCTAATATTTAAATTTATCCCACTGTGCGAATTTGTCCTATAAACAGCGCCATCTGTTATCCGGTAGCCAAACGTTGAATTTACAGAAAACTTTATCAAACAATTATTACGTTTAATTTACAGAAAACTTTATCAAACACTATTCAACGTTTGGTTACCGGATAACAGATGGCGCCGTACAAAGAACAATTTCGCACAGTGAGATAAATTTAAAAAATAGTAGGACAAATTCGCACAGTGAGATAAATTTTAAAATTTTTTTAATAATTGTTTGATAAAGTTTTCTGTAAATTTAACGTTTGGCTACCGGATAACAGATGGCGCTGTTCAAAGGACAAATTCGCACAGTGGGATAAATTTAAAATTTAGGAGGACAAATTCGCACAGTGGGATAAATTTAAAATATAGGAGGACAAATTTGCACAGGGGGATAAATTTAAAATTTAGCAGGACAAATTTGCACAGTGGGATAAATTTAAAATTTAGGACAAATTTGCACAGTGGGATAAATTTTAAATTTAGGAGGAAAAATTCGCACATTGGGATAAATTTAAAATTTAGGAGGACAAATTCGCACAGTGGGAAAAATTTAAAATTTAGGAGGAAAAATTCGCACATTGGGATAAATTTAAAATTTAGGAGGACAATTTCGCACAGTGGGATAAATTTAAAATTTAGGAGGACAAATTCGCACATTGGGATAAATTTAAAATTTAGGAGGACAAATTTGCACAGTGGGATAAATTTAATATTTAGGAGGACAAATTCGCACAGTGGGGAAAAACATTTTTGAACCAGTATCAGTATTATGCATGCCCACTCATATGTTAGGTGAAGTTACAGTCAAGTGGGTGGAGGCAATACAAACAAAACTCCCCATGTGCATAGGGGGGGGGCATATTCGGGGCAGAAAGATTAAAACCCAAGCACAGGAAATTATACACTGAAAAATATCTGCCCTGGGCTATAAAGACTGGTAAAAATATGGATTTCCTACTAAATATTTATTTTGAGAAAAGGTGGGAGCAAAATGTGCAAGAATTGTGTCAAGAAATTAACATGGTGCCTTTAAAATTAGAGGAATAGAGTGTATTTATTGATATATATGTTATATTTATTGAAAATGTTTTTTTTTTGTTGTTAATGTGACAAATATACCTTAGCTTTGTTTTTGTGTATGGCAAAAAACAATTAAATTAGGCGTGGTTTAAAAATTATGTCATGCAGTGTAGGACATTTGAACTACTCGATGTCATGTACACTGAGTGACAATATTTTTGAATTTTTTAAAAATTTAGTTTTCATGTTTTTGATAGTTTTCTGTAAATTTAACGTTTGGCTACCGGATAACAGATGGTGCTGTTCAAAGGACAAATTTGCACAGTGGGATAAATTTAAAATTTAGGAGGACAATTTCGCACAGTGGGATAAATTTAAAATTTAGGAGGACAAATTCGCACATTGGGATAAATTTAAAATTTAGGAGGACAAATTTGCACAGTGGGATAAATTTAATATTTAGGAGGACAAATTCGCACAGTGGGGAAAAACATTTTTGAACCAGTATCAGTATTATGCATGCCCACTCATATGTTAGATGAAGTTACAGTCAAGTGGGTGGAGGCAATACAAACAAAACTCCCCATGTGCATAGGGGGGGGCATATTCGGGGCAGAAAGATTAAAACCCAAGCACAGGAAATTATACACTGAAAAATATCTGCCCTGGGCTATAAAGACTGGTAAAAATATGGATTTCCTACTAAATATTTATTTTGAGAAAAGGTGGGAGCAAAATGTGCAAGAATTGTGTCAAGAAATTAACATGGTGCCTTTAAAATTAGAGGAATAGAGTGTATTTATTGATATATATGTTATATTTATTGAAAATGTTTTTTTTTTGTTGTTAATGTGACAAATATACCTTAGCTTTGTTTTTGTGTAGGTATTGTATGGCAAAAAACAATTAAATTAGGCGTGGTTTAAAATTATGTCATGCAGTGTAGGACATTTGAACTACTCGATGTCATGTACACTGAGTGACAATATTTTTGAATTTTTTAAAAATTTAGTTTTCATGTTTTTGATAGTTTTTCTGTAAATTTAACGTTTGGCTACCGGATAACAGATGGTGCTGTTCAAAGGACAAATTTGCACAGTGGGATAAATTTAAAATTTAGGAGGACAAATTCGCACAGTGGGATAAATTTAAAATTTAGGAGGACAAATTTGCACAGTGGGATAAATTTAAAATTTAGGAGGACAAATTCGCACAGTGAGAAAAATTTAAAACTTAGGGGGAAAAATTCGCACATTGTGATAAATTTAAAATTTAGGAGGAAAAATTCGCACAGTGGGATAAATTTAAAATTTAGGACAAATTCGCACAGTGGGATAAATTTAAAAATTCAGAGGACAAATTCGCACAGTGGGATAAATTTAAAATTTAGGAGGACAAATTTGCACAGTGGGATACATTTAAAATTTAGGAGGAAAAATTCGCACATTGGGATAAATTTAAAATTTAGGAGGAAAAATTCGCACAGTGGGATAAATTTAAAATTTAGGAGGACAAATTTGCACAGTGGGATAAATTTAAAATTTAGGAGGACAAATTTTTCTTACCATTTTTTAAATTTCACTGTGCGAAATTTCTTCCTATTTTTTAAATTTGTCCCACTGTGCGAATTTGTCCTATTTTTTAAATTTATCCAACTGTCCTCCTAAATTTTAAATTTATTCCACTGTGCGAATTTGTCCTCCTAAATTTTAAATTAATCCCACTGTGCGAATTTGTCCTCCTAATTTTTAAATTTATCCCACTGTGCAAATTTGTCCACCTAAATTTTAAATTTATTCCACTGTGCAAATTTGTCCTGCTTAATTTTAAATTTATCCCACTGTGCGAATTTGTCCTCCTAAATTTTAAATTTATCCCAATGTGCGAATTTGTCCTCCTTAATTTTAAATTTATCCCACTGTGCAAATTTGTCCTCCTAAATTTTAAATTAATCCCACTGTGCGAATTTGTCCTCCTAATTTTTAAATTTATCCCACTGTGCGAATTTGTCCTCCTAAATATTAAATTTATCCCACTGTGCAAATTTGTCCTCCTAAATTTTAAATTTATCCCAATGTGCGAATTTGTCCTCCTAAATTTTAAATTTATCCCACTGTGCGAAATTGTCCTCCTAAATTTTAAATTTATCCCAATGTGCGAATTTTTCCTCCTAAATTTTAAATTTTTCCCACTGTGCGAATTTGTCCTCCTAAATTTTAAATTTATCCCAATGTGCGAATTTTTCCTCCTAAATTTAAAATTTATCCCACTGTGCAAATTTGTCCTCCTAAATTTTAAATTTATCCCACTGTGCGAATTTGTTCTCCTAATTTTTAAATTTATCCCACTGTGCGAATTTGTCCTCCAAAATTTTTAAATTTATCCCACTGTGCAAATTTGTCCTCCTAAATTTTAAATTTATCCCACTGTGCGAATTTGTCCTCCAAAATTTTTAAATTTATCCCACTGTGCAAATTTGTCCTCCTAAATTTTAAATTTATCCCAATGTGCGAATTTTTCCTCCTAAATTTTAAATTTTTCCCACTGTGCGAATTTTTCCTCCTAAATTTTAAATTTTTCCCACTGTGCGAATTTGTCCTCCTAAATTTTAAATTTATCCCAATGTGCGAATTTTTCCTCTCAAATTTAAAATTTATCCCACTGTGCAAATTTGTCCTCCTAAATTTTAAATTTATCCCACTGTGCGAATTTGTTCTCCCAATTTTTAAATTTATCCCACTGTGCGAATTTGTCCTCCAAAATTTTTAAATTTATCCCACTGTGCAAATTTGTCCTCCTAAATTTTAAATTAATCCCACTGTGCGAATTTGTCCTCCTAAATTTTAAATTTATCCCAATGTGCGAATTTTTCCTCCTAAATTTAAAATTTATCCCACTGTGCAAATTTGTCCTCCTAAATTTTAAATTTATCCCACTGTGCGAATTTGTTCTCCTAATTTTTAAATTTATCCCACTGTGCGAATTTGTCCTCCAAAATTTTTAAATTTATCCCACTGTGCAAATTTGTCCTCCTAAATTTTAAATTTATCCCAATGTGCGAATTTTTCCTCCTAAATTTTAAATTTTTCCCACTGTGCGAATTTGTCCTCCTAAATTTTAAATTTATCCCAATGTGCGAATTTTTCCTCCTAAATTTAAAATTTATCCCACTGTGCAAATTTGTCCTCCTAAATTTTAAATTTATCCCACTGTGCGAATTTGTTCTCCTAATTTTTAAATTTATCCCACTGTGCGAATTTGTCCTCCAAAATTTTTAAACTTATCCCACTGTGCAAATTTGTCCTCCTAAATTTTAAATTTATCCCACTGTGCGAAATTGTCCTCCTAAATTTTAAATTTATCCCACTGTGCGAATTTGTCCTCCTAAATTTTAAATTTATCCCACTGTGCAAATTTGTCCTCCTAAATTTTAAATTTATCCCAATGTGCGAATTTTTCCTCCTCAATTTTAAATTTATCCCACTGTGCGAATTTGTCCTACTAAATTTTAAATTTATCCCACTGTGCAAATTTGTCCTCCTAAATTTTAAATTTATTCCACTGTGCAAATTTGTCCTTTGAACAGCGCCATCTGTTATCCGGTAGCCAAACGTTAAATTTACAGAAAACTATCAAAAACATGAAAACTAAATTTTTAAAAAATTCAAAAATATTGTCACTCAGTGTACATGACATCGAGTAGTTCAAATGTCCTACACTGCATGACATAATTTTTAAACCACGCCTAATTTAATTGTTTTTTACCATACAATACCTACACAAAAACAAAGCTAAGATGTATATTTGTCACATTAACAACAAAAAAAAACACATTTTCAATAAATATAACATATATTTCAATAAATACACTCTATTCCTCTAACTTTAAAGGCACCATGTTAATTTCTTGACACAATTCTTGCACATTTTGCTCCCACCTTTTCTCAAAATAAATATTTAGTAGGAAATCCATATTTTTACCAGTCTTTATAGCCCAGGGCAGATATTTTTCAGTGTATAATTTCCTGTGCTTGGGTTTTAATCTTTCTGACCCGAATATGGCCCCCCCTATGCACATGGGGAGTTTTGTTTGTATTGCCTCCACCCACTTGACTGTAACTTCACCTAACATATGAGTGGGCATGCATAATACTGATACTGGTTCAAAAATGTTTTTCCCCACTGTGCGAATTTGTCCTCCTAAATTTTAAATTTATCCCACTGTGCAAATTTGTCCTCCTAAATTTTAAATTTATCCCACTGTGCGAATTTTTCCTCCTAAATTTTAAATTTATCCCAATGTGCGAATTTTTCTTCCTAAATTTTAAATTTATCCCAATGTGCGAATTTGTCCTCCTAAATTTTAAATTTATCCCACTGTGCAAATTTGTCCTCCTAAATTTTAAATTTATCCCACTGTGCAAATTTGTCCTCCGAATTTTTAAATTTATCCCACTGTGCGAATTTGTCCTCCTAAATTTTAAATTTATCCCACTGTGCAAATTTGTCCTCCTAAATTTTAAATTTATCCCACTGTGCGAATTTGTCCTCCTAAATTTTAAATTTATCCCACTGTGCAAATTTGTCCTTTGAACAGCGCCATCTGTTATCCAGTAACCAAACGTTGAATTTACAGAAAACTTTATCAAACATTATTCAACGTTTGGTTACCGGATAACAGATGGCGCTGTTCAAAGAACAATTTCGCACAGTGAGATAAATTTAAAAAATAGTAGGACAAATTCGCACAGTGAGATAAATTTTAAAATTTTTTTAATAATTGTTTGATAAAGTTTTCTGTAAATTTAACGTTTGGCTACCGGATAACAGATGGCGCTGTTCAAAGGACAATTTCGCACAGTGGGATTAATTTAAAATTTAGGAGGACAAATTCGCACAGTGGGATAAATTTAAAATTTAGGAGGACAAATTCGCACAGTGGGATAAATTTAAAAATTCGGAGGACAAATTTGCACAGTGGGATAAATTTAAAATTTAGGAGGACAAATTTGCACAGTGGGATAAATTTAAAATTTAGGAGGACAAATTCGCACATTGGGATAAATTTAAAAATTAGGAGGACAAATTCGCACAGTGGGATAAATTTTAAAAAATAGGAGGACAAATTCGCACAGTGGGACAAATTTAAAAAATAGTAGGAAAAATTCGCCCATTGGGGTGATAAACAAATTATCACTTTAGAAAATTGACTAAATAAAAATAACAAAGAAATTATAATAATTCTCTTCAAGTTGGAATTTGATTTTTTTCTAAATTTTTAAAATCAAAAAAACCAAATACATTCTTCCAAAAAAATTGATTTTTTCCTAAATCTGGACACTTTGAGGGTGAAATAAAACAAAAAAAAACATTGATAATTTCAATATATATTCAGCATATACATATTATAATTAAATAATAATAATTAATATAATAATAATTAGAGATAAAAAGGAATGACTTGCACATAACATACAATCTTGCTTTGTATACAATTTCAAAGAAGGTAAATAAATCTAATTAAATAAAATTGTATACATTAATAATAAAATTTCATAGTGTTTTTTGTATTACTTCTTAATAATTAATAAACTAACAACACCGTAATTTGTTTTATATACAAAGTGTTTTTAATGTGGGGGATGTTTTATTTATTTATTTATTTATATTCATCAACACTCTGTATACATACATGAATAAAGGCGTTTTAAAACGACGTAAGTCTAGATCAAAACTATGATACAAAACGAGAGGAGAAAAAAATGTTGTTTCTTTGAATTTAAATTGAATAACATTGAACCTCGGGATGGTTTGTTCGAATCACTATATGAAAACTTTACTAAAGCGCAAAACTAATTTCTTCCGATTACATTCCTTGGTACCCCTGGTACTGCATCTGGGGGGCATACCCCGCGGGCGCGTAGCCCTGCGGGGGGACATACTGTTGCGGAGGCATACCTAAAGAAAAGTAGTGGGTGAAGTTTTGTAAAAATACGCAGCGCCATCTTTAAACGCGGATAACTATCAAACTACTAGACGTAGAAAAAATCGCCATACGTCATTTTGTAGAGAATTATATTCACTACATTTTCACTCCCATGAAAATTTTTGTGAGGTTGGCAGTTTTGGAGATATACGCGATTAAAGATCGATTTGGAGAATGTTACCAAAATTGTTGTATTTGGTTATTTTTTGGGGGATTTTAGTTTCACTAGGTTTATTTTGTTGAAAAAATACTGTTTTACATCATTACAATGACAAAAAAATACACGCGTTGCATATACAACCGTTAAAATTGATCTTGTTCACTTTGAAGAAGCTAGCTCTGAACTTCTGAAAGTTGATGATTTTGGAAGAAGCTACTTTTCAACTATTAAAATAGTTTCTTTAGTCGACTATTGTGCACCAAAATATAGCTAAATAAATAATTAATACGATAAATTTAAAAAAAATTAAATTTTTAATGTAACTCAAAAAAAATGACAATTAAAAACAACTGTTAATAACTAAGTTATTTTCAGACCAATACACCAAAATTTGACATTTGACACTGAACTTGCAACATTCTTTCATCTGCATGAATTTACCAACAAAATAAACCAAAAATTACTAAAATCGTTCAAGAAATGCCCAAAATACAGTCAACTTTCACTATAACCCTACTTAGGACATCAGCGCCATCTTTAATCGCGGATAACTCCCAACCTACTAGACGTAGAAAAAATCGCCATACGTCATTTTGTAGAGAATTATATTCACTAAAATTTTCACTCCCATGAAAATTTTTGTGAGGTTGGTAGTTTTGGAGATATTCGCGATGAAAGACGACGGTGTTTTTTCGGAAGAAGCTAGCACTGAAATTGTAAAAATTGCATAAATTAAATATTAAACATTCTTACCCATTCCTGGGCCAGCAGTTAACATCAACTGCGGCTCCTGGATCATCATAGGCTTGTTGGTTTCTTCAGCAGCTTCGCTTTGCCTTTGCTGATCGGATAACTCCAGTTTTTCCACCTTCGATGTTAGTTCCCTAGTTACTTGTATCAAATAGGGCATTGCGAAATCTGTTATGTTGTGTTTCCAGGCTAATTCTAGGATAACGTCTGGCCTCAAAAGATCGTAGCACTGAAAATATCGCGTTTTAAGGAAAGTAGTTCAAATGCACCAAACTTAGAATGTCAATAACGGGGAAAGTATCGGTCCGATTTTGATGAAATTTTGTGTAAATGTTGTTTTTATCGTATGCTACTTTTTAAAAATCCTACAAAAGAAAATTACCTAACCCAACAAATTTAGAATGTCAATTATTGAGAAAGGTATCGTTTCGATTTTGATAAAATTTCGTGTAAATGTCGTTTTTAACGTTGTTTACATTCTATTAAAATTTTCTTGTAAACCCACAACCAGAAGTATGATTTTTCGAAAACGATGAAAAATGCTTCAACACATTTTTTATTATAACTTTTTTGATATTAAAGTTAAGTAAAAACTGTAAAGGAATAAATTGATGGGCACTTTAAATGCTTTAAAATGACCTATAAAAAACCTCAATCGCATAACCTACAGATAACGTCGTAGCACTGAAAATATCGCGTTTTAAGGAAAGTAGTTCAAATGCACCAAACTTCGAATGTCAATAACGAGGAAAGTATCGGTTCGATTTTGATGAAATTTTGTGTAAATGTCGTTTTTAACATTGTTTACATTCTATTAAAATTTTCTTGTAATCTCACAACCAGAAGTATGATTTTTCGAAAACCATGAAAAATTCTCCAACATATTTTTTATTTTAATTTTTTTAATATTAAATTTATGGAAAAACAGTATAAGGATAAATTAAAGTACACTTTAACAGCTTCAAAATGAGATATTAAACACCTCAATCGCATAACCTATAAAAAAGATATGCTACTTTTTAAAACTCCTACGAAAGAAAATTACCTAACCCAACAAATTTAGAATGTCAATTATTGAGAAAAGTATCGGTTCGATTTTGATGAAATTTCGTGTAAATGTCGTTTTTAACGTTGTTTACATTCTATTAAAATTTTCTTGTAATATCACAACCAGAAGTATGATTTTTCGAAAACCATGAAAAATTTCCAACATTTTTTTTATTTTAACTTTTTTAATATTAAAGTATTGCAAAAACAGTGTAAGGGTAAATTAAAGTACACTTCGGCAGCTTCAAAATGAGCTATAAAAGACCTCAATCGCATAACCTATGAAAAAGATATGCTACTTTTTAAAACTCCTACGAAAGAAAATTACCTAACCCAACAAATTTAGAATGTCAATTATTGAGAAAAGTATCGTTTCGATTTTGATGAAATTTGGTGTAAATGTCGTTTTTAACGTTGTTTACATTCTATTAAAATTTTATTGTAATCTCACAACCAGAAGTATGATTTTTCGAAAACGATGAAAAATGTTTCAACACATTTTTTGTTATAACTTTTTTGATATTAAAGTTATGTAAAAACTGTAAAGGGATGAATTGATGGGCATTTTAAATGCTTTTTAATGAGCTATAAAAACCTGAATCGCATAACCTACAAAAAAGATACGAACAAATAAAAAAATGTACCACTAACCTGATATAAACACGCAGAGAAGCAGTCGTAGGCTTTTCTCTCCAAGAACCAGGCTAATAGTTCTTCGGCCAGCTCCTGGCTGCGACTTTCGGAAGCGTACTCCATGGCGTCCCTGAACAGTCTATCTTTTTTGCACAATTCTACACTCTGCTTCCAGCGGTTGTTGCCTTTGTACAGATAGGCAGCGATGCGGCGGAATTCCGTCAGTTCGTGGCGCTCCAACTTTTGCGCCAAACCGATGTTGTCGAAGTTGTCGAACGCGTCTATTGAGGTTCTTAAGCCCTGCGAAAAATTGGGAGAGAACGCTAAAAAATGACGGCAAATGCAAGAAATGTTGACTATTATACCCCAACATGTAACTAAATAATCAATAATGAAAGAAAACCATAAATCGTCATGTAATTTCTTTAATTTATCACCGATTTTTACAAAATTTTGAACATCCATTAAAAAAATAATTCTGTTTAAGATGGATTTTGATTTTTTTCAAAAGCTTTAAAAACAAACAAATTACGGACATTCTTCCAAAAAAACTAAAATTGTCATATAATTTCTTTAACTTATCACCGATTTTGACGAAATTTTAAACATCCATTAAAAAAATAATTCTGTTTAAGTTGGATTTTGATTTTTCCGTAAATCTTTAAAAACAACCAAAATATGGGCATTCTTCCAAAAAAAATAAAATCGTCATGTAATTTTGTTAACTCATCACCGATTTGTACGAAATTTTGAAGAAACATTAAAAAAATAATTCTCTTTAAGTTAGTTTTTGATTTTTCCCTAAATCTTTAAAAACAAAAAAATATGGGCATTTTTCAAAAAAAAATCGTCGTGTAATTTCGTTAACTCATCACCGATTTTTACGAAATTTTGAACGTACATTAAAAAAATAATTCTCTTTAAGTTGGATTTTGATTTTTAACTAAATCTTTAAAAACAACCAAAATATGGACATTCTTCCAAAAAAAATATAATCGTCATGTAATTTCGTTAACTCATCACCGATTTTTACGAAATTTTGAACAAACACCAAGAAAATAATTCTCTTCAAGTTGGATTTTGATTTTTTTCAAAATTTTTAAGAACAAAAAAATTACAGACATTCTTCCAAAAAAACTAAAATTGTTATATAATTTCTTTAACTTATCACCGATTTTGACGAAATTTTGAACATACAATAAAAAAATAATTCTCTTCAAGTTGGATTTTGATTTTTTCCAAAATCTTTAAAATCAAAAAAAATTACAGACATTTTTCCAAAAATACTAAAATCGTCATGTAATTTCTTAACGAAATTTTGAACTTACACTAAAAAATAATAATAATAATTCTCTCTTTTTATAAATCTTCAAAAAGGACATTTTCAAAAAAAAATCACTCACCTGGAAATCTTCCTCTTCGATTAACAACGAATTCAGCGCTTCGTTGATGGCTTTGTTGTTCAAATTCTGCACGGATCTCAAGTACGACTTCACCAGCTGCAAATGCCCGGTCTTGGTGAAGAAACTAACGGCTCTGGTGTGATCCATACGCGGCGCCAACACCAGCAACAAATCGTTCAGCAACAGAGGCTTGTAGTCGAGGTAAAACTGAATGGCCTTGTAGTAAAGCTCAATGTTGGCCACTTTGGTGATAATGTCTTTGAAGTGACCTTCGCGCCAAGCCTCCGTCGGATGGGCCATCATGGCCAAAACGGCGTTATCGTATTCCTCGTATTTGTCGTACAAAAAGACCAATTCCGCCCAGAGGTGGGCTTGTTCGGCAGCCCTGAGAACCTGGGTCGAGGAAAAAGACGTCAAAAAGATTTTGGAAGAAGATAGTTTGTAACTATTGTAAAAGTTACTTTAGTTAGGCATTGTATACCAAAAAATATTTAAAACCTAAATTGTCAAATAATTTCTTTAATCTATCACCGATTTTGACGAAATTTTGAACACACATTAAAAAAATAATTCTCTTTAAGTTGGTTTTTGATTTTTCCCTAAATCTTTAAAAACAAAAAAAATATGGACATTCTTCCAAAAAAAATAAAATTGTCATGTAATTTCTTTAACTCATCACCGATTTGTACGAAATTTTGAAGAAACATTAAAAAAATAATTCTCTTCAAGTTGGTTTTTGATTTTTCCCTAAATCTTTAAAAACAAAAAAAATATGGACATTCTTCCAAAAAAATAAAATCGTCATGTAATTTCTTTAACTCATCACCGATTTGTACGAAATTTTAAAGAAACATTAAAAAAATAATTCTCTTTAAGTTGGTTTGTGATTTTTCCCTAAATCTTCAAAAACAAAAAAAATATTGACATTCTTCGAAAAAAAAATAAATCGTCCTGTAATATATTTAATTTATCACCGATAAACACGAAATTTTGAACACACATTAAAAAAATAATTCTCTTCAAGTTGGATTTTGATCTTTTTTTAAATTTTCAAAAACAAAAAAAATTTGGACATTTTTCCAAAAAAAGACGTCATAAAAGATTTTGGAAGAAGATTGTTTGCAACCATTAGAAAAGTTAATTTAGTAACGTACAACCATAAAAAAATTTAGATCAAAAAACTCAAAAAATTGACAACATCCTAAATTTTGGAAAAACTTACCTTGGGAATGTTAACTCTGCTCCAGAACAGCTCCAAATGCTCGCGCATTTTGGCAGGCTTGTATTTCGAATACAAAATGGCGAGTTCTGTAAACATGCCCATATGGGCTCTCTCCAAACCCAAAGCTGCCTCCAAGAGCCCAATAAGTTCCTCAAAATAACCTAAAATACGACAAATAACATTTTCAGTGATAACTCCATTGTTTTTCAACGGATCATCACCAAATTTGGAGGAAAGTTGCCTGAAAGTGTGGCAAAAGAAACCACATTTTTTTTTCATAAATCTCACCTCTGTCCTGGTAGTAATTAATCAAATCCTGCAGCTCATCGGCGTGCACTACGATATGCATACCGCACATCTGAGCCAATCGGAACTCTTCTGCGTCCACGCACGCGAAACAAACCTCTTTCCAAGTGCGAGTGCTGTTGGCTTTTCTAGCGCTATCTACCGCACCCTAAAATCATCAAAATCGATCGAAAAATACCCAAAATACGGCCAAGTTTTACTTCCGACGTCAGCGCCATCTTTAAACGCGGATAAATCCCAAACTACCAGACGCCATTTTGTAGAGAATTTTATTCACTACATTTTCACTCCCACAAATTTTTTTGTGAGGTTGGTAGTTTTGGAGATATACGCGATGAAAGACGACGGTGTTTTTTCGGAGTATTAGCTGATTTTGGTTACTTTTGGGGGATTTTAGTTTTTTTAGGTTATTTTGTAGAAAAAATACTGTTTTACATCATTACAGTACCACACGTTACATAAAATTGATCTCGTTAACTTTGGAAGAAGCTAGCTCTGAACTTGTAAAAGTTGACATCAGCGCCATCTTTAATCGCGGATAACTCCCGAACTACTTGATGTAGAAAAAAACGTAATACGTCATTTTGTGGAGGATTATGTTCGCTACATTTTAACTCCCATAAAATTTTTTGTGAAGTTGGTAGTTTTGGAGATATACGCGATGAAAGACGCCGGTGTGTTTTTTCCATCATTTTGGGGAGAGGTTACTAAAATCGCTGTATTTTGATTATTTTTGGAGGGATTTTAGTTTTTTTTTGTCAATTTTACCTGGAACTCTTTGAGGTGCACCAAAGTGATGGCCAAACGCGCGAAATTAGACACGTTGTTGTACAAAAGTTTGGCGGCATCGTACATTTTGTCTTCGAAGCACCTATCACCGATTTTTTGAATGTCAGCATGATTGGGACCGCTTATAAACTCCTCTAAATCAGCTGAACGGCCGGTTTTGGCGTAGGAATAAATTAACTCGGACTCGATGTAACTCTCTCTGGCTTTCTTGCGCGCCATCTGCAAGTATCTGTGCAAAAAACGACAAAGTTATCGTGAAAATCGTTTTTGGGGTTTGCGTGCTACGCTCGTACCTAACTAAATCTTCCCAGCTGTTGTTTTTGGTGGCCGTTTCGACGACGTCCATGTAAGCCGAAGGATCGTCGGCTTTGATGTACGAATCGATCGCTTCCTTCACCAAACCTTGGTTGAGTTGAGCTTTAGCCAACTGAGACCACACGGCCGGTTCGTTGCATCTGAAATGAAGGTTTTGGTGGTTTTTATGTTGAAATGTTGTGGGGTTTGGTGAGTTTTATGTGCACACCAAATTCGGTTGAATTCCGACGGTTGGTGTTCAAGTTATTGATAAATGTTGATTATGGAAGAAGCTAGCACTGAACTTGGTAATACCAATAATTTCTTTAACCTATCACCGATTTTTACGAAATTTTGTAAAAACATTAATAAAATAATTCTCTTCAAGTTGGATTTTGATTTTTTTCAAAAGCTTTAAAAACAAAAAAAATACGGACATTCTTCCAAAAAAACTAAAATTGTCATATAATTTATTTAACTAATCGCCGATTTTTAGAAAATTTTGAACATCCATTAAAAAAATAATTCTGTTTAAGTTGGATTTTGATTTTTTCAAAAGCTTTAAAAACAAACAAATTACGGACATTCTACCAAAAAAACTAAAATTGTCATATAGTTTATTTAACTCATCACCGATTTTTACAAAATTTTGAACATCCATTAAAAAAATAATTCTGTTTAAGTTGGATTTTGATTTTTTTCAAAAGCTTTAAAAACAAAAAAATTACGGACATTCTTCCAAAAAAACTAAAATTGTCATATAATTTCTTTAACTCATCACCGATTTTTACAAAATATTGAACATCCATTAAAAAAATAATTCTGTTTAAGTTGGATTTTGATTTTTTTAAAAAGCTTTTAAAACAAAAAAATTACGGACATTCTTCCAAAAAAACTAAAATTGTCATATAATTTCTTTAACTCATCACCGATTTTTACAAAATTTTGACCATCCATTAAAAAAATAATTCTGCTTAAGTTGGATTTTGATTTTTTTCAAAAGCTTTAAAAACAAAAAAATTACGGACATTCTTCCAAAAAAACTAAAATTGTCATATAATTTATTTAACTCATCACCGATTTTTACAAAATTTTGAAGATCCATTAAAAAAATAATTCTGTTTAAGTTGGATTTTGATTTTTTTCAAAAGCTTTAAAAACAAACAAATTACGGACATTCTACCAAAAAAACTAAAATTGTCATATAATTTCTTTAACTCATCACCTATTTTTACAAAATTTCGACCATCCATTAAAAAAATAATTCTGTTTAAGTTGGATTTTGATTTTTTTCAAAAGCTTTAAAAACAAAAAAATTACGGACATTCTACCAAAAAAACTAAAATTGTCATATAATTTCTTTAACTCATCACCGATTTTTACAAAATTTTGACCATCCATTAAAAAAATAATTCTGTTTAAGTTCGATTTTGATTTTTTTCAAAAGCTTTTAAAACAAAAAAATTACGGACATTCTTCCAAAAAAACTAAAATTGTCATATAATTGTAATCTTTTTAATTTGCTACCAAATTTTTTGGTGATTTTTATGATGAAATGTTGTGAAGTATGGTGAATTTCATGTGTAAACCAAATTCGGTTGAATTCTGACGGTTGGTGTTCAAGTTATCGATAAATGTTGATTTTGGAAGAAGCTAGCACTGAACTTTGTTTTGGAAGAAGCCACTTTGCAAGTATTAAAAGAGGTAATTTGGTGGACTATTATACACCAAAAGATAGATAATTGAACAATAAACACAATAAACCGAAAAAAAATTAAACAAATCATCACAGATTAACACCAAGCTTACCTTTCCGCGAACTCGTAGGCACGGTCCAAATTATTAACTTGATCGATCAAAACTTGAATGGCCGATGTGTTTACGTCGAATTTCTTGAAAATAGCGAACGCTTCTTCGTACAATTGATTGTTAATGGCGATATTTGCAATATCCGGAGCATCGTAGTTATCCAAACGGTTTATGTAGTCCATAACGCGAGTAGCATCTGCTTTTATAGCTAAAAAGGTGAAGAAGAGGTGTAAAATTTTGTAGGTCATAAAAATTTTACAAATCACCTGTTAAAATCAACAAATTCTGCAAATTTCTGTGATCGGAAAACACAGAACTATCCAGCACGATCTTTTCCAGTAACTCGATAAGCTCATTGGGTAGATCGGCCGTCATAAAAGCCTTAACGGTTACGGAAATATCCTCAGGATCCTGAGTCTCGCTGAGGGCGGTCTGAACCACCTGATCAATAAGTTGACGCCTGAAAAACGACACTAAAAACCCCAGAAATCGCCACGGAAAAACAACAATACCTGTATGGGTTGCTTTCTTGCAAAACCTCGGCCCATAACTCGGATTCGCGCCTGCGCACCAAATATCTAGCCTCGGATTTGAACAGAGAATTTTCGTTGCAAACCGCGATCAACTCTCTATCGCATTGGCCGCGCTCGTAGGCAACGCACGCTAGATGGGGGTCGCGCTTTTCGCAATAGCGACCCACCACTCTAGAGTCGTACCTATGTTTTTACAATTATCTTGGTTAATATCGAAAATACACGAAAAATGTTTTATAGTTAGTTGTAGAGATGTTAATCCTCTACGTTTTACTTCTTATAACATTTTTTGTGAGGTTTGTAGTTTTGGAGATATACGCGATGAAAGACGAGTGTTACTAAAATTCTTGCATTTTGGTTACTTTTTGGGGATTTCAGTTTTTTTGGGTTATTTTGTAGAAAAAATATTGTTTTACACCATTACAGTAACACACGTTACATAAAAACTTCCTAAAATTGATCTGTTAACTTTGGAAGAAGCTAGCTCTGAACTTGTAAAAGTTGACATCAGCGCCATCTTTAATCGCGGATAACTCCCGAACTACTGGACGTAGAAAAAATCGCCATACGTCATTTCGTAGAGGATTATGTTCGCTACATTTTACCTCCCATGAAAATTTTTGTGAGGTTGGTAGTTTTTTAGATATACGCGATAAAAGATGACGGTGTGTTTTTTCGATCTTTTTGGAGAGTGTTACTAAAATTTTTGTATTTCGGTTACTTTTAGGGTTTTTTTAGGTTTACTTAGTAGGAAAAAGACTGTTTTACATAACAACAAACACGTTACCTAAAAACCTGTTTAAATGGATATTGTTAACTTTGGAAGAAGCTAGGTCTGAACTTCAGAGCTAGCTAGTTCCATCTTTAATCACGGATAACTCCTAAACCACGAGACGTAGAAAAACTCGCCGCACGTCATTTCGTAGAGGATTCAACCCTCTACAATTCGCCACCACCCAAACTTACCATTGGTTCTCCTTCAAGAATCTTTCAGCGTTATTATTTGAATCGATGTAGATTTTGGCCAAAGCATTGTGAGTGGCTGGTTCTACGCAGCCCTCGTGAACGCGGCTTTCCAGCCACGGTAGAAGCAGTTTGAGACGGTTTCTTTTTTCGACCTCTTCTACCAACTCGTCGGTGGAAAATTGACCTCGTACCACGAGAATTAGGTTTTTGATTATGTCTTCCGAACAGTCTACGTCTAGAAGTCCGCCTACAACTACTGGTAGACGACTGGGGTTGACTTTTTGCACGTAGATCTCTATGTACTTCTGTAGAGAGTTTCTGTAGAGGTAGAGCACCAAATCATGGACGAAATCGAATCTGTCGCAGACTATTATCAGAGGTAACTGATCGGTTAACTTTGCCTCCTTCAAAAAGTTTTTAACTCGATCTGGACTGTAACAATTGGACTCTCTACAAATTCTCTCCACCTCCTTGATTTGTCCTGTCTTACAGGCAGCTTGTATGTACTTAAAATGAACCTCCTGATCTTGAGAGAAGTTCACTATACTTCCAAGGAAGTAAAATAACCCCTCGTAACTCTTGAAACTCTCGAACAAATCTATCAGAGATTTCGTGGTCAACTGTTCGTGATACTTTGTCGCTATTTGAACGCAAATCTGCAAGTTCTGCCTTATGTTGGCGGTCAACATGGCTTTCAAACACTCCAAGCTATCCTCAACACTGAGTGTTCCGAAGAAACTAACCAACCACTCTGGCGGTAATAAATGTGTATGAACTACAGCCCTTTTAATGTCGTACAAATCGGTGTAGTGTTCCAAAGCTCTTTGCAAAAGTCCAGCTTTCTCGCAAAGTTGAGCGATGTGAGCTCTATCGTAGTGCGTGAACATGTTGTTGCCTGTTTGAAAATAAAATTACCGACAAAATAAACCAAAGATTACTAAAATCGTTCAAAAAATACACTTCAGACATCAGCGCCATCTTTAATCGCGGATATCTCCCGAACTACTGGACGTAGAAAAAATCGCCATACGTCATTTTGTAGAGAATTATATTCACTACATTTTCACTCCCATGAAAATTTTTGTGAGGTTGGTAGTTTTGGAGATATACGCGATTAAAGACCGATGTTACCAAAATTGTTGTATTTTGGTTATTTTTTGGGGGATTTTAGTTTTATTAGGTTTATTTTGTAGAAAAAATACTGCTTTACATCATTACAACGACAAAAAAATACACGCGTTGCATTAACAACCGTAAAAATTGATCTTGTTCACTTTGAAGAAGCTAGCTCTGAACTTCTGAAAGTTGATGATTTTGGAAGAAGCTAGTTTGCAGCTATTAAAGTAGTTTCTTTAGTCGACTATTGTGCACCAAAATATAGCTAAATAAATAATTAAAACAATAAATAAAAAAAAATAATAAATTTTAATGTCAAAACTCAAAAAAATTACAATTAAAAACAACTGTTAATAACTAAGTAAATTTTCGACCAATACATCAAAATTTGACATTTGACACTGAACTTGCACCATTCTTTAATCTGCATGAAATTACCAACAAAATAAACAAAAAATTACTAAAATCGTTCAAAAAATAACCAAAATACAACCAACTTTCACTATAACCCTACTTAGGACATCAGCGCCATCTTTAATCGCGGATAACTCCCAAACTACTAGACGTAAAAAAAATCGCCATACGTCATTGTGTAGTCAATTATATTCACTACATTTTCTCTCCCATGAAAATTTTTGTGAGGTTGGCAGTTTTGGAGATATACGCGATGAAAGATCGATTTGGAGAGTGTACCTAAAGTTGTTGTATTTTGGTTATTTTTTGGGGGATTTTAGTTTTACCAGGTTTATTTTGTAAAAAAAATACTGCTTTACATCATTACAACGTCAAAAAATTACACGCGTTGCATAAACAACCGTAAAAATTGATCTTGTTCACTTTGAAGAAGCTAGCTCTGAACTTCTGAAAGTTGATGATTTTGGAAGAAGCTAGTTTGCAGCTATTAAAACAGTTTCTTTAGTCGACTATTGTGCACCAAAATATAGCTAAATAAATAATTAAAACAATAAATAAAAAAAATAATAAATTTTTAATGTCAAAACTAAAAAAAAATACAATTAAAAACAAAATATTCAACTGTTAATAACTAAGTTATTTTCCAACCAAATGCCACATATTATACACCAAAATTTCCTAAATTTCATTACCAACAACATAAAACCAAAAAAACTTACCCAAAATGGCGTCGGCAACCTGTGGAGCGCTCATCAAGTTCATCTCCAACAACCTAGTCTGTAAGTGACCTTCAGTGGGCCTATTGTTTTTTAACGCGTCCAATAGGAAGGCAGTGCACTGCTGCACCATGTTTTGTTCCATAAAAATGTCGACGATTTGATTTATATCGGCTAGAGGTTCCTCGTCCGCTACTAGCATTCCAGCGAAAGCTGCACCTTGATCGGGATTGGTGCGCATTACTGGAATAACGCACGTATGTCGGTTATTAACGCGGGTGGAAAAAATTTGCAAGGTTTGTTTTGTAGATTTTTAAATTTTCTACAATATTGATCCCATGCAGTTTTTTGTAGAGTCAAGGGTTAAAAAGTTATCGATTGTCAAAGTCGGGTTATGATTTTTTTTCGAATTAAATGAGTAAGTTACAAAATCTACAATATTTTGGTTAATTTTGTAGATTTTTTAGTGTTTCAAGGTGTATTTTGTAGATTATTAAACAATCTACAATATAATACCAAGAAAAATTATCATAATCAAAAAATTGGTGCAGTAAAATGACTTTAAAGTCGACGAATATTTTTCATCAACACTTCAACTTTAACTCAAAATACCTCCTAAAACTCAAAACCTACAAAAAAATACCCAAAACGAAAATCGTGGAGAATTTCATAACCAACAATTTTCCCCCCGAAAAAATTCCTGTAAAATCAAAAACAACAAAGTTACAATACAAAATAACTCACCTTGTCTCAGTAAAAAGATGTAATCCGGAGTGTACGAAACTTTCTTCGCGTATAAAACGATCTTCTGGAATTGTCCGGTTTCCGCAAACGATTGTATCACCTTGGCTGGCACGTTGGCGCGCAAATACACCGACAGAGCCAACGTCGGATCGGCCTGCTTCACCAAATCACCCAATTCTTCGGAACATTCGAGTTTCTCTTCTTTGAGCCATTTCTCCAGCAGTTGTTTTCTTCCTTGCAGCAGAACCGGCTTGCAAAGTTCCAGGGACTCGTATCTGGAAGAAGTGGCGGTCATTTATCGTCGAAAGAATGATTATTGATGGTTTGAATACCTATTAAGTTGACCCTGGTCCAATAAAATGCCGAAGTATTGCAACAGGGGACTGTTCTGTCCAGCCTGTGTAGGCACGTTTTGGAACATTTGGATTGTGGTGGGGGTTCTCAAAATTCCTTAATAAAAAATAAAAAAACAATAAAAGGTGCGTAAAATTTTTTTTTACGCACCTTTAGGGGCATTAGCGGCCACTCTAGCTGCTTCAGCGTACTGTCCGTTCTGAAACAAGATCTGGAACTTGTTTACAAAGAGTTCCTCAGCGCCGGCCAAATTGTTTCTGGTGGCGATACGTAGGGCCAAATCGGGGTTGTGCAGGACCGTGTTTACGTAACGAATAATAGCGTCTTCGTCCACGGAAACCGACAGAACCTGCCCTTTTCTGTTGACACCTGTTTTGAAGAAACTTATTATGGAGCGTAGTAAGGTTAATGTAAAAGTAACACGAAAAATTTGTTAAAGAGAGTTGTAGAGCGATGAATTCTCTACAATTCGGCACCAAAATATTTTTTCTGCGGTTGGTACCTCCGAAGATATTCATGGTTAAAGATGACGTCGACGTTTCGACAAAGATGCTTATAATTTGGTTACCATTTGACTTAAAAAAAAATTCTTAAATCACGTTAAAAAAACGTTTAATTGTCTTCAATAAAACCAAAAATAACCAAATCACAGCCCTTTAAAAACAGTTTTGACCTTAACCCCACTTCTGCATCTTGACAACCACGAAGGCTGGGTAAAAAATAAAAACACCAAATCGTAGATAATTTAACCCCCTAAAATCCCCTATAACAAACTTTCCCCCAACTTTCACAGTTAAAAAGTTATAGGTGAAAGTATAAAACTTTCTGTTGACACCTGTTTTGAAGAAACCTATTATGGAGCGTAGTGAGGTTAATGTAAAAGTTACATGAAAAATTTGTTAAAGAGAGTTGTAGAGCGATGAATTCTCTACAATTCGGCACCAAAATATTTTTTCTGCGGTTGGTACCTCCAAGGATATTCATGGTTAAAGATGGCGTCGACGTTTCGACAAAGATGCCTATAATTTGGTTACCATTTGAGTTAAAAAAAAAATTCTTGAATCACGTTAAAAAACGTTTAAGTGTCTTCAATAAAACCAAATAAAACCAAAAATAACCAAATCACGGCCCTTTAAAAACAGTTTTAACTTTAACCCCACTTCTGCATCTTCAACCACGCGTATCTTGAAAACCACGAATGCTGGAAAAAAAATTAAAACACCAAATCGTAGATGATTTAACCCCCTAAAATCCCCTATAACAAAATTTCCCCCCAACTTTCACCGTTTAAAAGTTATAGGTGTAAATATAAAACTAAAAAAAATTCTACAAAAAACCTTACCAATGATTCCCCCTGTAGATTCATGCGGCGCAGTGACAAAAATGGTTTCGCTGGAAATTCTGTTCATGTAAATGCACGTAGCACTTTCGATATCGTACATGTGGATATAACCGTATTTGGTTATCAAATAAATAACGTCGTATTTTGTGGAAACCTGCATTGCCACGGGAAAGTCGTTTTGGGCTTCCGGCGGGAAAAAAACGTCCACGGTTTTTTTCGGGAAAGGTTGGTTGCCTGCCGGACTTTGACCAACCTAACGGGAAAAAATAATGAAACCTCGAAAAATAACATTTCATGTATCTCCGCTGTTATTTTATCGATTTAAACGTTTTTGGTGTCAAAATGTAGGCAATCGATCATATTTTCTTAAAATATAATCAAATCCCTATATTTTGACACCTAAAACGTCAAAATCCGCCGAAAAACGCCCGAGAAATCATAATTTCAAAAATCTAGGGACTTTCTTACTTCAATGATGTGAAGTTTGCCGCCCTGGGCGGTCCTGACGGCGAAACAAAACAACGTCGACGGTTCCGGGTTGCCCTCCATTTTGAAGGTGGCGAAAGACGCTGCGTGACCTTCGATCGGTTGCGAACATTTTCTTTCGACGGAGTATAGCTGCATAGCGCCGACAACTCGGCTTTGCTGCGCACTGATGCCAACCAAAAGCAACCAGTTTTGCTTGGGATCGGTGCGGTAGTTGATTATTTGACAGCCGTTCAGCGAGGAATGTCTGAAATCGTTTTTAAACGTCAAAAACAACCCCGAGAATAATTTGTCGAATTTGACAGTTAAAAAATTGACTTGGAACATTTTTGCTTGAATGGTGTTGAATCGCGTTTAATTGTCTTCAAAATAAAACCGAAAACACCAAAATCCCCCCAAAAATAACCAAACTACAGCCCATCAAAAACTTGCCATTTTCTGTTGACACCTGTTTCGAAGAAACGTATAATGGAGTGTAGCGTGATTAATATAAGAGTTACGCGAAAAATTTGTTAAAGAGAGTTGTAGAGCGATGAATTCTCTACAATTCGGCACCAAAATATTTTTTCTGCGGTTGGTACCTCCGAAGATATTCATGGTTAAAGATGACGTCAACGTTTCGACAAAGATGCCTATAATTTGGTTAACATTTGACTTAAATAAAAAATTCTTGAAACATGTTAAAAAACGTTTAATTATCTTCAATAAAACCAAATAAAACAAAAAGTAACCAAATCACAGCCCTTTAAAAACAATTTTGACCTTAACGCAACTTCTGCATCTTCAACCACGCGTATCTTGAAAACCACGAAGGCTGGGAAAAAAATAAAAATACCAAATCGTAGATAATTTAACCCCCTAAAATCCCCTATAACAAACTTCCCCCCAACTGTCACCGTTTAAAAGTTATAAGTCAATAACTGAAATACAAAAATAGATCATCAAAAAATGTGGAGTTTTGGAAGAAGGCATTTTTCAACTATTAAAAAAGTTACCATATATGAAAATTATACACCCAAATGTACCTAAACGAATAATAAACACACTAAACCATCAAAAAATTAAAAAATCAAATGTTAAAACCCCAAAAAATGAGGTTAAAGTCGACCATATTAATTTTTGCTTATTTGTACTCACCTGTCAAACATTTTAACAGGGGTGGAGTCTCCTTCCATCGACCAATGGAAAACCGAGGTTTCCGTTACCAAAGCCAACGTGTTTGGACTTATCCACTTCCAAAAAATGACGTCATCGGCCATGGTGTGCGCCTTCATTTTAGACTTCATTTCGATGTTGAAAATTTGAAGGGTTTTTAGAGCTTCCGCACCAGCTTTACCTATTTTGAAGAGAGACCAACGTTAAAAATAGAAAAAACAGCAACAATATTATAATAATTCATTGGATTCCAATATATGGTGTAAAATTATAAAAACACACCTTTAAGGGCGATAACCTTAGATGCCGGGTTCATTATGGCGCTTTCGGCCGTGATGGGCCTTCGTATGGGATTCCCCGAATCAGCCATATCGATTATGACCACCTGAGAAGTGTCACCAACTTTTTCTCGCACGCAGATAAATTTGTCACTCTCCATCGTAAGAGTTGCGAAAGAGATGTTGGCAACATTTATGCCAACTGAAGTTAGCTGCAAAAAAAATATTCACTGAGCCCGGTCCTGTATAGATTTATTAAACACGATTTTAACGCTTTTGGTGTCAAATTGTAGATGATCAATTGTATTTTCTTAAAATTCAGTTAAATCCCTACAATTTGACACCTAAAACGCCCAAATCCGTAAAAAAACACCCAAGATATCATCATTTAAAATAAAATGTCAAAAAATGACATTTATAAAATCTCTGTTGATTTTGACGTTTTGCTGTCAAATCAAAATCTTAAATTTTGACAACTAAATGTTAAAATACCACCAAGTATAATGACATGATGGCCGCAAAAATTATAAAAATACTTAATAATCTTATTGGATTATTAAATATGACCTAATTCAATAAATAATAATATGTCTTTAATTGAATCAAAAACAAACCCTGTATATTTAAATTTTAGCTTTTCTAGTAACTGAACTCTGAAATAGAAAAATAGTGTACAAACAAACGAAAACATAATATGTGATATGCTTTCTAAGCATAAACAAAGAATATGTTTAGATTTGGAAATAAACTTGTAAATTGAATCAATATAATAAGGAAATGTCAAACAATGAATGCCTAAATGTTAAGTTATTGACCTATATCGAATATATGTTATGTTTTTACGTGACTAATACGTTTTTTATGCATGTAAACGCCCCCAAAACGCTCAGTATGTCAAAACTAAAGCGAACATAAAAAATTACCGGTTGATAGCAAAAAAACAAGCGAAAAACGTCAAAAACCCACCACTAGATTATAAAAAATAAATATTAAAGCAAAACAACGTCTCAGGGGGCGTTTTTTAACCGCCTAAGCCTACTAAGTGAACACAAAAATTACCTGTAGATGTTCCTGAAACTTTATCGGCAACAATTGCGTCGACATTTTGCCGCTTCGCGCTGAAAAAACTAAAACTGAAAATCTCGCCTTTCAGGCTTCAAAATCCCCCCACGATTTTATCACTTTTTCCACCTTTGTATCGATTTTTTCGACCTCCCAAACAGCAGTAAAACACAATTCGGACACTGACAGATCAATTTTGACACCCCAATCAAGATGGCGTCTTTTGTGTAGACGTTGGAAGTTCCAGTGTGACCAACCGTTGGAAATAATTAAATCGTAATTAGGTTTGTTCGCAGTCATCACTAATGACACTAGTGGACACTTTTTTTGTAAATCAATGAAAATGGTGGGTAGTTTGGGCAATTTATTACAAGATATCGATCATTTTAGAGAATTTAAAACCAATTATGGTTATTTATTAATATTTTTATTCTTTTTAATATCTGACAACTTAAATTTAGTATTTGATAATTGGAGACAAAAACAGTGTACTTTTTTAAATTTCGTGTAGGTTCTAAAAACATATCTTATAAAACCTGTATTAATTTTATTCAAATTGCATCAAATTAATAATTGTGTAATATTATGAAATATTTTTTCAATAGAAATTAAAAATACACGTAATTAACACGTGAAAATGCATAATTTAATCTTGTAGATTTAAGTTGGGAACACTGACTAATAATCTAAGGTATGGCGCGAAATTTGAATGTTTTTATTGTATTTTAACTTGAAACATAACAAATTGGCTAAAAATCAATGATTTTTATTTATTAAACATAATTTTATGCTTAATTTAAAAATACACAAAATTTAACAACTTCTTAAAAATTCAATTTTGTTGCTAAATATAGCAAAAAAATTACACGCAAAATAAAAAAAAATGCATTTTGGCCTGAACCCAATGTTTATTTGTACTTTAACCGAATAATAAAATTCATCCTTTACATAACCTTGAATTATGATTCACACTCATTGATAATAAAAACAATTTTCTTAGTTAAAAACGTTTATTAGAAAAGAAATTTGAATCTTAAATTAAAAAATACGTTAAATATTTTAATCGAAGAGTCCAAATCCCATGTCATCGTCTTCTTCTTCTTCAGACTCAGCTTTCTTTTCTTCTTTCTTGGAGTCTACGATTAATAAGAAAAAAAACATTATAACCTCAAATTTACGCCGAATTAATATTAATTAGTTATAAAAACATCAGAATAAATAAAATAATCACTATGATTCAGTCGAAAGATGGTGTTAAGTTAAATCATCACGAAAACACTAAAATTCACTTAATTAAGCAAAAAAACACCTACCTTTCTTTTCTTCGGCAGCTGGGGCGGCAGCAGCTGCAGCTGGAGCAGCACCACCACCTACAGGCATTGAGGAAAGCTTCTCACGACCTAAAAACAAACATAACCTAGTTTTTCTTCGAAACACCTATAATGTGTTAATTTATGGCTAAAAATCAGTTTGAATTGTTAAATCATGTTTCTTCAGTCGAAAGATGGTTGAAATTGAATCATCACACAATAAATACTCAATGAAAACGTAAATAAACACTAAAACACGTGTTTTTTTGAGGTTAACTTTAAAGTGATTGTAAGCCTTATTGGTTAACTTTTAGCAACAATTTTTGGTTGTAAAAGGTACTTTGGGATGTTTTCTGTATGTTTCGCGTATTTTCTTACCTTGCGCGATGAGTTCATCGATGCTTTTGCCGTTTAAATCTTTGATGACTTTTTGGAGTTTGGTTTGGTCGATTTCGATACCAACCGAGCCCAAGATTTTCTCCAAATCTCCCTGAGCTGGGGAAGCTTTGCCGCCTAGGACGGCCAACAAGTAAGCAGCCACGTAACGCATCTAAAAAACACGAAAAATCAACATTTACCACAGCACTAACCTCAATTTTTTTTGATCCGCTAATATTTTAATAATCCTGTGCAATATTCGCGATGTAACGATTTTGTATCGTCGATGTGGCGTTAATCTACAAGATTATCGCGATATGTTCGGTTTAATATCGCTTTTTACTTACTTTTAAGTCTTCGGACACGAAACGTGTATACTCTCGAATTAGTTTCAAAAGAGAAGAGAAAAAATGGCGCTGAAATCTGTCACCCTAGCGACGCATGCGCAAAGTCGACAAAAACCATAGAGGTACGAAATAGAAAGAAACCAACGATTAAAATCTTTTTTAACAAGCATTTTTTTAAGTTTATTGGCATTGTAGTGCAAAAAATATTAAATATTATGAATAATAAGTGCCAAATATGATATTATTAAAGTTTATTTAAAAATTTATATAATGTAATATTGGTTGCCTACCTTACGTAAGGAATATTTATGTTCTAATCATTTGTAATTAATCTAATGGCTTTAAAAACATCTTATTGTTACGTTACTTCATCGTTAATAAGTAAATATATCCCTTATCACGTATTCTGACCCCTAATATGTAGAATGACCCATATTGCTTCACTTAAGTAAGATTATTAGCAACTCACGTATGTTTTTTAGGGTTTTCCTGATCTTTAAAGATGTTTAAAAGTGTTTTAAGGGTGAATTTAAAGCGGAATTTTGTGTGTAGAACCTTTGCGAGTGAGCGTACTGCTTTGTACGATTTTCATGTGAATAAAGGGGGGAAAATCGTGAATTTTGGGGGGTACTTGCTACCAGTTCAATACAATGATTTAAGTATTGTAAATTCGCATCTTTTTACACGTAAAAATGCCTCTATTTTTGATGTTTCCCACATGTTACAGACTGAAATATTCGGTAAGTTTGACATAGTATACGTATTACGTAAAAAAATAAATTCTATATTTATATAATTGTAGGTAAAGGCTGTGTAGAATTCATGGAGTCTCTCTGTACAGCTGATATTCAAAATCTAGGGGATAATTCAGGGTCCCTAACAGTTTTCACCAACGATAGGGGTGGTATTTTGGATGATTTGATTGTCAACAAAATCCACGACGAACATTTGTATGTCGTATCGAATGCTGCTATGAAGGAGAGCGACAAAAAAATCATGATGACAGGATTGGTAATATTTTTGTTTAAGTTAGGATAACTTTTTTGTTTTTGAAGATTCGGCAATGAAACAAAAACTATTTTGTAGAGAAATTGTTGATCTACAAACCTGCGAAAAAAAATCGAACATCGGTGATAGATTTAATCGCCCAGATGACGCCAAAGTTTAAACTTAAAAAATTCATAACTTCGTTAATAATATAGATAGAATGATGATTCAAAAAACATTTTGTAGCTTAAGCATAACGTTTTTTATGCGTTGCAGGAAAAATACAAAAAATCCAACACGTCCTCAAATATCACCATCAAGTTCCACGACCCATCAGAAACTAGTCTACTTGCTCTTCAAGGCCCTAAAGCAGCGGAAAACCTACAAAAAATTGTGGATTGCGATCTAAGCCAACTGTATTTTATGAACACCACGTCTGCCACTGTTGCCAACGTTAACTGCAGGGTTACACGTTGTGGGTATACGGGTGAAGATGGTTTTGAAATAAGCATCCCAAGCGAAAAATCCGTAGAAATAGCTGAGGAATTATTAAAAAATGAGGACGTTAAACTTGCTGGTCTTGGAGCTAGGGATTCGCTAAGGTACTGTATTTTGCATGTCAACCAAATATACTTCATTTTTTTTTTAGGTTGGAAGCTGGTTTATGCCTATATGGAAACGATATTTCAGAAAATACCACCCCAATAGATGGAGCTTTAACTTGGTTGGTCTCTAAAAGAAGGAGAGAGCAAAAAAACTTTCCAGGGGCTGAACAAATTTTGGAGAAGATTAGGAATGCTTCAGAAGTGAAAAGAGTTGGATTACAATCGGAAAATGGCCCACCAGCTCGTCAAGGAGCATTTATTTTAAACGATTCTGGTGAACAGTTAGGTACAGTGACTTCTGGTTGTCCCAGTCCAAGTTTGGGAAAGAATATTGCAATGGGGTACATCCCAACTAAATTTAACAAAGTTGGGACCAAAGTTAACCTTAAAATCAGGGACAAGTTGTATAATGCAGTCATCACCAAGATGCCTTTTGTAAAATCAAATTACTACCAAAAACCTAAATAAAACAAAAATAAAAATGCAACTTTGTATTATTTTGATGATATCTTTTTTATTCGTGAAGATATTTTAGTAAAACAAAAAAGGTTTTGTAGATGAATATTCAGCCTTTAATTTGGTGTTAATAAATCAAAAATTGGTGATCGCTTGCCTTATGACATCAAATTATTACCACAAACTTAAATAAAAATGCAGCATTGTCTTATTTTGATGATATCTTTTTTATTCGTGAAGATATTTAAGTGAAACAAAAAAGGTTTTGTAGGTGAGTATTCAGCCTTTAATTTGGTGTTAATAAATCAAAAATTGGTGATCGCGTGACTTGTGAAATCAAATTATTACCACAAACCTAAATAAAAACGCGGCATTGTCTTATTTTGATGATATCTTTTTTATTCGTGAAGATATTTAGGTGAAACAAAAAAGGTTTTGTAGGTGGGTATTCAGCTTTTAATTTGGTGTTAATAAATCAAAAATTGGTGATCGCTTGCCTTGTGAAATCAAATTATTACCACAAACCTAATTAAAACAAAAATAAAAATGCAGCTTTGCCTTATTTTGATGATACCTTTTTTATTCGTGAAGATATTTTAGTAAAACAAAAAAGGGTTTGTAGATGAATATTCAGCCTTTATTTTGGTGTTAATAAATCAAAAATTGGTGATGGCGTGACTTGTGAAATCAAATTATTACCAAAAACTTAAATAAAAATGCAGCATTGTCTTATTTGGATGATATCTTTTTTATTCGTGAAGATATTGAAGTGAAACAAAAAATGTTTTGTAGATGAATATTCAGCCTTTAATTTGGTGTTAATAAATCAAATATTGGTGATTTAATTCCCTTTCGAAACGATTGATTCGAACGGTCTCCAATGTTTCACACCCTTCATTTCCAATATCTCTCTGAATGCTTCTCTTAATCTAATGGCTTCAGTGAGAAGTACTCTGGTATTCGGTAGGTACCGAAGTAACATCTCGTAACATGGTATGACTATCACAGTTTGGAATTTTAAGCTGTTGTGAACTTTGAAGAACTCCTTGTCCCTATTGGCTAGTGATATGGGGCTGAAACCCAAATCTATTTCTTTGTCGCTTTGTTCGAACAGTTCTTTGAGTAGGTTGTTTAAACAATATTTTGCCACCATGAATGGTCTTGCTGCACAACAGATTTCCGATGAGTACATTATCAAAGTTTTGAGAAGGTCTCTGTTGATTTCATTTTTAAGATCGAAAGTTTTTAAGTTTTTGTCGGCCAAGCTGTAATGAAAGAATTGAATTATGGTACCCAGAGGGGGTATGAGGCTTACTTTTGTTTGCATTTGAAAAATGCTGAAGAATCTGTAGATATAATGTTTGCTTTGATTTCGTTGTAAATGTCTGTTTGTTCGTCTGGGGTAACGTTCTTGAATAGCTGGCAATGTTCCAGGATTGTCATGGTTATTTTGAAGTTGTTATTCTGTTGTGGATATTCGTTGTAGAGTTGTGACAAATTGTCATTGGTGGCGTGTAAAAATCTATTGGTAACACCTGAAGACATGATGATATAAAGATATTAGAAAATGAATCCAGCTTTACTTACCTCTATGGTGAATGTCGTGTGTAAGGGCAGCTATCATGAGCCCCATCTGCTCAATTTTGGTGAAGATATCGTTTCTAATGAGAATGTTGTATACGCAGTGTGTCACCAAAAAAGCATGCTCTATGTTGTGGTAATAGTTGTTGGTGTGGACCTTCTTTACAGTCAACACAAATTCATTCAGTTTGGTGGAATGTAAATAATTCAAACCGATCACCTTTTTGAACATATATATTATTCGTTGTGGCATATATTCCGAATCATTCATTTGGTAGGACCAACTGTCAAAATCTTCAGGTATTTGGACATCTAAATTGCTGTTCAAATTCTCTAAATCATGATAGCATGGCCCTATATGCCTCAACAATATATCTGTGTATAACCTGTTTAAAACCACATTTTTGGTGACGCTCTGCCTTAGTTTGTCGAAATGTAGGGCAAGAGCTGAGTACACAGAAAAAACTTTGAACAAATCTTCATCGGTTCTTGTAAAATGCTCGTACGGTTCAGATTTGTTCACCACCTGAACCACACCAATAACCTCACCACCACTAAGAATGGGCGTTGACATAATACACCTAGTTATAAAACCTGTTTTATCATCAATCTCCTTATTCTTCGAATCTCTGTACATATCGTTCAACTTGATCGTGATTTTTTGTCTAGCCACCAGCCCTGCTATCCCTCTATCGCGTGTCAGCTTAATTTTAACATTTTTTTTGTACATCCCTTCATCTATGCCTTCCTCAAAAATATCCGCCAGTAATTCTTCAGATTCGGGTTCTATAACGAAGAAACAGCCTTTTTCTGCTTTGATGGAAACCTTCGCCAGCTTCATGATCTCGCCAATCATTTTGGCGAGCGGTAGATCGCTCGTGAAGAAGCATTTTATCAAATCTGTAAATGAGGATAACTTTTTTGTTTGTGATGATTTCGGTACACAGTAAAATCTAATTTGTGGGGAAATATTCGGGCTATAATCGAGTGAAAGAAAATAAAAAATCGGCGATCGATATCATCCTCCACATTAAAACCTTGTTTTTGCAAGAAAATCCTGTAAATATGAGGATAACTTTTTTGTTTATGAAGATTTTGGTTCACAGTAAAAACAGACTTGTAGGGAAATAGTCGGGCTATAATCTAGTGAAAAAAATTTAAAAATCGACGATCGATATAACACTCCACATGACGTCAAAGTTCAAACATCAAAACCTTCGTAACTCCCTTAATACCAACAGCAAAACAAAAAATCGAAAACTGAAATATATCTAAAATTTAACCCTAAAAAATCATCAGAAGGCACTTGTTGATTTTATTTTGTTTTTGCAAGGAAATCCTGTAAATATGAGGATAACTTTTTTGTTTATGAAGATGTGGATTCACAGTAAAATCAAACTTGTAGGGAAATATTTCGACTATAATCCAGTGAAAGAAAATTAAAAAACGACGATCGATATAACACTCCACATGACGCCAAAGTTCAAAAATCAAAACCTCCGTAACTCCCTTGATACCAACGGTAAAACAAAAAATCGAAAATTGAAATATAACTAAAATATAACCTTTAAAAAAATCACCAGAAGACACTTGTTGATTTTCTTGTTTTTTTCCTGTAAATATGAGGATAACTTTTTTGTTAATGAAGATTTTGGTTCACTGTAAAAACAAACTTGTAGGGAAATAGTCGGGCTATAATCTAGTGAAAAAAAATAAAAAATTGACGATCGATTTCATCCTCCACATGACTTCAAAGTTCAAACATCAAAACCTTGATAACTCCCTTAATATGAACGGTAAAACAAAAAATCAAAAACAAAAATATAGCCAAAATAAAACCCCAGAAAATCACCCAGAAGGCACTCGTTGATTTTCTTTTGTTTTTGCAGGGCAACCCTTTCTCTGTTTTGGTGTATAGCAGTTCCCATCCAAGATGCCACCAATATGGATATTTTTAGATCTTCATGGTTGTAATTATCGGAAAAAATGTCCTTGTGCATTTCTATGACCCCGAAACAGTCGCCTTCAGGGGTCAATATGGGAACTGCCAGTACTGATTTCACCAGACCGTCGTTATATCTAAAACATCTTTGTATTTAAGTATTTTTGGAGGTTTGAGGTGTTACCCTAGACCATTCGGGAACCTGTCGTCGTTCAAAATATCCTCCAGCATCACGTATTCTTTTTTGTACACCACGTAAGCTGCTACAGTGGAATTTAACTGGATTTTCCAGTTAACTTTGTGTCTATCGTTGAATATAGCTTTCGGTACTAAATATATTTCATTCCTTGGTTCATCCACCATGTATAGTGTTATACCTGTAGAGTTTGTCACTAGTTTCAGTACATCTGCACTCTGCCACATTACGGATGGCAAATCTATGAAATCAGATAAAAAAGCTTTTCTGTCGCCAAACAATTCTTCAGCTTTATACTTGATTTCGTATCGTGTAATAGCACTTTTCTTCTCTTGAGTTTTAAGGATACCATGTTTTTTCGGTTGCCGTTGAAGATACGGTGCTATAACTCTTTTGACCGCTTTATCTGTAGCATCTATATCGACCGGGAATTCATTTTTTATATTCCTCGATTCTTTTTTCAGAGAACCAGAGGGTGAACCTTTTTCATATACAGACACTGGAGTAGATAATATCGATTCTTTGGATGAGCTCATATTTATTTTTTCAAAAACGTTTATATGACGTTTATTGACATAAGTAAAACACCAACATAAAAAAAACAAAAAATAGGAAATCACATGATTTATTGCTCTACTTAGAGGTACAAAAAAATAACAAAATAATAATAAACAATGTATAACAAAAAAGCGTGAAATGTGGATGAAATCTTGAATTTGGTATATTTTCTGTGCCTTGACCTAGTCGATCGTCAGTTGTCTGAAGCTGCCATCCAAACCAAACAGATCTTCGTAGTTTAGCGATTTCCCTGGTCTCTTAGACTCATCGGCTTTAAAGTTTTCCTGAGCTTTGAACCATGGGGTGTACTCTTCCAATTTTTTAATCCATGCCTCTGAAAAAAAATTAAAAAAAAATGTCAAAATTATGAAGGTTTTATTTGGCGTAATCTATCATCGATTTTAAAATTTCTTTCACCAAATTGTAGTGTGAACATTTCTTCACAAAACAGTTTTTGTTCGACGCGAAAATCTTCTAAATTAAAAAAGTTATTAAATTTGCAACTTTGGCGTCATCTGTGGGCAAAACGCCATCATCGATTTTAAAATTTCTTTCACCAAATTGTAGAGTTAACGTTTCTTCACGAAACAGTTTTTGTTCGACGCGAAAATCTTCTAAATTAAAAAAGTTATTACATTTGTAACTTTGGCGTCATCTGTGGGCAAAACGCTATCATCGATTTTAAAATGTCTTTCACCAAATTGTAGAGTAAACATTTCTTCACAAAACATTTTTTGTTCGACGCGATATCTTCTAAATTAAAAAAGTTATTAAATTTGTAACTTTGGCGTCATCTGTGGGCAAAACGCTATCATCGATTTTAAAGTTTCTTTCACCAAATTGTAGTGTGAACATTTCTTCACGAAACAGTTTTTGTTCGACGCGAAAATCTTCTAAATTAAAAAAGTTATTAAATTTGTAACTTTGGCGTCATCTGTGGGCAAAACGCTATCATCGATTTTAAAGTTTCTTTCACCAAATTGTAGTGTGAACATTTCTTCACAAAACAGTTTGTGTTCGAAGCGAAAACCTTCTAAATTAAAAAAGTTATTAAATTTGTAACTTTGGCGTCATCTGTGGGCAAAACGCTATCATCGATTTTAAAATTTCTTTCGCCAAATTGTAGAGTTAACATTTCTTCACGAAACAGTTTTTGTTCGACGCGAAAATCTTCTAAATTAAAAAAGTTATTAAATTTGTAACTTTGGCGTCATCTGTGGGCAAAACGCTATCATCGATTTTAAAATTTCTTTCGCCAAATTGTAGAGTAAACATTTCTTCACAAAACAGTTTTTGTTCGACGCGAAAATCTTCTAAATTAAAAAAGTTATTAAATTTGTAACTTTGGCGCCATCTGTGGGCAAAACGCTATCATCGATTTTAAAATTTCTTTCGCCAAATTGTAGAGTAAACATTTCTTCACAAAACAGTTTTTGTTCGACGCGAAAATCTTCTAAATTAAAAAAGTTATTAAATTTGTAACTTTGGCGCCATCTGTGGGCAAAACGCTATCATCGATTTTAAAATTTCTTTCGCCAAATTGTAGAGTAAACATTTCTTCACAAAACAGTTTTTGTTCGACGCGAAAATCTTCTAAATTAAAAAAGTTATTAAATTTGTAACTTTGGCGCCATCTGTGGGCAAAACGCTATCATCGATTTTAAAATTTCTTTCGCCAAATTGTAGAGTAAACATTTCTTCACAAAACAGTTTTTGTTCGACGCGAAAATCTTCTAAATTAAAAAAGTTATTAAATTTGTAACTTTGGCGCCATCTGTGGGCAAAACGCTATCATCGATTTTAAAATTTCTTCCACCAAATTGTAGAGTTAACATTTCTTCACAAAACAGTTTTTGTTTGACGCGAAAATCTTCTAAATTAAAAAAGTTATTAATTTTGTAACTTTGGCGTCATCTGTGGGCAAAACGCTATCATCGATTTTAAAATTTCTTTCACCAAAATGTAAAGTTAACGTTTCTTCACGAAATAGTTTTTGTTCGACGCGAAAATCTTCTAAATTAAAAAAGTTATTAAATTTGTAACTTTGGCGTCATCTGTGGGCAAAACGCTATCATCGATTTTAAATTTTTTTTCACCAAATTGTAGAGTTAACATTTCTTCACAAAATGGTTTTTGTTTGAGGCGAAAATCTTCTAAAATAAAAAAGTTACCGTGAATATCCTCGATCTTTCCAGCATCACCTCCATATTCCTCTGGAAGGATATCTTTAGGAACATGGTTGTAAAGGGATTCCATTGAAGAATGAACATGAATTCTTTCCCTAATTTTTTCCTTCAAGAAAGGTTTCACCCAGTTAATGATGGTGTCCACAAAAGAAGAAACGTTGATTACATGGACTTCTTTTAGTTTAACAGGGTAGGCCTCCTGAAAACACAAAAAATAGTATAGTGAAATTTGGTTGCTACCATCGATGATATTCTTACCTGGACACAAACCAAGAACTTCTTGACTATAGCAGGGGATATTTTGGAGAAATGTTGTGCAGTTGCAACGGTAGCATCAAGGATGTAAATATCACCAGCAACACCAACTTCTTCTTCAGCTAAACGTATATCACCAATCATGAGGCAGACTTTCATTACATCTGCTAGATTCGGAGTTTCAACGTCTTTGTCTTTACCACGCATAAGAATGACCCTTCTGCCGTTCGGGGTTAGCCCTGGCAGAGGGGGTAGGCTCCTGAAATAAAAAAAAATACAAGAATAAAATTGCAGTTATCAGAGAAGCAAAAATACACACGAAAAACTTGGTTTTTACATACCCCAAATTTCTCAAAGCTTGTAACTCAGGCCTCATGATGTCCCTGTTGGAGAAAAATTCCGGGCAAGCTGTACGCATGGTGAAGTACATGTCCAGCTTTTGTTTTGTTTTCTCCAAGGAAAACTTGCAACCTCGCAAGAAGGTCATAATACGTTGATCATCTAAAACAATAAAAAAAACCGAAATGTTAAAAAGTGCAGTGTTTTAGTTAAGGCCCTGTATATTCTACAATTGTGGACCGATTTTTATGAAATTAATAGGGTGTATTAAAGAAATAACGATCTTTCAAATAATGTTAATTTTTTTTCTCTATCACTAAACATTATTTTGTTATCAACTGTCAAAGTCAGATGATAAAAATTTGGATTAAAAAAACCACTTCAACTTCATTGCACTGTATCTCCCTTGATAATCGACGAAACCCAACGAAATTTTCAGGGTATGCCGAGAAAAACACGCTGATTTCAACTACGTTAAAAAAATTCGCAACTTACCCCACGTATTTGGCAAATGGGGTTGTTTGGAAAGCCATTCTTTGATATGTTGCAAATCACTGTCTCTAGTATTGGGGTCTTCATTCAGTTCTTTTCTGATGCTGATTTGCATGTCGGGGTTAGGTTGCACCAAGAGAGCCATTTTGGGTATCTAAAAACAAAAAATAACCTTGAAGAAACATTTTGTTTGATTTGTTCTTTATAACAAAAATTAAACTTGTCACGTAAAATGCAAGACTTTCTTTAACACCCTGTAGATTCTACAATAGTGGTGCTATTGTGTTGATAATTTTAGGGTATATTGAGAAGAAAACGACCTTTTTTATGATGTAACCCGTTTTTTTCTAAATTGTTTAACAACTTTTTTAAATAGAGTTAAAGTTAGATAATTATTTTTTCTTAAATATAATAGGTATAAAACTTAAGATGGTTGAAAGTTGAGTCAATATATCGATCAATTTTCTAACAAGGACGATTTGTTTAATTATGAATAATAATTTATTAATAAAGTACTGACGTACACCATACAAAACAGTTTTTACAATTAAATAATTATTTATGAAAAATAATAACAAATTATATTATAAAATTATGCTTAATTTGAAGTTTTTTTATTGTAGTTACACGTAATGTTCAAAGTATATATTTCTTAATTAAAAAAACCAGTTAAGAAATATGGATGATATGGCACTTAACTTTTAATATCCTATATTGTGATTTTAGTGTTTTTATTTCAAGCTAGAGGCTATGTGAAAGTTTTAATTTTTACATAATATTTACTTTCATAACAATCATTGTGTAAATCTTGTTTAAAATTATTGTTTAAGAAATGTTTTTTTATTTGTTTTTTAACAAAAAGAGAAATGCAATTGGTTTTCTACTATACAAATATGTAACATAATGTATATGATCTTCAAAATTTCTTTTTTAATTCTGTTATGAAGCTATGGAAATGTGACATACTTTTCTTTAAATTTATATTGCAAAATATTTTACATTTAAAATTATTATTAAAAAATGTTTTCAAGGCAAAAAGCTATGATAGATATTTACATATGTATGTAAACAGTTACAACAATTTTATAAAACTCTTAAAATTAAGACAAACTTTGATGGTCTGTAGTTTAGTTATTTTTGGCCCAATTGTAAAAATAAATTCAAATTTTAGATAATTTTATCCACTTTGAGAAAATGTAAAAATCTTTATATGCCCCTTATTAATTCTTCGAGATAATCCATGGAATATAAGATTATAGAAGTTTTTATAATTTTTACGTAACAAAAATTCTTAATAATCGGCAAAAAACATTAAATGTCAAGCTTTCTCTTTCAACCAGTTAAAGAAATAAAAATCACGAGATAAACAATTATAGAAGGTATATACCGGGCGTATCAATAGGTAGTACTTTCTTTTCACAATTTTTTATGCCAGAAAACAATTATGTTAAAAAATATGTACGCCACTGGAATTTTAATTTTTTAATGGTGCATTTTGGTAGATTGTTAGGTTTCAGACAAAATTCGCCCCTTGATTTTTTCCCAAATTCGGGTTGGTTTGGAAGATATAAGCAAAAATATTGCAACGTGTTTTTTGGAAATACTAAAAATGCTTGTATGTCTCTTTATTGTTAAAATATCATTCGTTCTTTGTATTATATAAGTAAAGTGAATAAATTACAAAAGGTAATAAAAATAGGAATATATTTATGTATTGTATAAACCTCAAATATTTATTTAAATTATATTAACTGGTTAAACTGGTTTAATTGTGTCTACATACCAAAAAAAAATTAAAAACGAACTCACAAACAAAAAAACACACACACAGCAACCTGTTGACTACACAGAAGACGAAACAGAACTGACTTAAGAAAGTTCAAACAATATTTTTATATTTACCATTGCCAAGTTGCTCAGCATTCCTCTCAGCCAATGAAAACGAATTAAGAGTAGTAAGCACCAATGAAAATGGAGTTTTTGGGCTTTCTACAATGCGTTATGACTCATGTGATACGGTTTGTTACTAAAAAATATGTTTTTCTTAATTAACAATTACTTTAATTGTGGTGTGATACACATAACTTGACATTTCATACCCAAATCAAAGTCAATATTACAATATACCTGTAACAATTATTATTTATAAAAAAATTATAAAAATGTACATCAAGTTATGTTAAAGTTAGAACTACAAGAGGACTAGATAAATAATTAATTACCTACCTAAAATGTATTTCATGCTTTGATCCACTGAATAATAAGGTTAAATAAATAATGTATGGTTAATTATATGAATTATTAATTAAAAAAAACATCTCAATGATAACAGTAACTTTTGGATATTTTAAAATATGTTTTATACGATATATGAGATTTTAATAAACCCCCCTAAAATTGACATTTTTAATATTTCTTTGGAAAAACAATTTACCTCATTGGAAAGATCGTATTTTTCTTAGTATACCCTAAAAATTTCATCAAAATTGCAATGATTTTAAAAAAGTTACAACGTTTTAAAACATGTACTTCTTTTTTCAAAACGCAATATCGCTTATCTTAGTAGGCTGTAACTATGGCAACATCACACTTACTTTGACGAAATTTTGAGGGTATACAAAGAAAAATACGCTTTACAAAATGACGTTGCCACATTTTTTGTACTATAACTCAATAATTTTGTACATGTAAAAACATACGATTTTTCAAAAAAACGTTAACCTGTGTATTTTATTAATTTGTTAGGAAAACTGTTAACTCCATTAGAAAGATCGTATTTTTCTTAGTATACCCTAGAAATTTTATCAAAATTGCAATAGTTTTAAAAAAGTTACGGCGATTTTAAACCAACATGCATGCCTTTAAAAAAAAACAACTGCTTTATTAAATGGATGTAACCATGGCAACGTTGCACTTATGTTGATGAAATTTTAAGGGTATACAGACGAAAGTAGGCTTTTTTAAATGACATTACATTAACATAAAAAAATTCTATACGCTGAAACTTAACAACCTATTTTTTCAGTGCAAGTAATTTTGATAAATTTCATTTTGTAATAATAATAATAATAATAATAATATAATGTTAGATTAACTTCAGTAGCAATTAGATGAATCATTTCGTTATAATCTTGCTTTAGATACTTTCCAAATTACGAAATATAACTTAAAAAAACATCACGCAAAAATTACAATTATTTTAGAATTACATAAAAATACTTCTAGCAGAACTTATACTTAAAATTTTATGTAATATGTTTTGTGTTTCAAATTTTTTTAGGTAAATAATAGTCCTTAAATGTATACATAACTACAGTAAAATAAATATATCTAATGGTACATTTTATAGATTAGCTATTAAAGAAGTATCTTGTCGATTTGTATTAATTATTTAAACCTTCAAGATACAAATTATAAGGCGTAAATACTGGGGGATGTTTTAACCCCACCCCTTTTATTAACAAAGCTTTTTCATTGGTACACGATGGTAGAACATTTTTGCAAAACTTATATTAAACGAGTATAATCTCTAGTATTTATTAATATAAAGATAAAATTGGTTTAAAACTTTATAGAAAACATTGATTTTACAAGAGGTGAAACATGAGTCCCAATATTTATTAATTTTAGTTCCTCTGTTTAGATTGTATAGATATAATGTTGTAGAGTGAATTCAAAAGAGATTTCAAGGTAAGTTTTTTTAATGTACCACTTATACAATTATATATAAAAATAATACATTATTAAAAATTTTATGTAAGCAAATATTACAGATTTAAAAAAAAATTATTTCAAAAAACAAGATCCACTTTCAGTGTCTGTATTTATGGCAACGTTGCACTAATTTTGATGAAATTTTAAGGGTATACAGACAAAAGTACGCTTTTTTAAATGACACTAACCCTGTTTTTATAAAATAACTCAAAATATTATTATAAAGATTTAAAAAATGAATTCCAAAAATTTAAATAAAAAAAATACACGCAAGTTTATATCATCTATTGTGGAGCTTTTGGTGGTACTACTGGGGCACAGGAATGTACAACTAGGGTACACGACTGTACACTGGGGTACACAACCTAATGGATGCACACAGGGTGTTCTAAAACCTTAATTATAAACAGAACACTTGCCGAATTCTTTATATTGCGGTCCGGGCACCTTTCCTCTCAATATAAACATTTCCTTCTTTCAGATGATGAAATTCAAGGTGGCCGGCCTAGTGGCCGACCTTATGCCCAACATAAGGCTCATTCAAGCCTCAGGACATTTCATGTTCAACTATCACGCTGATAATTCAGGGGCTCTACATACTCTAAGGCTTGGTTATAGCTGTGCACATCTGGTGTGCGTTCTATTTCAATATGGGTACGTTGTAGGGTGCTATGCTTCATAATGATCACTGACAAATGAATGAATTTCAGCACGATCATGGGAAATTTGTTGGTAGAACGGGACAATGTCAATGACTTGGCTGCTAACACCATAACAACCCTATTTTTCGCTCACTGCATCACGAAATTCATATACTTCGCAATGAGATCAAAACTTTTTTATCGAACACTCGGTATATGGAACCAGTCCAACAGTCATCCGATATTCTTGGAGTCCAACAACAGGTACCACGCGTTGTCTCTGAAGAAAATGCGGAGGCTTCTGATGATAATAGTGATAGCTACGACGTTTAGTGGAACAGGTGAGAGGTTTTTAGGGTAGAACTTTGTTAATGTTGGTAGTACGTCAAAATGATGTAAAGGGGAGTTGTAGAGGATAAAATTATCTACAAATTGGTGATTTCATTTTTATTCTATCTTGATTGGTAACATAGATAGTCTAAAGTTTGATCATTGTATTTGATGAAGTGCAAAACATACCTATGGTTTTTAGAGGATATCTTTTTTATTGTTGATGATATATAAATATGATATTCAACAAAGTTGTAGAGAATAAAATTACCTACAAATCGGTAATTTTGTTTTTTTTCTAACTCGCTTAGTAACACATATATCGAACTCCAAAACGTTTTCTTGTAATAATAAAAATACTTTTGAAGCTTGGACTTGCATTACCTTTATCGGCGACAGTGTACACAACATTAAAGACCCGGACAACGAAAACGAAACCATAACGGAAGAAATACCCAGATTACTCGTAAAATCTTGGTATCCCTGGGATGCCATGTCTGGGACAAAGTACTGGGCTACTTTGGTATTCCAAGTATATTACGTTTTCTTTTCGCTGGCACATGCAAACTTACTGGACAGTTTGTTCTGTTCTTGGCTCATATTTGCCTGCGAACAGCTTCAACATTTGAAAGAGATCATGAAGCCACTTATGGAGCTATCGGCCACTTTAGACACGTATGTACCGAAAAGTGCTGATTTGTTTAGAGCTCCAAGTGCCAACAATGATAATCTTATAGAGAATGGTATTATTATACACCCTATATTACTATAAATCTATACCTAACACATCATTTTCAGACTACAACGAAAAAAACAACGATGATTTGAACCTTAAAGGCATATACAGCACTAGGCAAGAATTGGGGGGTCATTTTAGATCAGGAGCCCTCCAAACCTTCGGGCAAGGAGGGGGAGGGGTCGGACCGAATGGTCTGACGAAAAAACAAGAATTAATGGTCCGTTCCGCCATCAAATACTGGGTGGAACGCCACAAACATGTCGTCAGGTACATTATCGATTAAAACATTACTAGACAAACTTAATAATTAAACTACAATCAATATAAGGCATTAAAATTTATTTGTGAGTAATCCCAGATGTTTTCAGGCTTGTCACTGCAATCGGGGATGCCTATGGAGTCGCTCTACTTCTACACATGTTAACATCAACCGTGATGTTGACTCTTCTCGCCTACCAAGCCACTAAAGTAATTTTTTTTAGACTACAAATTTCAATGCTTGATATCTACGCCGTTGTATGAGTAATCACCATGAAATTTGCACTGTATATTTATAGATGTTACATTTACAGTGTGTCCAAATTTCAAGGTCATACCATGAATGGTTGTGGAGATATTAAATATAAAGCGTTGGAGTGTTTTTAATTTTTTTTTATATGACTACAATTTTCATTGTTTAATATCTCCAAAACTACATGACTTATAACCTTGAAATTCACGGCACACTTCAACACAACCTCCAACTATGATCTGTCAAAATTTCAAGGTCATTCCATATATAATGCCAAAGATATCAAACAACAACTGTCACGATGCATTTTTTGTTTGCATAAACATAAGTATATTGTTTATTAATCAATTTTTTTAGATCGACGGTGTCAATACTTACGCAGCAAGTGTCGTGGGTTACTTGATTTACGCGTTAGCTCAAGTTTTTCACTTCTGCATCTTTGGAAATCGCCTAATTGAGGAGGTAATTTTTTTAGTTTTGTTTTTTTGGTTATTTCATAAATTTTTTTAGAGTTCTTCTGTAATGGAAGCAGCCTACAGTTGCCATTGGTACGATGGCTCGGAAGAAGCCAAAACATTTGTGCAAATTGTGTGCCAGCAGTGTCAAAAAGCTATGTCCATATCAGGGGCAAAATTCTTCACAATATCTTTGGATTTGTTTGCGTCTGTTCTAGGGGCTGTGGTAACTTATTTCATGGTGTTGGTACAATTGAAATAAATTATTTTGTTTTTTTGATTTGATGCTTAGAATGTGATAATAGTTAAATACCTCATTAATATGGTACAAATATTTAAAAAATGTTTTCAATAAAAAAATAGATTTTAGTTTAACTATAGTTTTATATAGTATTTAAATTAACATTTACCATTAAAGGCATTCACATTGTGTCTTACTAAAATACTAAAACACCCTGTATGTATATTTAAATGATATTAATAAGCAATTTAAACTTACTGTTAATTACACAATACTTTTAATTAGAATTAATCCAAAACTTAATATAAATAAATATAATAATAATAAAAATATGTTTTTTTATTTATTCTCAAAAACTAAAAATATTGTAGCACTACTTAAGTCTACTGCAGTACAAAAACAGCATTACAACGTACCACAACTGCACTAGTATATCATAGGCAACCCAGATTACACCCCCAAACGTCGTAGATTTGACAGTTGACTAACCTAAAAACGTTTGTTATTGTTATAGTGAAAAATATGGATCAAACGGTGGAAAACAGCCCTGGCAGATATGCTATGGAATTAATGGAAAAAGTTAATAAAGAAATAGTGTTTAAAAAGCCTACAAGTGCAGTGAAAAGAAAGAAAAAGCAGAAAATTTTGGATGATGATACATATGTTGAAGTACGTATTTTAAACGTTTTTTTTGGCGTTTTTAATGTTAATTTTGTTGCAGGAGATCGGTAATATAATCGAAAGGGACTTTTTCCCGGATTTGCCAAAATTAAAAGCCCAAAATGAGTACTTCGAAGCTATGGAAAAAAATGATACCATTAAGTTGAGAGAATTGTATATGAAGTACAGTGGAAGCAGGCCTCCAACGCAAAGAAGTAAGTATTTTGTACATAAATGTTTGCTTTACAATTTGGTGAAAGAAAATCATAAATTGGTGATGGCATTTTGACTGTAGATGACAGGTTATGTTTTGTTGTGTTATCTATGGTTTAAATGCCCATAACTTTGTTAATAATGGACATAGAGTAAAAATTCAAAAAACATGTTATAGAGAAAACATTGGGCTACAATTACACATAATTTTTTATTTCAGTGAACTCACCTGCAACCTTTGAAACACCCGCCAACATTCACAACTCACAACACATACCTTCAAACGAAAATACAGTCGATTGCGATAAAAACAGCGGCAAAAATGATGGTAAAAAACCCATATTAACACTGGATCAATACCTAAACAACCACACATCGCAAGATAACGATTCCTTCGAGGAAATATTAATAAAAAGCGAAATTAAACATCGGCAAAAATACTCCTACCTGTACAATGAAGAAGAGAAAAGTTTAGAGGAACAAAAAAAATTACTGGCCTTACCCACGATAGAACAGCAATGTTTGCTGCCCGAAAAAAAATTGGACATTGACACCTGGACATACAAAAACAAAAATTATATCATGTACGTCCCCGATGGTGTAGAGCTGACGAAAAATGACGAAATCGAGATCAATAAAAAAAGACAGGAAGTCGTCCATACGAATACCAGGTTGTGTGTGAACCCCTTTAATGAGGTACAAAGTAAGGAAACCATACACGAGTTGGCCAAAACTCAGGCAAAAGTGAGTACAAACACAATTTATAATATATCTATGTTATTTATAATTTTACAGTATTACAACCAAAAACAAAGTTGTAGATCGTAAAATTACCTACAATTTACGTCCTATAATTTTTTTTGTCGGTTACGTAGTTTTGAAGATATACGCGCTCAAAGTTTGATCAGCGTTAAAAAGTTTATTAACCCTCAAAGGATTTAAAATTGACGTAACTTTGTTAATTTTTAAGCAAATGCTCTTTTAAGATTCTCAAACAAAATTGCCGCACCTCAAAAAATGTCAAAGTTATGGCGGTTCAAAGTTTGACATAATCAATTTTTTTAACTATTGACTTTGACGTGCCATATTTTTGACAATTTTATTTTTATATTCGTATATTCTTATAAAGCGTTTATTTGTCTACAATTCGACATATAAAACGACAAAAAATGTCAAAAACTAACAAAGTTACAACGATTTTTCCAAACCCTTGCAGAAAACGTTTTTACAGATCCCTGTATATTCCATATTGGGGAACTATATTGAGGGTTAAAAATCCATATTTTTTCAGGTATTGGATGGTAAAATTGGCGTGGATGGTAAAGAGATATTAAAATGTGATACCCCCAAAATTGGGGGGTTCAGTTTTGTTAGGGAGCCTTCCCCCTGTCCAGGGGTAATGGGGAGTCCCCTGATGACGTGGGGGGAAGTGATGGGTACCCCATTTAAGCTGGATGGGTCTGATACTCCATTACCTAGGTAAGTTAGGTTATAATTTTTTTTTAATTGACCAAAAAAAACCGGTATATACGGATTAGACTTATATAGCCCGATATCTCTTTAAAAATACATTATACGGAAAAAATGCATTTTATCTTTTTTGTAGAGAATTTTATCAGCTACAATTTTCATGTATACCACTTTAACATACCACCACTAGGTGGCGTGATACACGCAATAAACGGTATATACGTTTGTAGAAAAAAATGTATTACTTATATAGCCCGATATCTCTTTAACGGTTTGTTTAATCAAAAAAATATATTTTATATTTTTTGTAGAGAATTTCATGAGGTACAATTTTCATATATAACACTTTAACATGCCACCAACAGGGGGCGCCATAAACGCAAAAAACGGTATACACGTAAATAGAAAAAAAACATTTCTGTTTTTTATTTGTAGAACTCCAGGGCCGAGTTTTAAAATGTCCGACCCATCGAGGCGGGAACAGTTGGCCATGTCGTTGGCCGAAAAAGTGGGGGAAAAAAATCGCGATCAAAAGAAAAAAGCAATAGAAGCCGCTAGAAGACAGTTTGCTACGTAAGAAAAAAATTAATAATTTTTGATGAATAGCAACATTTTAAAATTTTTAGGCCCAGTCCTGGTAGAAATATAGACAGACTGGCAACCATGTCGCCAGCGGCGAGAAAATTGGCAACATCGCGGCTAAAATTGGGGGTTAACTCTGATTTGAGGAACGCTTACACACCCAGCCCACTATATAGAAGAAAACCCACTGAAAGTCCCAAAATATCGAGAATAAATACCCCAAAAATTGTTAGTAGTAACAAAAAAGAAGTTTCTACGGATGACTTGTTGAAAATAGGCATTTCTAAACGGAGATGTGCTTCAGATTTCTTTTAATATTCTTTAAGCAAATATAATTTAAAAAACAAGCTGTATTTGTTTTATTTCTAATTTTACATGATTACAACCAAAAAGAAAGTTGTAGATCACAAAATTGCCCACATTTTACATGGTATTAAAATTTTCGTCAGATTCGTGGTTTTGAAGATACAACCGCTTAAAGTTTATACAGTGTTAATAAAGTGTACCACCTTCACAGGATTTAAAATTGTCGTAACTTTGTTAATTATTCTACAATTTTTATAAATAATACGTCATTTTACACCCAACTAAATCCTCTTCCAGGATTTTGAAACAAAATTACCGCGAAACAAAAAATGGCGTAGTTATGGCAACTCAAAGTTTTAAGTAATCAATTTTTTTAACCATTCACTTTGACGTGCCATATTTTTGACAATTTTATTTCTATATTTGTTCAACATAAATATTCTTATAAAGCGTTTATTTATCTACAATTTGACATATAATACACGAAAAAAATTCGAAAATTAACAAAGTTACGGCGATTTTTACAACTCGACGTCAAAATTTGACAAATGACACGATGGGATGTAATTATCTGTAACTTGATTATTTTTTAGTAAATTTTAATGATTTATGTGTCATTTTATAGTCATATAAATTATCTTTTGAGGTGTGTAAGTAAAATTGGTGCATCTGAAACAGTGTCAAGGTTATATTAAAAAAAGAACACAATAAATAATAAATTCTTTATTAAACATAAAAATCTACATACCATTATAATTTTAACTTAAATAATAATAAAATTGCTTTTAAATATAGATAAATCTGGTTTTGATATGCATATATGCATTGCAATAATAAATACATTTTATTTATAATCTTTTATAATTTATATTTTCCTGAGACTTGGAACACATTACCAACCCAAAATAAATAAAATAAGCCTTCTACTTTTTATTACTTATTTTTTAACTTTGATCATGTATTTTGCAATTTAAAACATTTCTGCCACTAGATGGCGCGCCACGGGTTTATTTGAAAGCAGACGACTTGGCAACATCGCTTTAGAAGTAAAAACGTTTTTTCTAAATATCTCGACAACGAAAACTGCGATTCGAGTTTTGTTTACGCAGAAACGTTCGAAATTGCACGACACACGAATTAAAACGGCAAAAAATGACGTAAACATTTATTTTCGTAGTATTTTATTCATATCTTTGTTTTGCTTTCTGATGGTCGCGTCGGCAAGCTCAGTTTTGTCGGTGATATTGTTTATCAGGTCGTTTTGCGTGTCGATTTCGAGATTTAAATCCGTCGCGAGACCTTTAAGTCGAGAAATGTTGCTGCACATCTCCGAAAGGTTTGCATCGAGTCTAGCTGAAAAATCTTTGCTCCCCGATGATTGAGTTTGAGTGAAATCGTCCCCGCGTAACCTAGTTACAGGGTGGTTATCGTATCTGTCGTACGTGTTGAGTTTTTCGTCTAAAGTGTGGTTAGAAGTTGATTGCTGGGAAGAAAAAAATTATTACCTATAAAGCCTGATATCTCTTGAACGCTTCGTTGTATGAAAAAAATTCATTGAATATTTTTTGTAGGCAATTTCATAAGCTACGATTTGATGTATGATACTTTGACATCCCACCAACAGGGGGCGCAATAAACGCAAAAATGTAAAAACTTATAAAGCCCTATAACTCTTTAACTCTTCATTATATGAAAAAATTTCATTTTATCTTTTTTGTAGAGAATTTTACAGGCTACAATTTCACACTATCAGAAAAAACTTACCTTGACTGTGCTAGGCGTAGTTGAGCTTGACGTTGGTGAAGCATCGTTTTTGCCCGACATGTAGTTTTTAAGGCTACTAAAGACAGATTTGATGCCGTTTATGTGTTTTTGCGAGAATCTCAACGTAGCATTAATTTCATCCAACTGTTTATCAGTGTGTTCCAACTTTTCTCTCTGTCGCATCAATTCCTCAGCGGTTGCTATACCAATTTGTTCAGAGTCCCTAAAACGTTTACTTACGTTATATTCAACCCCTCGTACATAAATTAACCCACCTTAGTATACCTATACTCTTCTCAGTGCTGTTTATAGTTCTATCTTCGATTTGCTTAATTCGATCTTGAAAACTCAACATTTGATCATCGTAATTCGATGGTTGAGGTTTTCTGGAGTTCCTCAAAAACAATTCGTCGTCTATGTCCTCATTTTCGAAGGGATTTGTCGATTTTACGTATCTATTTGATGACATATTGACGTTTTTTGTCTATCATGACAATGTCTCTGGTTGACACAGATTTGTTATGTTGGCAACTTGGCAATAAAATAATTACAGTTTTAAAATGGTTTTGGTGTTGAGGAATAGTTTATTAGGTGTTTTAATTGCCTGTTTTGCGATTATTTTTTGGTTTTATGGATGTTTGTGGTAAAAAAACAACAAAAATCTATCTATTTTTAACGTTTATGGTTTGTCTGGTGATTTTTCTGGGGATATTTTAGGGAGTTTTCTGTCAAATATCAAAATGGTTGTTTGGAATTTCCAAACAAATGTTTCTACACTTGTTTGAGGTTTTGTATTGTATTGTGATCATTAAAAATAAGTATACATAAGTTTTCGTACACTATGGAGCAAACAGTCATTAAAAAAGAACCTGAAGAACTAGTGGACGATTTTCACGGTGATATTTCGATGAATTACGATCATGAAACGGCTTCAACATCTGGGATAGCAATAAAACAAGAGATCAAGGAAGAATTGGAAGAAGAAGAAATATTTTTTGATGAGGGGTAAGCATTGTTGCCATTTATTGCATTGTCACCATGGCAACAGTTGTTTGACAGTTGACATGTTGAAACATGCAACAAGTGACAGTTTTGACCTTGAATTCCTACACAATCATGATTCTTGTATGGAATAAAGAAAAATTATTGTTAAAAAGCAATAATTTTAGATCTAAAATAAAGGATGAAAGTGAAGATTTCTCTTGCAATATTAAGGAAGAAGATAGAGATAAGGATGGGATGAAAATCGAGGTTGATTTTCACGGGGTTCAAAGTGATGATTTAAGTGGCAAAGGAAAGTTGTTTGAATGTGAGGTTTGTCCAAAGAAATATCAAACAAAAATGGGTTTATTTAACCATATAAAATATATTCATAAAAAACATGAGTTGGAAAAATTTAAATGCTGTTCCTGTGATTTTGTGTCTGTGAGAAAAAGTACTTTTAAGATTCACTTAAAAATTCACGATACAAACAACTATTTAAAGTGTCATTTTTGTGATTATACGAGTGCTGGGTTACAAACTTTGAATTCACACATTCTTAGCAAACACAAGCTGGAAAATAAAAAACAAAACAAAATAACCAGTAAAATCCACGAGTGTTCTAAATGTTCATATTCGTCTGTTATAAAGTCTCACTATAACAATCACATAAAAATATGTTTGAAATTGGAAAACGTCGAGTGGTATAAATGTGAGATTTGCAACTACAAAACAATCCACAAATATCACTTAACAACCCACCAAAAAATCCATAACAAATTGAAAGATTTAAAATGTATGTTTTGCACATTTCAATGCAACGTAAAACGAGATTTAGACAACCATATTTTAACAAAACACCCACACTTGCTGAACGAATCAAATCAAAGTCTAATCACCGCCAAAGTTCACTCTTGCCAACACTGTAGCTATAAAACCACCAACACAATGCACTTAAAAAAACATGTAAATCATAATCATTGATTTTTCAGGTAGTATTTATTTTTAAATAAACAGTTTCATTTCCATACGTGTCTTATTTAAATTACCGTTAAAAAACTCAATTATCAAAAATATTCTCCACCCGAACAAAGACATTTCACGAACGATGTCAGTGAGTGTTAAGTTGGCAGCATTGTCAAAACAACTCGCTTTTAGTTTTGACGTTTTCCCGGCAACATTTGTGTTTTTAAGCGAAAAAAATGTATTTGAGAAGTAAAGCCAGAAAGGCGAAGAAAATTAAGCAAAATGTGGTTAAGAAGACCTATTTCACAAGGTATTTTGCATTTATAACCTTAAAAATACATTTTATTTGACTTAGATGTTATTGTTTCTACTTTGCTTTTAAGTAATAAATAATATTATTACCATGATAATTAAGATGTAATAAAACGGTTCTCACTACATTTTCTCTCCACATTTTTAACTGTTGAGCAACAGTTTTCAAAATATTTTCTCTATTATAACAGGAGCACCACAAGACAAACAACTTTAAAAAAAAGTGCACCAAGAAAAAAAGCAAAATCTTTAGTAAGAAAAGAAAATCTGTGCACTTTACCTGTGAGTACATTAAAAACTAACACTTTGACATACTTTCTGTTGTGTATTTTAGGATGACATACTAATAGAAATTTTTTCCCATTTGGATTTAAAATCGATTAGTAAATGTGCTATGTCATGCTCAAGATTAAATTACATATCAAAATACAGTACATTATACAAAACAATACACCTAAAGGTAATTTTTCTACAACAAAACATTTTATTATGTAAACAAAACGTACGCCAATGACTTTTATAAAAAAATTCTGGTGTATTTTTGTGGAGAATTTAGTTGCCTACAAAATTGAACCCCTGATATTTTGTCGAAATCCTATTGGTTTGGAAGATAAATCGAGTTTTATGTAAATTTAATTTAAAAAATTAGGTACATCAACATACTAAATCGCATATATCTACATAACAAAGCAAAATTTTAAAAAATATCAGGGGATAATTTTTGTAGAGAAATAAATTGCCTACAAAATGATATTCTCGGAAATGTCAAAAATTAAATGCGTTTATGTTTTTTTTCAAAAAATGGTTTGAAGAAAAAAACATCTTTGTCAAAACATTTTATAATGTAAAAAAATATGTTCGCCATTGACATTTCAACAAATTTTATGGTGTATATTTGTAGAGAATTTAGTTGTCTACAAAATTGAACCCCTAATATTTTGTTGAAATCCTATTGGTTTGGAAGATAAATCGAATTTTATATAAACGTGTTTGTCAAAATTTCATTTAAAAAAATTCGGTACGCCATCATACTAAATCGCATATATCTACATACCGAGGCAAAAATCGAAAAAATATTAGGGGATTATTTTTGTAGAGAAATAAATTGCCTACAAAATGACATTCTCGGAAATGTCAAAAATTACATGCGTATATGTTTTTTTCGAAAAATAGTATGACATTTATTTTTAGTATGATTTGAGTCCCAATATTCTTAAATCATTGTTATCCAAGGCTAGCTGTCTAAAAAGGTTGTCAATAGAATATCAGACGTTTGATTATGACGATGATTTATTCGACTACCTCATAGACGATTACCTTGATTACGATATTGACGATTTTCTATGTGACCAGTTTGCTCATGCTCAAGACAACAAGTATTTTGAAAAATATATTAAACTGTAAGTTTCAAGCTTGCTACCTGCTACTTTTACTTTGTTGATTTCGTGTTCAGGTTCATACAACAATTGGGGGGCAAACTGGATTTTTTGGAGGTGGTAAGGTGCAGAAATAGGGATATATTATTATCTATATCAAAATGCACAAATTTAAAAGGTTTGTGCAAAATATTAAAAGAAAAAAAATTTAATAAAATATTTTAGAACTCAACTTAACCAGCTGCAAAAGTAACTTTGAAACACTGATCACACTTGGTAATTTAAAAAAGATAAAATTTAAACAGTGCAACTTTTCACAGAATACAACACTAGCTGTAGCAGTAGATATTATAAAAAATAATGTTAACTTGAAAAAAGTACATTTAGGTAAATATTGGTATAAAATACAAAAAGCAACAAAAATAATGTAAAATCTCGGAAGTTTCCTTAGTGATAAACAAAAAGTTTAAAAAAAAATTGTAGGACAAATTCACACAGTGGCGTAAAATTTAAAAAAAATTGGTGTATTTTTGTAGACAATTTAGTTGCCTACAAAATTGAACTCTCGACATTTTGTCGAAATCCTATTGGTTTAGAAGATAAAGTTAATTTTATGGAAATCGCAAATATCTACATAACAAAGCAAAAATCGAAAAAATATCAGAGGATTATTTTTGTACAGAAATAAATTGCCTACAAAATGACATTCTGAAAAATGTCAAAAATTAGATGCGTTTATGTTTTTTTTTCGGAGAAAAAAATTGTTATTTTTGTTGCTTACTGTTTGTATTGATATTCATTAATATTGTTATTTTTAGTAAGTAATACAAATGTAGACATAAACAAAATATGCGAAACTTTGTCTCTAAACAATTTGCAAGTAACTGATCTTCATTTAAGAGGATATGACGAAATAAATGACGAAAGCATACGTAGTTTGCAAAATTTGATAAATCTGAAATCTTTGGTTTTATGTTACATAAAATGCGATCCCGTAGATTCCCTACCACACTTGCTAGCCGCATGCCGAAAATTGGAAACGTAGGTTTTAACCTCACTTTTTACCTGCTGGTTTAACCCAACTTTTCTAGCGTATAACGGTTGGGTGCTTTTAGGTTCGAAATATGCGAATGGGCAGAATTAAACGACAATAATTTTATACCAGCGCTAGATATGCTAAGACAACTAACCAAACTGAGATTGGATCTCACAGATATTACGATTAAAAGTTGCAGAAGAGCTGTAGAGAAGCTGCCAAGACTCAAAGAAATGCACGTTCACGGTAATGGTAGGGTGCATAGGGCTCAAGTAGGTTAAAAAAAAATTGAATATTTAAATTTTATAATTTTTTATCTTTTTAGTTGGCCAAACTTCAGAAAAAGTTTGCAGACATCACAATTCCTTATTATTAAGTATTTAAAAAAATTGTTTTCGTTTCACTAATTATTTAATAAAGTTTTCTACTTTGCGTTTAAAAATTATTTTTGTGCACTGTGCGGTTAGAATTATAAATTGTGGCGCCATCTGTCCTTCGAATGTTGAACCAAGTAAAAATCGCTTTAAAAATCATTAATTTTTGTTGATTGAAGCATAAAAATCCACCAATCAAAGTTTTAAAACGCTAGATTGTCTTAATTGAGGCGAAAATGATTGATTTTCCATTGACATCTACAACTGACGTTTTAAACGTCAAATTTCTGTCGCACAGTGGGACAGAGCGTTTTTTAAGTGCCTCAAGTAACTCCAAAGTTATTGCGAATGGTAAATTTCGTGCCATTATTTGTTATATGAGTCACTCGACCAGCGAATTCATTACGAATGTAGCTTAAAATCGAGTATTTTATGATTTTTGGTCGGGACTTTCATGAAATTCATCCGGCAACACTGCTGGTGATATTTTAGGGAGTTTTCTGTCAAATGGCAAAATCGTTTTTTCCGTACAACAAATGCGTTGTTTATAAAGGTTTTCACAGCTTGCTAAAGTATTTCAAAGTTACTTGGTACAAAATTTAACATTTTGTGATCATTTAATACAAGTGCTGAAGTTTTCACGCACAATGGAGCAAGTAGTCGTTAAAAAAGAACCTGAAGAACTTTTTGACGATTCCAAAGGTGATATTTCGTTGAATTACGAATATAAAATGCTAGAAATTAAAGAAGAAATGGATGGTAGTAACAACTCCATTGATTACAACGAATCATGGGTGAAAGAAGAATCAGAAACGTTCACAGATCAAGAAGGGTGAGCATTGTTGCCATTTATGGCATTATCACTATGGCAACAGTTGTTTGACAGTTCAAAGCCCACTTATTCCCAGCCTTTACTATTGTTTTAAGTTAAATTAAAAGTATTTTAGGCATGGTGAATTTTCTAAAGAAGATTCAGAGGAGAATAAAGGCATGATAGAGACGAAAGTCGAGGTGGAATATCATGGGGTTGAATTTAATGATATGAGTGGCAATAAAAAGTTGTTTGAATGCAATATGTGTCCAAAAAAATTACAAACAAGGGTGGGTTTATTTAGTCACAAAAAGTACGTACATAGAAAAAATGAGCTGGAAAAGTTTAAATGTGATAATTGTGATTTTGTGACAGTGAGGAAAAGTATTATTAAACATCACTTAAACACCCACGACAAGAAAAGTTACTTGAAATGCCGTTATTGCCAATACATGGCTGCTAGATTAACGACTTTACATGCACATATTCTAAACAAACATAGGTTAGAAAACCAAGGAGAAAATAAAATAAAAATAACAAGTAAAATACATAAATGCACAAATTGTTCTTATTCAAATGTTTCAAAGTCACACTACGATAGACACTTAATACAATGTTTAAACTTAAAAAACGTCAAACAGTATGAATGTCACGTTTGTGACTACAAAACACTTCATAAAAATCATTTAACAACTCACATAAAATCTCACAACAATATTAAAGAATTGAAATGTTTTTTTTGCGACTATCAAACAAATGCAAAACAAAGTTTAGACAACCACATTTTAAGAAGACATTCAAATTTGTTGAATGATTCCAACAAAAATTTCATCACTTCCAAAGTGCATTCTTGCCAACACTGTAAATATAAAACCACCATTTCAATTCAGTTAATAAAACATTTAAGGAGTAATCATTAATTATAGTCTAATTGTTATTTTTGTTTAGTTACTTAATTTTGTATTTATTTGAATATATTTTATTTGACTTGGATGTTATTGTTTCTACTTTGCCTTTAAGTAATAAATAATATTATTACCATGATAATTAAGATGTAATAAAACAGTTCTTACTACATTTTCTCTAAAAAATTGCTCTCCACATTTTTAACTGTTGTGCAACAGTTTTCAAAATATTTTCTCTATTATAATAGGAGCACCACAAGACAAACAACTTCTTTAAATTATTATTGTGCGGTGAGAATTATAAATTGTGGCGCCATCTGTCCTTCATATTTTGAACAAAGTAAAATTTACGCAAATTGGTTAAAAATCGCTTTAAAAATCATTAATTTTTGTTGATTGAAGCATAAAAATCGACCAATCATAGTTTTTAACGCTAGAATGTGTTTAATTGAGGCGAAAATGATTGATTTTTCATTGACATCTACAACTGACGTTTTAAACGTCAAATTTCTGTCGCACAGTGGGACAGGGCGTTTTTTAAATGCCTCAAGTGACTCCAAAGTTATTGCGAATGGTAAATTTCGTGCCATTATTTGTTATATGAGTCACTCGACCAGCGAATTCATTACGAATGTAGCTTAAAATCGAGTATTTTATGATTTTTGGTCGGGACTTTCATGAAATTCATCCGGCAACACTGCTGGTGATATTTTAGGGAGTTTTCTGTCAAATGGCAAAATCGTTTTTTCTGTATAACAAATGCGTTGCGTGTTCTTTGATGCGTTGTTTATAAAGGTTTTCACAGCTTGCTAAAGTATTTCAAAGTTACTTGGTACAAAATTTAATATTTTGTGATCAATTAATACAAGTTTTACGCACAATGGAGCAAGTAGTCGTTAAAAAAGAACCTGAAGACGATTCCAAACGTGATATTTCGTTGAATTACGAACATAAAATGCCAGAAATCAAAGAAAAACAAAATTTAAAATATGTAGAAGAGATTTGGGTGGAAGGTGAAAAAATACAAGAAAAAGAAGAAATCTCTGGAAGAAATACAACTAGCTATAGGGTACGAAACTAGTAAGTTTAGTTGCAAGTGATTTGTATGAATAAAAATAGTAGTGTATCCCTTACTGCATAAATGGCTGTAAAGCAAACAGCATTTCTGTCCAAATTACAAGGCTTTCATTGGAGAATACAACAGTTAAAATATTTGTTTATTGTTAACATAAAATATTGTTGTTTTGCAATTTAAAAAATAAATAAATAAATAAATGAAGATTTATTTTTTTAAGTGTTTTTTTATTTTTAAGTTTTAAACACACACAATCATACACACAAAATAAAACATACTGTTTTTTCGAATATGTTTTTTTATTTAATAGATAGTTTTATAATTACATATCATTAACATTGTTTCACAAAGCTGAACTACCTAGTTATAGTTTAAATAATAATGTAACTAATATTCAGTTAATAAAACATTTAAGTAGTAATGATTAATTCTAGTCTAATTGTTATTTTTGTTTAGTTTCTTAATTTTTTATTTATTTGAAAAAAAAAATAAAAATTTCGTTTTATTTTACCTAAAAATACCCAAACAGTAGAAGTTGGTAGCAGTGCCACAATTTCATAACCTCACTTTTCCTGTGTTTTTTCAACAAAAAAATACAATTTAGAGGTAAGCATTGGATGAATTGGTGAAATTTACGATTAATAATGGCTTCAAAATGTACACACATCAAAAATTATCCTCTGAAATGATGGAATTTAGCGTAGTGAACTTCAAACTATCTGGTGATATTTCTAGGGTTATTTTAGGGAGTTTTCTGTCAAATATCAAAATAGACATTTCCATAAAAAAACAAATGCTTCTAATTCGTTGTTTGGTGGTTTATACAAGCACCTAAATATAAGTAGTAAAGTTTTCGTACACTATGGAACCAATAGCCGTTAAAAAAGAACCTTTTGATAGACCAAGTACATCTGCTGACCAGGAAACTTTAATTTCTGGGATAGCCATAAAACAAGAGATCAAAGAAGAGTTGGATGATGGAGACAATTCCATGGACTACAATGAATTAGGGGTGAAAGAAAGGTGAGCATTTATTGCATTACCATCATGGCAACAGTTGTTTGACAGTTGACATGTTGAAACTATTGATAAGTGACAGTTTTAACCTTGATACAAAGTTTTCTTTGTATCATGCAGCCTGCTTATATCTATTACAAACCCATTAAAGGTATTTTAGGCATTTTTACATGATTTTAGATCTAAAATCAGAGATGGTGATGAAGAAAGTGACCAAATTAAGGAAGAAGAAAATTTTTTAAAATGCCACTTTTGTCAATATCCGACTGCCAATATTTCAAGCAAACATGGATTGAAAAATGAAGGGGAAAATATAAAAATACACAAATGCACAAATTGTTCATATTCATTTGTTTTGAAATCACATTTTGATACTCACCTAAAACAACGCTTGATATTGGAAAAAGGCATAAACTATAAATGTCACCATTGCCATTATAAAACCATTAAAAAAAGTAACTTAAAAAGTCATATAAAATCCCATTGCAAAACAAAACAATTTAAATGTTTATTTTGTAAATATCTAAGTTATAAAAAACAAAGTTTGGACAACCATATTTTAAGAAAACATTCGAATTTTTTGGACAAAAGCAATAAAAATTGTATCACCTCCAAAGTGCATGAATGCCAATATTGCCAATATAAAACTACTTTTGCAATTCATTTAAAAGCTCATTTAAATAATAATCATTAATTGTAATTTTTATTTGGGTACTTATTTTGTGATTATATAAATAAAAATTATACATTTTTCATTTTAATACGCGTTTTACTTTAATTGACCTTTAAAAATCCAAGTTATAAAAAATACGATGTTCTCTACCCGAACAAAGACGTTTCATGTTGGTAGCAATAAAACCATCTGGTGATATTTTGGGGATTTTTCTGTCAAATGTCAAAATAGACAATCCCTTGTAACAATTCGTTGTTAGGGGGTTTATAAAAGTTTTCTAAGGTTTTTCACAGCTTTCCAAGTGTTTAAGTTACTTAAAAGAAATATTCTGGGATCATTAAATAAAAGTAGAACTTGTCGGATTGATTTGAGGGTGAAAAAAGAATCGAAAACGTCGCAGATAAAAACAGAAATGTTTCTTGACCAAAGGTAAGCAGTGTTGCCACTTATTGTTGCATTATCACCATGGCAACAGTTGACATGTTAAAACATTGTTTTAAAAGTATTTTTAGGCATTTTTACATAATTTTAGATCTAAAATTAAAGATGGTGTCGGAGAAACTAACCATATTAAGGAAG